GGCCGCGGAAATTACACGTATACAGGGTGGATTATTCGAAGGGGAATCGAGGAAACCTCGAATTAGCGTGAGGGTTAAGGGGCGTAGACCCTCGGCTAATTCTAACGATCTTTAACCGAGTATTTGGCTGAATAATCCTGGCAATTGAGGACATTACAAAATGTGGAGAAGAAGGTTTTTTTTTTGGTAAGCTAGCCATTTCAATGAAGTTGTTGCTCTTCTTCTTCTTCTTCTGGTTGTATTGGCCTATGTTGTCGAGATTATTCGGATAAACTGTCTATTCTGAAATTGTTGACAAATGACAACTGCAAGCGTACCAACTTAACTTTGTAGAACAAAATGTTGCAAACCTAACAGTGTTTTTCAACGATTTTTTTTATGATTTGATTCATTAATCAAAGACATCTATGAATATAGCTAGAGCTTTAAAATTTCTACATAAATCTAGCTAATTTTATCTCATTTCTAGCGTATGCTAGCTGACTTATTACGAAATTTTTGACAAATGACAATTCGGTCATCTGCAAGTGTACCAACTTAACTTTGTTATAGAACAAAATGTTGCCAACATAACAGCGATTTTTAACGATTTTGTAACTATAATCAGACATCTATGAAAGAGCTAGTGCTAGAGCTTTAAACTATCTACATAATTTACTACACCCTCAAAGCTACAAAAATCTAGCCCTTTTTATCTCATTTTCTATCGTATTTTATTCGCTAATAGAGAGAGCTCGGAGGAAAGGCCCTTTCGCAGAAAAAAAGGGGGGAAACACACGAGAACCCTAATACTTCATAATCCGATGAAAGCCGATGAAAATCTCGAGTTTAACCCTTTTTTCCTCGATCCATTGAAAACCTCCTCGCGCGCTTTTACAACCGCCCCCCCCCCCGTCCGGTAATGGATTATTCCATTATGTTCTCTCCTTTCCTAGCTGGCCTCGTGTGTGCTCGGTATACAGCCCGCTTTCCGCAAACATGTGCTCGGGAAATTATTATATCAATATACCTTTCAGGCCGTCCAAGCCGGAAAAGCTTGAGGGAATTTTCCCCTTTTTAGTTATTGCAAAAAATTTTTTTTTTCTTAAAACTTCTACTCCAAGTTAAGACGTTGAGGACATGAAGATTTCTCCTTAAAATGGGCCCAGAAATCAACCCCTTAAATATTAGCATTCAATCATTTTGGAACACCCTGTATATTTATTGGTATTTAAAGGGGAGTTATAGTCAATATGCTACATTAAATATCAGGAATTAAATTAGGCCCAACTAAAACCCGATCGACCGGAAATCCATCTAAATTCATCCGCCTCTATTCCGCCCGAACGCGCGTCTCCCGCCCCCCCGAACGCCGCCTCCGGGAAAAACGAAAAACGATAAAAAAAAAAACCACCCGGAAAAACCGCCCCGCGTTATATTATAGGCAATCACCTTTCGCGAAGTTATTACGCCGGATTTTCCGCTCAATTACCCTCTTATTAGATTCCCGGACGCCCCGATGAAATTCGAACCCTTAAATAACCGCCCGCCGCGCCGCCCCCCCCCCTCTTCCCTCCCGCCTCCTACGAACTTTCTATAAGCGCCGCCGCCTTTATAATATCATCCCGTGCGAAAGTCTTATCCGATAATTCCTTATATACGAAAACAAACGAAAATTGACAGGTGACTGTTGACAGATGAGATGTGATGAGGGATGAGGAGAGATGAGGAGAGATGAGGAGAGGTGAGGAGAGGTGAGGAGAGGTGAGGAGAGGTGAGGAGAGGTGAGGAGAGGTGAGGAGAGGTGAGGAGAGGAGAGGTGAGGAGAGGTGAGGAGAGGTGAGGAGAGGTGAGGTGAGGAGAGGAGAGGTGAGGAGAGGTGAGGAGAGGTGAGGAGAGGTGAGGAGAGGTGAGGAGAGGTGAGGAGAGGTGAGGAGAGGTGAGGAGAGGTGAGGAGAGGTAAGGAGAGGTGAGGATGAAAGGTGAGGAAAAGTGAGGATGAGAGGTGAGGAAAGGTCAGAGAAGACGGTTGACAGCTGATAGCTGACAGTTGGATGACATTTGACAGTTGAAAGAAATTGATTAGGTGAGAAATTTTCATATCAAACGAATTTAATGCACATGCATGTATGTATATATCTACTAATCCTCGGAGAGGATTTAATGGAAATTTCCATGTGGATAACGAACGGTTAACCCCCTTTAGCCTGTCCTACCGTACAGATAAAGAGAACACGCCGCATTATAAAGTTGGCTGCGCTTTCTTGCCCTAAACCAGTCTATATATCTCTCTCTCCTCGTCTCTTCTCCTGCTCTATCTCTCTCCGGGGCAATCTGTGTCGTTGCGAAACAAGTTTCCCAGTGGAAATAAATGGAGAGAAATACGTTAACCGTGCGGTTTAAACACTTACGCGACCGGAAAGTTACGAAAACGGACGTTCTCTGACCCGCTTTAACACGCTTATACCCCTACTAGATCGCTCGTTTTAAACGCCAAAACAAACTCCTTTGTACCCCAAAATTCGGAAAAATCTAGTCGGCCGGACCAACTACTAGACTGTCACTCGTCACACGTCTTCTGTCACTTGTCAAACGCCACAAGCCAATGTGTCATATGTCACAAACATCACCTATTGTCATCTACGCTCTGTAAATGGTCTCAAATGAGTTCAAAGAAGAAGATAAATTAATTGTCAAGTGTCGTATGTCACGTGTCAAACGTCACAAGCCAATGTGTCATATGTCACACACATCACCTATTGTCATCTACGCTCTTTGAATGATCTCAAATGAATTCAAAGTAGATGAATTAATTGTGAAATGTCGTATGTCACTAATTTGATCCAAATTCCTGCTGTCTTTTTTTTATTTTCACCTTGTTTGTTTGTTGTTTGTTCGTGGTATTGTTATAAATGTATCGATTGGGTTCGAACGGGCCGCTCCCTTGTCGGATTCGAAACGCTAAAAATGTTGGAGCAATTACCGGTGGAGTTTCTTCGGATTTTAATTGGCCTCCGCCCGAGCAGGAAACTAGCCATTTACTGTGCTAACGATGCGGCGAGATCGTGTCGTTTTCGAAGTCGAAATTATTCGACGTTCGATCGAGCGACACGACAAACGAATAATAATAAATAAATACGTAAGTGTATGTATACAGTGTGTCCCAAATTTTCGATGATTCTAGATAGTACTCTTTGGAGCATTCAATGTATATTTCGCGTATTTGTTTGCAATATGGTAGATAAAATTCGTTAAAAAAAACCGGCAAAAATTGTTAGTTTTAAAAATGTAAATCCCCGAAGTTTACAGTGTGTCCCAAATTTTTGATGATTCTAGATAGTACTCTTTGGAGCATTCAATGTACATTTCGCCTATTTGTTTGCAATTTGGTCGTTAAAATTTGTTAATTTGGGACGCCCGGTAGGCGGACGAAGAGCGGGCGATAAGGAGAGGAATAAAAGTGAAACAAGAAACGGGCTTATTATTTTTCAGCGAATGTAAATAAACTTTTCGAAAGCGGATTCGGAAAAAATCCGGGCCAGGTGGATATATGGAAGAACTTTTCTCATTTCGTTATCTCAAAAACTAGCCGGCGAGACGACGGGAATTTTTACCTACATATACAGGGCGGCCCAAATTTATTTAAAAACATTTCAAAAGATCTTGTGTCTACTTACCGATTTTTGGACCGCCCTGTATAATTAATAATATTGACAAGTAGTAGAAAAAATACTGTATCAAACTCTATAGTAGTACCTAATGTATTGTACTCTATTGGTACTCTACAAGCAGTCGTAGAAAAAATAGTATACCAAACTCTATACTAATGTTTTTTTTTTACCCTCTATAATAAATGATAATAGTCACAAGTTGTCGTAGAAAAAATATTGTATCACACCCTATAGTACCTCATGATTATCTATCATCTATAAATTACAAAATTGGCAAGCAGTCGTAGAAAAACTACTGTATCAAACTCTATAGTAGTACCTATAGTACTACCTAGTAGTACCTAATCATTATTTATTCTTTATACGGCATAAAATACACGAACGATCGTAGAAACAATAATATATCGTACTCTATTGGTACTTTACAAGCAGTCGTAGAAAAAATACTGTATCGTACTCAATTGTAGTGACTATTTCGCCCATTTCGCGACCAAACTCGACCTAATCACCGTCAAAAGTACCACTTTAAAACAGCCCATCGGCAACCCGGGCACGTACCGCACGGTCTTTCATTCAATTCGAGCGGTACTACTAGAAGTACCAACAACAAAAAAAAAAGAGAAACCGGTCCCGAACCGGCATGAATGGGCTCGCGATTCGACTCTCCGATAACATCAATCCGTCTCGGGAATTCGCTAAAAAAAATAAATAAAATGGACGTCGTGCACCTGCCGCGGTACCCGAACCGGTAGCCGCGGTACCGTTAGGCCGGTACTTTCGTTCTCGTTCCCGTTTATACCGAACCTAATACCGCTAAACTCGACCGAAATCGCCCTACAGAGAAAACTGACAGGTGACAGGCAGTACCGGTCATTTTCATTACAGCAGTACCGGTAGCTTCGTAGATTTTAATTATTAAGCAGTACCTACCTTAACATGCATTGGAATTAATCTTCTGAAGTTGTAATTGATCCTGGGAAGCTGTTAATACTCATGGAAGCTGTTAATGCTCCTGGGAAGCTGTTAATGATCCTGGAAAACAAATAATGTTGCTGTTAATGCTCATGAGAACCTGTTAATGTTCCTGTGAAGTTGTTAATGCTTCTGGAAAGCCGTTAATGTTCATGTGAAGCTGTTAATAATCCTGAAACACTAATAATGTTGCTGTTAACGCTCCCGGGAAGCTGTTAATGTTCATGTGAAGCTGTTAACAATCATACAAAACTAATGATGGTACCGTTAATGTTCCTAGGAAGTTGTTAATGCTCATGGGAAGCTGTTAATAAACCTTTGAAGCTGTTAATGATCTTGGGAAGCCGTTAACTGAAGCTGTTTTCGGAATTGTTGCAGGTCGAAGCCACGACAAGAGGTACTCGCTGTTCCGGCTGGGCCAGAAATCGAGCGAGGGCGTGAAAACGTTCGCGGAGACCGGCAAATCGGACATCTTGGACGGCCAAGGCCAACTCGACGGCGGCGTTTACGACGAATTCACCGCCCCCTCGATCGCCGCCGGCGTGGGAAGGACCGAAACGAGATTCTTCGTCGACGGGAATCACTCGAAGGTACGTTAATTATTAGTGGCTGTATATATGACAGGAAAGAGGCCACACGTAGAATTTAAGTTGGCACGCCTGCTTGGAGCACGATTATTGACTTTTCTCGAGTCTAATGGCCTCTTACTGTAACATACAACGTCGCAGACTGGCGTAGAAGCGTTCGACCGAATAGCCCGCGAAGCGGAGGCCAAAAAAAATAAGAAGATTTAAATTTTCGTTTTCGATTTGCAGGTGTCGCTGATGTCGAGGATCGTCCCGTCGCCCGATTGGTTCATCGGCATCGACGGCTTCGATTTGTGCGTGAACGGAAATTGGCTGGACAGCATAACAGTAGAGGTACGCTTAAAATATTCCGAACGGGCCAATTAAATAGCCGGTGAATCCCCCCCCCCCCCCCGGTTTTAATCCGGAACGCTTCGATTAGGATCGATTAAACCGAATTCTAAATCGGTAATCCCCCGGTTAATCTTCTCTCTCTCTCTCTAGCGCGCGCTAATTTTTCGGTCAGGCGCTGGCCGAACGATTATAGAGTTAAAGGCCATTAAAGCTCTTTCGAAGCTTTCTGTGTTCGTTTGTTTAACTAAATTAAGTGGCGTTAAAATGTCAATTAAATCCTTCTTTTTCTTTCATTGTGGCCTTTTAATATTCGTTTCAACAGCTCTCTTATAATTTTGACAACTGTCATTTTGTCATGCCATTTTTTATTTTGACAACTGTCATCTGTCATTTTGACATCTGCCATTTTGCATTTTTGGCAACTGTCATCTGTCATTTTGACATCCGTCATTTGTCACCTGTCATTTTGTCATCTGTCATTTTGTCATCTGTCATTTTGTCATCTGTCATTTTGTCATCTGTCATTTTGTCATCTGTCATTTTGTCATCTGTCATTTTTTTCAAAGCTTTCTGTGTTTGTTTGTTTAACTAAATCACATAAACCCGTCATATAATCTTCTTTTTATTTTCATTCTGGCCTTTTGCTATTCGTTTCAATGGCTCGCTTAAAATTCATCCAAAAAAAAATGTGGATATCTTCGCATTCAATTTCGCTGTCAAAAAAACCTGGTCTCTTACTATGTAGTTCTTAGACGACTCAATGGCCTTTTACCTGGTACCTTATGCGGTTACTTTTGTTTTGCAGGTGGATCCCATCGACGCGGGCACCGACAACGGGTTCACGTTCACGGCGCCCAATTGGCCCACCGATCCCCAAGGTGAGGCCTACAGGATCACCGCCCATTATCCCGCCCATCCTGCCGGGTCGTTCTTCTATCCCAATCTGAAGCGGCTGCCGCCCATCGCCACTTTCCAGTTCATCAAGGTAAGCCTTTGTGTGGTGTTTCGTTCGTTATCTAGTAGGTGTTAATCTAGTAGGCTTTAGAACGATTTCGAAGGCTTTCGAAAGTGCCTTGGATCAAGATAGAAGACCTATGGGTCATTATGATGGAGCTGTGTGTCTGTATGAAAAGGCGTTGGATCCGTTTGAAAGAGCGTTTGATTAGTATGAAAGAGCCTTTGGATCAATATGAATGAGCTTAAGAACAGTATGATAGAGCCTTGGATCAATATGAATGAACTTTATGTCATTTTAAAAGAGCCATGGATTAATATGAATGAGCTTTAGATCAGTATGAAAGAGCCTTGGGTCAATATGAATGAGCTTTAGATCAGTATGAAAGAGGCTTGGGTCAAAATGAATGAGCTTTAGATCATTTTGAAAGAGCCTTGGATCAATATGAATGAGCTTTTGATCAGTATATAAGAGCCTTAAATCAACATGAATGAGCTCTAGATCAGTATGAAAGAGCCTTGGGTCAAAATGAACGAGCTTTTGATCACTATGAAAGAGCCTTGGATCAATATAAATGAGCTTTAGATCATTTTGAAAGAGACTTGGATCAATATGAACAAGCTTTAGATCAGTATAAAAGAGCCTTTCATAATTATGAAAGATCTGGGATCAATGTGAACAGCAATTTAATGGATTATTATAAAAGAGTATCAGTAAGAATATCAGCTTTGGATTAGTGTCAAAGAACCTTAGATCAGTATGAAAGACCTTTGGATCAATATGAAAGGCCTATGGGTCAGCAAGATCATTGAATCAGTATTAAAGAGATATAGATCATTATGTAAAAACCTTTGTTTGTATCGATGCATGATAAACCTTAGACCTTAGAGAGTGGCCTTATAGAGTGACCTTAGAAAGTGGCCTTAGAGAGTGACCTTTTGGTTACAATTAGAGTACCTACTATAAAACCTCGGATCGATTGCAGTTGCGCGAGTACGAATTGAGCGAGGAATTCACTCACGAGGAGGACGATCGCCGGTACGAGGTGTTGAAAATGGACCGTTCGGACGGGGCCAACGCGATCGACGTGTTCAACGGCAACAACAACGACATTCAAACGGCCATCGAGGAGGAACGCGAAGAGAGGGAACCGCACGACAAGTCGACGTCGAAACGACCCACACCCGCCGCCCCCCGTTCGACCGCCGCCTACCGGAATTTCTACTACACCACCGACGACAGGATGACGAATATGATGTAAGTTTTTCCGAATAGAGATCGAGCAAGCCGCCTACGTCATCTATCATTTTGTCATTTTGACATCTGTCATTTTGACAACTGTCATTTTGACATCTGTCATTTTGTCATCTGTCATTTTGTCCTCTGTCATTTTGTCATCTGTCTTTTTGTCATCTGTCATTTTGTCATCTGTCATTTTGACATCTGTCATTTTGTCATCTGTCATTTTGTCCTCTGTCATTTTGTCATCTGTCATTTTGTCATCTGTCATTTTGTCATCTGTCATTTTGTCATCTGTCATTTTGTCATCTGTCATTTTGTCATCTGTCATTTTGTCATCTGTCATTTTGCCCTCTGTCATTTTGTCCTCTGTCATTTTGTCCTCTGTCCTTTTGTCATCTGTCATTTTGTCACCTGAATACAGTTGGAAACCGCTGATAAACGGGCGTTTATTGGCAGTTCTAAAAATAATAATCCGGGTCGAAAATTAAATAAAAAGTAAATTAAACGAATTATTTCGTCGTTATCTTATCAATTCCGTTTTTGTTTGGTTAACGAGCTAACGGAAAGGGGGACGAGAGCGAGAAAGAGAGATATCCAAACATGGGGGAGATATTTTTAAAGGGCGAGAAATATCGCCGGGTCTCGGTTGATATTTCCTCATTTTTCGGCAATAAACCGGATCGTAAATTGCCCCGGGGGTTGGAGGCCGGGGGGGGTGACTCTCTCCAAGAAAACTCGGAGGAGATAATAAAAATAATTCACTTATTTTATCGCTGTGCGAGAAATCTTTAAAACATCGGACGAATTACGCCCTAATTTCCCTCTATACTGTTTTATTAAACTGAAGATTCTTCTTATTTTACTCTTGAGCTCACAATATTCCAATTTTACTCGCTTAGTAGTACTATAAAATAGCAGTACCCCGATAGTACTACTAGAGGTACTATAACAATTTTATTCCTCTCAGTATGTACTACTACTTAACATACCCAATTCCTTCCAAATCGTTGTAAAACAGAGAAAGTACCAACCCCTTTGCAACTCGATTCAATTTTACCTCGAATTTTACCACAAAGAAAAGAAAACTACAGTACTCATACCGGATTCCTTCCAACTCGTTGCAAAACAGAGATAGTACCACCCCTATTCTAAGGTACTACCGCTACCCCTTTCAATTTTACCCCGAATTTTACATAAAGAGAAGAAAACTACAGTACTCGTATCTCATTCCATTGCAGCAACCAACGATTCAACGAATCCACCGCCACCCCCATGGCGTCGGTACTACCCAAGGGCAACAAAAACGCCATCATGCACAGCATAGCCGATTCCTATTTGTCCCACAAGGACCGCAAACGCAAGAAGTACGACAAACTGAAGAAAACCTACCAGAAAAAATCCAGTAAGTACCGTTTTTCCAGTACCAACTACACCTCTAGTACCAACGAGGAATAACGTATCTATTGCGTAATGCGATGTTGCCAAGCAGCGGAAAAAAACCCCTAATTTAGCTACAATTGCAACTACTTACCAATGCGACGTTGCCACTTAGTCAATCAAATCCTCGTATCCGGGGAAATAGGGGGGTGGCGAAATTATTATAGATGGCGGTTGTTTTTTTTTGCAGGGGCGGGTCGCGACTGTCGCGTGTCGAGCTGGTCGCAGTGGAGCCCGTGCAGCAAGTCCTGCGGCATCGGGGAGATGCAGCGGCGGCGGGAGGTGACGAGGCGGGCGCGAAGGGGCGGCAGGCTCTGCCCCCCTTTGGTGGAGACCAAGTGGTGCGGCTCGGCGAGGTCCTGCAACAAGCAGTACTTCAATTGGTAGGAAGTAGGAAGGGGGAAAATTTGGAGGTAGTGCGAATTTTAACGAAGTTTCGGACGATCATCGCGACATCATCAATATAGGGTGTTGATTAATTGAATGCCGATAATTCAGGATGTGGATGTTTGGATGATTTTAAGAAGAAAAGTTTATAATAATGTGTGTCCTAAACTTCTTAGTTTTCGAGCTACAGGTGGTTAAAATTTTAGAAAAAAAAATTACTTTTCTATCATAATTTTTTTATTATTCCAGTTATTTTTAAGAAATTTTGTATACACTTTTTAATTATTAAGGTGCATTTTTAGAGGTATAAGATTTTTTTAAATTTTCACCAGTGACGTCCGTACGGGGTTTGAACTGAATATGTTTGAAAAAAATGGTACACCACTGATTTTTCTAAAAACTAAAATTATTTCTAAAATCCTCATTTATTTTGTAGCAAATTCGGTCAGAAGGCTTATTTTCGTACGATGCACCATTTTCGCGTAAAAAAATAAAAACCAAAACCATTTTTTCCCAAATTCATTTTAAGACTGCTTTTGATATTTTGTTGAAATTTGATAGGCGCCCACCATGCATGGAAACACTTTTTTTTGGGGGATAAAAATTAATTTTCTACTATTATCAGTGACGTCCACGTCCAAAATTTCATAAAAATATCTTCCGTAATAAGAAAATTACGATAGAAAAGTTATTTTTTTTCCAAAATTTTAACACCCTGTAACTTAAAAACTAAGAAATATAGGACATACATTGATATAAACTTTTCTTCTTAAAATCATCCAAATATTCACATCCTTAAGTATCGGCATTCAATTAATTAACACCCCGTATAAATAAATTGCTCCACAAATGTTAAGAAAGTTCGCAAATTTTGCGATTATTTTAATTAAGTTACAGACTTTTTTATCACCAAATTTTCAAATATGCGAAATTAAATATTTTCTCTCATATCTATACTCAATTTTGCAATCAAAAAACTTGCAATTTTTAAATTATTCTCAATATTTGTGAACTTCCTTAACTTTTTTGGAGCAGTATAAATAGGGTTAGGGTATTTTTTAAACGGTAATATAATTGCGTATTCAAATGGGGGCGACAATCGAGATTTCGTTTTTAGTTACGTTATACGTTATGATTACGTTGCGTTTAACGAGATGTTGTTTGTTTTATTTTTTGAATGTATTTTTGTAATTTATTGTTGCAGGATTAATTAATTCGTACGACTGCTATTCGAGAATCTAGTGAAATTTTTTCGCATGTTTTTTATAATAAAATTTCTAATATCGCTATTATATTATAGTGTGAATGATACGTTATGAATAAATTTATTTTCTTAGTTAATTTTGGTTTTTTTATATTGATTTTAGTTACTTCAAATGCTGAATTTTGGAAATTAGACAAGTAGGCTTGTGTCAAAATGCCTGTCAAATGAGGTGTCACAAGCCTACTATTCTAATTTCAATAATTAGGGTTAACTCATATCAAATTTTTTTAATTGAGCAACTAATGAGTTAATCAATTTATTCATTACATCTAGTTCACATTTTACAATTGTTTTTTTTTCGCTTAGAATTAATTACAAAAAAAAACTGTTGTATAAAAATTAATTTGTAGCGGTTATTCTGTAAATATTTACACAAGAATAGGTACAAAAACTGTAGGTGTTAGGGCGAATGTCAATGATGAAATTTGTATGAATAAATAATAAAAAAAAATCGTAGAAATTAAGGCAAAAATAATAATTAATAATAATGATAAATTTCTATGATCTAACGAGTTTTGGTCGCGACGTGGCAACGTTGCGATTCTTACGAGGCTCCTCCAGTGCTCATCATTAAACCAAATAATAAAAAATTCTAATAGCAACGTAAGTTTCTAATTAGCAATTAAGTTGTATATGAATGTATAATTGTACTAATAAATGGTTTTTAGTTTTTAATAATGTCCGGCTCACGTTATTGTGTACTCTTTATAAAAATAAAATAAAATCAATAAACGTTATATTTGGATATTCAAAGTGTTTCAATTTTGTTTGTTATTTAGCCCCTAGGGGATTTTTCAGAATGCGCGGTTAGGGGTAAGTAGTAGAAGAATATGTGAGGAATAATTTGAGAAAATTTTACAAAAGTCGCTCGAATTGTTTTCAAAAAAATTGCACTAGAAACCCGAAAAATAATCCATTTTTTTATTAAGGAATAGGTTATTTCATAGACCATAAAACAATTCACAACGAATTTTCCAGGATGCGCGGTTTGTGGTAAGTAGTAGAAGAATATGTGAGGAATATTTTGAGAAAGTTTTACAAAAATCGCTCGAATTGTTTTCGAGAAAATTGCACTAAAAACCCGAAAAATAATTATCTTTTATCTTTTTATTAAAAAATAACAAGTTATTTCATAGACCATAACAATCCACAACGAATTTTCCAAAACGTACAATCTATTGCACAAAATAAAAGAACAAATTAAGAACATTTTGAAAAAAATTCCAGAAAAATCGCCCGCCCAATTTCCGAGCAAACCCCGAACACACAAACCACCCCCGACACCTCCACATCATCCGCAAACACTCTCTATTAATTAGCTCGCTATAAATATTCCATGCGACCCCCGTCCCCGGTCCTCCAACCGCCCCCGTCCAATCCGCCCCATCGGATTCCGCATGGGAAATCAACCGGTTACGCCGCCGTCGAGATTCCGAGCGCCCCCGAAAGGGGGACGAAGGCCCGAAAGGGGGATGAAAAGGGACACATCAAGAGAAAAGGATCACTCGATGCGAGAGGGTTGAAACGCCGTTTCCGGGAGTAAACGGAATTATATTTCGTCCGGGGGTTGGGGGGGGGGGGATGAAAAGCGCGCTTAAACTACCCCCCAGGTGGGAAGTTTCGCATTTTTTGGGGTAAACAACCCCTCCAAATAACGTAAAATTTTACCATGTTTTTCACCCGATCACCACGCAAAATGTGCTTATTTTAATATTGACATTCGCGAGACACTTTGACACGTGACGTATGACACATGACACATGACACATGACACATGACACATGACACATGACACATGACACATGACACATGACACATGACACATGACACATGACACATGACACATGACACATGACACATGACACATGACACATGACACATGACACATGACACATGACACATGACACATGACACATGACACATGACACATGACACATGACACATGACACATGACACATGACACATGACACATGACACATGACACATGACACGTTAAAATGATCAAACTAGTTATACCTTTTTGAAGCTGAATAGTTTAAGCAGCCGAGGACTCGATAGAAAGAAAAAAGAAAGTTATTATATTTTCACCGCGGCCTTTTACTGTGTAAGAATTCGACCAAAGTCCAGATTATATTCTTTCGTTTTCCTACAATAAGAAATTGTCGAACGAAGCAGTCGGTCTTGTACCAATCGGGTATCCGGCCAATTCGATATCTATTATGTATTATAGTGAACGGTCCGGATTAATTATTTTGCATACAAAGTGTCGACGGGTTTTATTAGCATCGTTAAACCCGGGGATTTACCCCGTAAAAGTTTCGCGTTTTACGAGCGGCCCTTTCCATTTTCTTCTTCATCTTTTTTTTTTGTTTTGTTTTGTTTCGTCGCGTATTTTTTTTATTCGAGGGAAATTAAACGCGCGCCGAACGATCGTAAAAAAGTTTTCCGAAGTTTTCAATTACCGGAAACGCTTACGAGCTTAGGAAAACAATAAACGACGCTTTTCCGCGCTGCAACTCGACGGAATTCTGAATTCGAATATACCGGATGTCCCGTTTAAAATCGCCGTACAAACTGTCACACGTCAAACTGTCAATTGTCAAATTGTTAAAAGTGTAAAAAGTTCGAATTTCAAGAGTCGAATATCAGAAAATAGGGCCTCTTGCTATTCAGTTATTCACCTAATTCTTCACTTTTATACCACGAAGGGCGTAAAAAATGTTTAATTAAAATAATCAAAATTCCCATATTTCTCCACGCCGCACGTTTCCCGGCCCTAAATTACCGCCGCAAATGGGCGAGCTCGCCACAAAAAAAATAAAAAATAAGAAGAAGAAAAACGGGGGGAAAAAAAAGCGAGCGCGAGCCGTAATAAAAACGAGTAAAAGGCCGTAACGCGTCCCGTCGGGGGGCTCGTTTATTCGAAATTACAAGGGGCCGCCGGGCCGTAACTAACCCTGATACATGGCCGGGCACTTAGCCGGCGGGCCGCAGGACGCACACGAACCGGCCAGGATAACGACCGCAGGATAACGGCGTCGCGACGACGTCCCGACGCCACGACACGCGCGAAACCGGGGCGACCCCTTAACGAGGGGTTAAACCGGAACGAGGGACGCGATCTTGCGGGGACCTAAAAACGATGGAGTGCAAAGGAGTTTAGTTTAGGGATGATTATTCGTGTCATATGTCATTTCTGATGAAGAATCGATGTCGAAACGAGCGTCAAATGTCAAGTATTATAGTGTCATATGTCAAAACGCCATGTTATGTCGTTTGTGGCCGAATAGCCCTGGTAGCTGAGGCCAAGAATTTTTGAAGAAGAAGAAGAATGTCGTGTGATTTGCGTCAAAGTGTTAAATGTGTCGAATGTGTCGAATGTGTCGAATGTGTCGAATGTGTCAAATGTGTCAAAAATGTCAAAAATGTCAAAAATGTCAAAAATGTCAAAAATGTCAAAAATGTCAAAAATGTCAAAAATGTCAAAAATGTCAAAAATGTCAAAAATGTCAAAAACGTCAAAAATGTCAAAAATGCCAAGCACGTCAAAAATGTCGAACGCGTCAAAAGTGTCAAAAGTATGCTCGAATTTCAAGACGTCAAAACCGATACGATCGAAAACGTGCGCGTTTTCATACGAGTAAGACCGCTCAGAGACGAAGAAAAGACCGTCATCAACAAAGAAGTCATCCAAACCGATTCGAACGTCATCAATCTAACCAAACAAGGCGTCGTGAAATCCTTCAAATTCACCAAAATCTTCGACTCCGACAGCAGCCAAATCGAGCTCTACAGCCACGTGGCCGTCCCCATCGTCGAACGCGTCCTCCAAGGCTACAATGGCACCGTCTTCGCCTACGGCCAATCGGGCACCGGGAAAACCTACACGATGATCGGCGACGTCGGCGACGCCGACCGCCAGGGCATCATACCCAACATCTTCTCGCACATCTTCGCCCAGATCACGCTCGCCGACCAGGACAACTCCTACGCGGTGACCGTCACCTACCTGGAGATCTACAACGAGGAGATCCGCGACCTGCTGTCGGACGCGCCCGACAAGAAGCTCACGTTGCGCGAGAAGCCCGGCCTCGGCGTCTACATCACCGAGCTGCTCGGCTTCGCCGTCGACTCCTTGGAGGCGGTCACCGAGATCCTCGTCAAAGGGAACAAGCGGCGCACCACCAGCTCCACCAAGCTGAACGACGTCAGCTCGCGCTCGCACGCCATCTTCACCGTTTCGGTGGAGACCAAGAACAAGCTGACCAACAAGACCACCTTCGGGAAATTGAACCTGGTGGATTTGGCGGGCTCCGAACGGGCCAGCAAATCCCAAGCCACCGGCGATCGACTACGCGAAGCCGGCAAAATCAACCTATCTCTATCGGTACTCGGTAACGTCATATCAGCTCTGGTGGACGGCAAAGCCACGCACATCCCCTACAGAAACTCCAAACTAACCAGACTACTCCAAGACTCCCTCGGCGGCAACTCCCTCACAGCTCTAATAGCGACCATCAGTCCGAGGTACCACGATTACGAGGAGAGCGTCTACACGTTGATGTACGCGGATCGCGTGAAGCACATCCAGAACCACGTGAAGCTCAACGTGGAAAACAACAGCATCATCGAGAACTTCGAATCGAAGATCGACGAGCTGAAGCGCCAGCTGCGGCTGCTCGAGCTGCGCGAGCAGCGCGAACAGCGCCGCGCCAAGAAGAAGAACAAATCGAACTCGCAGCGCGAAGATCTCGACAACATCGAAAAGGAGAAGAGCCTGCTCGAGAGCAAGATCGGTATGATCCAGAAGAAGATCCTCGTCGGCGGCGAGAATTTGGTGGAGAAGGCCCAGCAGCAGTTGGACCTGCTGGAGGACGCGGCCAAGGAGCTGCGCCACCTGGACAGCTCGCACGTGCTGCTCGAGGAGATCCTCTTCTACAAGGAGAAGGAGAAGACCATCGTGAAGAAGGAGTTCGCCGATCTGCAGGAGGAGGACAAGGAGCTCGATTTGAAGATCGACGAGACGGCGAAGCTGATCAAGAAGGCCACCGAGATACTGATCGGCAAGGAGGGCGAGTACCAGAACGAGATCTGCGCGCTGCTGCAGGACAACAAGAACCTCGCCAAGGAGCTGTCGCTGGTGCAGTTCGTCATCGAGCACAGCATCCCCGGCGAGTACCTGAGGGACCTGCTGTCGGTCATTGTGTTCAATGATGATACGCAGGAGTGGCAGATCAAAGGCGTCGCCTACTGCGGCAACAATTTGAGGAAGGTCAAGAGCAGACAGGCCAACGAGAAGGTCAAGCCTCACACGGTCTATTTTCAGTACCAGAAGAAGTGATTTATGTATTATTTATAGATTTATTTTTAATATAAATTTTTAAAAGTTTCGTTGACATCTGGAAGCTTCTGATCTGAAGACTGATCCGCAATATATGACTGTATTTGCTTAGAGAAGAGGTCAAAAAAAGAGAAGATCTTTAGCTGTATGCTCCAAAAGCAAGAGGCCTAAACGTAGAAAAAGAAGAATTCTCTCGAAGTTCGTAGGTTATTTAATAACCTCGAATCTAAGGCTGTGTTTCACAAGTGAAGAGGCCAAAAAAACGAAGAACAAGAAGAACGGTCTCATCTACTAAGGCTATTCGGCCTTTTTTGGAACGTTTTTTTTTGGAGAGCATTGAAAGATGTGACACCCTGTATGACAGTTTCGTTGAAATCTGGAACCTTCGACTGGAATAATTATAGATCAGAGGCTACATAAAAATGAGAAAAAGAAGATTAGTATTGATTTTTGTTATTAACTAGCCAATTGGATGGACAATCTGCAATGTATAACTGTATTTGCTTAGAGAAGAGGCCAAATAAACAGAAAATCTTTGGTTGTATGCTCCAAAAGCAAGAGGCCATCGTAGATTAATTAATAATGTCGAATCTAAGGCTGTATTTCCCAAGAGAAGAGGCCAAAAAAATGAAGAATAAGAAGAACGGTCCCACCTACTAATAAGGCTATTCGGCCTATTGGAACGTTTTTTTTTTGGAAAGTATTGAAAGATGTGACACCCTGTATGACAGTTGACATTCGGAAGCGTCCCGGTAAGCGGGGAAAACTGAAAACTGGAAAGTTTTCCGCGACTCCGGGCCGCTTCATCAATCTGAAATAAAAGCCGCCGAGACAGTTAGTTGGATATATTCAACCGGATGAGAAATGGATTTATTCTTACTCCGGCGGTTTTTCCCCTCCGGTTTTTCCCCATTTTCCCGCCGTAGTCGTAAAAGTGTTGTCGCCCGTCATTTGTCAACGTGCAAGAGTTTTCGACGCGGTTGCGTTTTTTTTTATTGTGCTTGAATTCAATTAAAGGAAGAGGCTCGATTTCGGGGGGGTCTGAAAAAAGGACGGGAGAAAGAGGAGTTTAAACGAGTCCCTGGGGGGGATACCGTTCGGAAAATGTCGGGGATTTTTACGGCTTTTTTCGACGTATATCCGACACGTTCGAGGCCTTCGATTTAGTGTATTCGCTATGGTTGGGTTGGTAACGATCGTGAGAAACCTCACTTGTCAATAATTAAATGTTTGCTTTATTTCGCCGGATAGTCCAGGCAGTAAGAGGCCTTTATTTTCCGAGTAAGAAGAAGAAGAATTGGACGTACAGTTCTAACAGTCGAGGCATAATTTGACGAAAAAGAAGAAGTAATTATATTCTTCTTATGTGGTTTACAAAGGAAAATCTTTTTTTTTTACAAACTAATAGCCTTTTGCTCGCCTGGACATCCAGCCAAATTCCGATTTTCGCCCGATTCCCCGCATTGTAAAAGGCATTTTCCACATATTGAAAATTCAAAGAATCTCGAACGCTTTTTGTCATCGAATCCACTTTGTGAAACATTCAAATGCCGCTCAAGCGCGAGAAAAATTCCCCTTTTTTTTCCCCGGAAAATCCATTGACACCTGACAGATCAAAAAAAAAAATTCCCATTTAGAGTTGGCCGTGACATTTACATAGTTAATGACATTTATATCGTTAGAAAACGTGTACAAAATCGCGATTAATCCATTATGTCTGCCAAATCCGAGTCGGCGGGTTTGTTTTGCGAGTGCCAGACGAACGGAAAAGGCCCGGAAAATTAAAATAGAGGTTTTGTTTTTCCGCGGAGTTCGTCGAAGCGGAAAAGCGGTTTTTCCGATCGGGGAGCTCCCTAAACGGGAAATAATTGATGTTTCGTTAAGACAGTTTATCTTTTCCGCCATGTTTCTTCTTCTTTTTATATCCCTCTCTCCGGTAAACAAAATAGGTTATATTCGGCGTGGGGCGGGTTAATCTAGTTAGCGACTTTAATGACGTCATTACGTCGGGTTATTATTCGTTTTAAAGCGGGGACGACGGATTGGCGAGAGGGGGGGGTGAAATTTAGTCAGACGAAAGTCAATCTCGTTAGGGCCGTAAATATGTTTGCTTCCTGAATAAATGAATAATGATTACACGCTGAAAGGGGAGCTTCCCTTTACGGGCGAACAATAATAACGCGTTTAACGGAAACTGCGAACTTCCCTATGTTTACGGATTTACGAGACTCGGGTTGAATAGTCACTCCCGCGGTTGAATAGCCACATCTCTTTGAATAAATTCGTTAATTGTCAACGTCAAATTCGTTGGAATGAATGGCGGTAAATTATAGTGACATGCCGTTTGTGAGTTAAGTTTCGTTTTTACATGGTTTTAAATAATTATTATAATAAATTTAAATAGTTTGAATTTTAAATACTAAAGTAGTATTGTGTTCTGTTTATATTGGACTTATAATGACGTGGAAAACAACGGCCCATTAGCTCAGTTGGTTAGAGCGTCGTGCTAATAACGCGAAGGTCGCGGGTTCGATCCCCCCATGGGCCAGTTATTTTTTTTTTCATTCCTTTTTAATTTAACAAAACTAAAATTATTCATAAATGATTACAAACGAAGTGAAAGAATTACTGCAATTATTTTAATTATTGGCAATAATCGCGTTTATTACGTAAAGGTAGCGAGTTCAATTACCCACATTGGGCTATTTATACAGAGTGTTAAATAATTGAATGTCGATACTTCAGGATGTGAATATTTGGATGATCTTAAGAAGAAAAGTATATATCAATGTATGTCCTATATTTCTTAGTTTTCGAGCTACAGGGTGTTAAAATTTTAGAAAAAAAAATTACTTTTCTATCATAATTTTCTTATTACGGCAGACATTTTTATGAAATTTCGGACGTGGACGTCACTGATAATAGTAGAAAATTAATTTTTATCCCAAAAAAAAAAGTGTTTCCATGCATGGTGGGCGCCTATCAAATTTCAACAAAATATCAAAAGCAATTTCAAATTGAACTTGGGAAAAAATGTTTTTGGTTTTTATTTTTTTACGCGAAAATGGTGCGTCGTACGAAAATAAGCCTTCTGGTCGAATTAGCTACAAAATAAATGAGGATTTTAAAAATAATTTTAGTTTTTAGAAAAACCAGTGGTGTACCATTTTTTTTTTCAAACATATTCAGTTCAAACCCCGTACGGACGTCACTGGTGAATATTTAAAAAAATCTTACGCCTCAAAAAATGTTCCTTAATAATTAAAAAGTGTATACAAAATTTCATAAAAATATCTGCAGTAATAAGAAAATTATGATAAAAAAGTTATTTTTTCTCTAAAATTGTAACACCCTGTAGCTCAAAAACTAAGAGGTTTAGGACATACATTGAAAAAAACTTTTCTTCTTAAAATCATCCAAATATTCACATCCTGAAGTATCGGCATTCAATTAAATAACACCCTATATATTTTTTATTAACATCAAAGAAATATCAATATATGAAAATTATTTTAAAAATATCACACTGACAGCACCATCTATCGCTAAAACCGAATACTAGCATTTCTCCTTAATCGAATCCTTCCTAACCAATTCGCGAGGAACCAAAATCGACGATTAAATCCTTTATTATTTAACAATATTTCTAGTTTATTAAAAAAAAACGATGCCCAAACAACACATATTTAAAGCCCCCCCCCCTAACAAGCACCACTTCTTACACACCAAACACCCCGTACACAAAAAAAAAAAACAACCCCCAACAAAAAAATCAATTCCCCTCCAATTTCATCGCCTTCGCCATCTCCTCGTCCCTCCTCTCCGACTTCGTCCTAAACTTGTAGAATTGCTCCCACGGCGCGCTCACGTCGAACCGCCTAAACTCCTGCGCCAGCTCGAGCGGTTCCACCACCACCATTTTCCTGGCCTCGTCGTAGCGGTACTCCACGTAGCCGGCGAGCGGGAAATCCTTGCGCAGGGGATTCCCCGCGAAGCCGTAGTCGGTGATGATGCGCCGCAGGTCCGGGTGGTTGGCGAACAGGACGCCGTAGAGATCGAACACCTCCCGTTCCGGCCATATTGCGCCCTTGTAGATATCTATATCCGGGGGGCGTCTTCGATAAATTATACCTCGATAAATGGTACTAGATACGGTTCTAAATGGTTGTAGAGCGTTTTAAACGGTTCCGGGGCGTTCTAAATGGTTCTAGACAGTTCTAAATGATTCTGGAGCGTTCTAAAATGGTCCTAGACAGTTCTAAATGGTTGTAGGCAGTTCTAAATGTTGCTCTGGAGCACTCGAAATGGTTCCTAGAGAGTCTTTTGAATGGGTCCGGAGTGTTCTAAATGGTTCTAGAGCGTCCTAAATGGTTCTAAACAGTTCTATATGATTCCGGAGCGTTCTAAATGGTTCTAGACAGTTTTAAATGATTCTGGAGCCTTTTGAATGAGCCTGGAGTGTTCTAAATGGTTTTTAAATTGGTTTTTTAAATTGTTCTGGAGCGTTTTAAATGTTTTTGGAGCGTTCTAAATGGTTCTAGACAATTCTAAATGATTTTGCAGGCTTTTAAATGGGTCTGGAGTGTTCTAAATGGTTTTTGAAATTGTTCTTGAGCGTTTTAAATGTTTTTGGAGCGTTCTAAATGGTTTTTAAATTGTTTTGGAGCGTTCTAAATGGTTCTAAATGGTTCTAAACAATTCTAAATGATTCTGGAGCCTTTTGAATGGGTCTGGAGTGTTCTAAATGGTTTTTAAATTGGTTTTTTAAATTGTTCTGGAGCGTTTTAAAGGTTTTTGGAGCGTTCTAAATGGTTCTAGACAATTCTAAATGATTTTGGAGGCTTTTAAATGGGTCTGGAGTGTTCAAAATGGTTTTTAAATTGTTCTTGAGCGTTTTAAATGTTTTTGGAGCGTTCTAAATGGTTTTTAAATTGTTTTGGAGCGTTCTAAATGGTTCTAGACAATTCTAAATGATTCTGGAGCCTTTTGAATGGGTCTGGAGTGTTCTAAATGGTTTTTAAATTGTTTTTTAAATTGTTCTGGAGTGTTTTAAATGTTTTTGGAGCGTTCTAAATGGTTCTAAACAATTCTAAATGATCCTGGAGCTTTCGAAATAGTTCCTAGACAGTTCTAAATGATTCTCGATCGATTTAAATGGTCCTAAAGCATTCTAAATGGTTTTAGACAACTCTAAATGGTTCTAAACAGTTCTAAATGGTAAACTGTAGAAAATTCCGAAACATTCCAAGGATTTACTGAAGAAACGCCAGAAGAGAAAACTAAAACATACCCGATATGGAATCGATGGCGGTCAATTCGTCGGTGTAAGTTTTCACTTTGATCCTGGAATTGAACCGCATGGAGAGGAGCATGTAAATCAATTCGAATCGGAAGCATCTAGAAGGCACGTCGATGGCGGTGACGTCGGTGAAGGACTCGAATTGGCAATTGTGGTGGTCTTTGAGGAATTGCACGACACACTGGATGCCCTCCGGAACGACCAGAACGTCCAGTTCGTCCGTGGAGGAGACCTGGACGGCCTGGACGTATTTGGGTATGCAGTCCGAGACGTATTTGCCGAAGTTTTTCAGCTGGACGCGTTTGGGGTTTTCGGATTGTTCCGGTTGTTTCGCGACGGCTTTCGAGGCGGTTTTGTTGCGGACGGGGGAGAATTTGTTGAACGGATTGTTCGAGGCGAATGTCTTTTCCAGGATTCTGATCGATTTCGATATTATTGACATTTTATTTGACTGTACGTGTTATTGTTTTATGGGGTGTTTTACTTATGAACAGAGTACGATTGTTTTTTCGAATAACTTAAATGTAAAAGGCCACCGATTGAAACAAACTGATTTTGTACTTCTTAGAAGACGAAAAGTTCGTTTCTTTTTAGCACGGCCCTATATTTCTAAGGTCTGGAATTAGAGACTAGAGAACATTAGACATTAGAGAATGTGTCCCGTTATTTGAGGACTTTTTGAGCTTCGCTTTTGCGCCGCAACGTGGCGAACGATCGGAGGACCAAATTATCTCAGCCAATCAGCGTCGAGCTACATATAAATCGCGGTTGTTGTGAAATGACAGTTCGAGCTGTCAAAACTTCAAAAATTATTTTTTGACATTTCGAGGAGAAAATGGAGAAATGCATTAACCGAAGATACGTGAGGCATGATGTTTACAACAAAATCATCGCTGATTTAAGTATATTTTTATAATTTGTGTCTATTTTTAGTTTGAATAAAACCTATCTTAATGCTAATTCTACATAATTCGTACGCAAAAAAACGTGGTCCTTTACAACATCGCCTTCTAGCGACCGTTTTAGGAACCCTGATTTATCCTCAAATAACGGGACACTATTTAGAAATATAGGACCGTGAAAAAAACTGATTTTGTACTTCTTAGAAGAAGGAAAGTTCGTTTCTTTTTAGTAAAACAATTAGCACTTGTACGTTTAGTTGATTTTTTTCACTTACCTGCGTGTAGAACTAATTCCAAGCGGGAATTCCAAACAGTAAATGGGACTTTAGCAACAATCTCAGATTAATAACTAAACACTTAACACTAATACTAACAATAACTAATAACACTAACGATAACTAATAACTGTTTAATTGTTTATTCGAGGCAAGAATTAAAATTTAAAATGAATTGACATTAGTGACATTTCGAATGACAGAAATTTAATAGAGGTGGGAATAGATTTTTCGGTGTAGAGGTGCAGTAACGACTGTTCCAAAATAACCGTTATTTTTCAAATATCGCACTCTATTCTACTATACTCGAGAAAAATCGGAAAAATCAAGAAAACAACCTCAATGCGCAACAACTTATCATTTATTATTTAATCTCAACGTTTTTTTTTCTGAATAACCCACTACACACACCGTAGCATTTTACTTTTTAGATTTTCTAGGATCGCTAAATATCCCTTTGGCGAACATGCTCTCCCATTCCTTTCCATTAGGATAAACGTGCCCTTCCAACGATTCCTTCTTCATCTCCGTATTGTACCCCGGCGCCTGCAACAACCCAATAAATAAACAAACAAACAAACAAACGGTATACAGTACCCTGGGCGCCATGTAATGGGCGTTCTCGATGACAGTGGGATGCACAAAGTGCTCGTGCTGCTGATCAACGTACTCCACCCATTTACCTTCCGAAGTACCCGAAAGGGCCACGTAGTCCCACATCTGCAGGTGCTGCACCATCTCGCACAAACCCACACCACCAGCGTGAGGACAAACTTTCACTAAAACACAAAATAAAACGTCACATTATCAAAGATTTTACCTACTAAGCTCCTAGTTTCAGTTCTCCTCTTACATCGACCGGTTGCTTCGCTTCGCAAGAGGCCACGTAATACAACAAAAAGAAGAAGAAATAGAAGAAAAGGCTCGAACCTCCCAATTTGTGGGCCATCAGATAGACGGGCAGGATCTCGTTGACGCCGCCGACGCGCGCCGAATCGATCTGGCAATACTGGATGGCGTCGGTTTGGAGGAACTGCTTGAACAGCACCCGATTGCAGCACATCTCGCCCGAGGCGACGCCGATGCCGAGCGGTTTCAACGCCTTGGCGATCTCGCGATGGCCGAGGACGTCGTCGGGCGACGTCGGTTCTTCGATCCAGAGGGGCTTGTACGGAGCGAGGACTTTCATCCAATCGATGGCCTCCTGGACCTCCCACACTTGATTGGCGTCCACCATCTATGCGGAAAGATACACAAATCGAAGGATTACGAAGAGACGAGAGATAGTAGATAGTGTTTTGGCTGGATGCTCGCTTCGGTGGAGGCGATTTAGGTCAACATCGTAACACTATGGAATCGCTTCGGGACGAATTATACAACTGTCCAGAATGATTTAGAACTGTCTAGAGTGAAGCAGAACTGTCCAGAATCGTTTAGATTGCTTCAGGACGGATTACGATTGTCCAGAATGATTTAGAACTGTCTAGAGTAATTTAGAAATGTCCGGAACGATTCAGAACTGTCTAGAATGAAGCAGAACTGCATTTAGATTGCTTCAAGACGAATTAGAACTGTCCAAGATTGATTTAGAACGCTTCCGAGCGAATTAGAACTATCTAGTGCAATTTAGAACTGTCCGAAATCATTTAGGACTTCATTTATTGCTTCAGGACAAATTACGACTATCCAAAATGATTTAGAACTGTCCAGAGCGATTCAGAACTGTCTAGAATGAAGCAGAACTGTCCAGAATCATTTAGATTGCTTCAGGACGAATTAGAACTGTCCAGATTGATTTAGAACGCTACCGAGCGAATTAGAACTATCTAGAGCAATTTAGAACTGTCCGAAATCATTTAGGACTTCATTCATTGCTTCAGGACGAATTAGAACTGTCGAGAATCAGAATATAAACTGTCAGAATTATTTAGAACGCTTCCAAAACAAATTAGAACTATCTAGAGCGATTTAGAACTGTCCGAAATCATTTAGATCGCTTCAGGACGAATTAGAACTGTTCGACACGATTTAGAATTGCTTCGGAACGACCTAGAACCGCCTAGAACCACTTTAGAACCGTCCGGAATCGTCCGAGAACGTGACATATCGCCTTACCAACGTCTTGTCCCATCCTATAACGTTCCTGATGTATTCCAATCGCTTCACGTCATCCTTCAAATTCTTCCCCACTTTCACTTTGAAAGCCGTAAAACCGGCATCCATGTATTTCTGCGCCAGGTGCTGGATCTTCTCGTTGGAATATCCCAACCAACCTTAAACAAAATTAAATATATAATCAACAAACACCCATAAATTAATCGCACAACATCAAATATTAGCTCGTTTCAAATTACCCGCTTGCGTGGTATAACACGGATACCCCTTCTCCAACAGCTTGTTCATCCTCTCCTCGCGACCCTCGCGGCCCTTCCGCAGCATCTCCAACGCCTCCTCTTTGGTCACGACGTTCGTCAGGTAGCGGAAATCGATGCAGGACACCAGCTGCTCGGGCTCCATGTCGGCCAGCAGCTGCCACACCGGCTTCTTCACCAGCTTGCCCCACAGGTCCCACAGCGCGTTGACGATGGCCGCCGTCGCCAGGGCCGTAACGCCCTTTTCCGGACCGATCTACAAACGTTCTCCCATTACAACATCTCCCGGAAGATCCTGTATCCGTCTAAATATACCCATCTGAGCTGGCTCTCGCTGGTGAGAGATCGCCAAAAGACGCCGAATTCCTTGTAGATGTCGGTCACCACCTGGCCGATCACCAGGTTCTTCATCGATTCGACGCAGGCCACCACCACCTCGGTGCCCCTGCCGCAGGTGAACGTCAAACCGAAGCCCTGCAGGCCCGATTGCAGCCCTACGGTGACGTAGGCGCACGAATAATCGGGATCGGTGTGCTGCGATTTATCGACAGAATTACAGTCTAAAAAAGTGCAAGAGGAGTAGGACGATAGGATGGAGTAGGAGAGGTATCGGGTAGGGTGGTAAAAAAGGTGGAGGTATCGACACAATTCGATCTACAAAGCGCATTTTTCGGATTGAAAAAAATAATAGACGATTGAGGGGTAGGTGTAGGTGGGAGGGATCAGTTGGGGTAGTGAGGGGGTAGATGAGGGCAGAAGAAAGTAGGGGTAGGGTGATAGGATAGAGTAGGGAGGGATCAGGTAGGGTAACGAGGGGTAGAAGGATGTAGAGGAGAGTAGGTAGAGGGTAAAATCGGGTTAAACGATACTCCGTGTCGGTTCATATGCGCGGAACACCCTGTATATTATGGTAAATCTGCGATACAATGGAATCGAATAAGTACAGGCACTCGTCCTATTCGTTATCTCGATATATAATTTACGAATTTTATCTCGATTAAAGTCACAAAGTCGCATCGTGCGTCTAAAAATGATAACTAATAAATTTTGCGCGCAATTAAAAATTGTGCAATTAAAACGAAACTCGAATTAATTAAAACGGTAGCGGTTGGGTACATCTTGCAATACGCACAATTATACAGTGCGTCCCAAATTCGATTCACTATTTTGACAGCTGTCAAATTATTCCACTAAAATTTTAACCATTTACCCTTTTCGCTGTAGGTATAATTTGGCAACAGAGATCCCTGTATAGAGACAGAGAAACGATTCTAGGACACACTGAATCATTCAGATTACTTCAGGAAGAATCAGAATTGTCCAGAATGATTTTAGAACTGTCCATAACGATTTAGAACTGTCTATAATGATTCACAACTGTACGGAACGATTTAGAACTGTTCAGAGTGATTTAAAACTGTCTATAATGATTCACGACTGTACGGAACGATTTAGAACTATTCAGAGCGATTTAAAACTGTCTATAATGATTCACGACTGTACAGAACGATTTAGAACTATTCAGAGTGATTTAAAACTGTCTAGAATGATTCGGAGTGTTCCAGAACGATTTCAAAACTGTCCACAGTAATTTAACCACTATATACGCTCGGTATACGAGGGTAAGATGAAAAGTCTATATAATTTTCAGCTAAAAAAAATATTACGCGAGAACTTATCGCCTTACGCTCGTATACCGCAGAGTTGATTTACGTAAATTTATCTACGGTTTTAGGAGTAAAAAAAAATATATGAAATTTTTGTTTGTTATACCATGGCGTCGGAGCCGTCGGCCTGCAGCGACGTCGGAAATCGGACGTCTTTCACGTCCAACGAGACGATTTTCAGGTTCTCCGAGGTCATCGATTTGCTCATGGTCGAAGAATGTGTGTTTCTCCAAGCGGTGCTAGGGAAGTACTGGTTCTAAAAATACCGAAAAAGGCTAGATTTATATCTCGAAGCGAAGCGTTATCGCCGCAGAGGAGTAACTAATCAAAAAAACGTATGGGTCATGTGGCGGAGCGCGAGTTATGTAACTCTCCGATTTGTTTTTAATTTAATAATCGGATTCGTGTATAAATTTCGTTAGACGAGCTCACTCGAAGCGTTGATAAGGATTTCTAATGTAAATAAAGCGCGATGTGTTTGTGTGTGTGTGTGTGTATTGGGTGTTTATCGAGTTTTAATGTAGCTACTTTAAAATGTAAATTTTTGAGTAATTTCGAGATGAAAAGTTGTGCGTATATAACGCGAATGTCGTTTCGGAGATATACAGGGTGTTGAAGTTTCATTTATATACGTTATAAACTGTCCTAAAACCGCTTCAAAACCGTTCTAAAATCGCTCGAATTTTGCTTCAAAATCCTTTCTGAAACCGCATTTCAACTTCAACATTCTTTATAAATATTAGCAAACTTTTCATCTCAAAATTAGTCATAAAATTTACCCTTATAAAGTTTCTACAAACACTAATTAAACACCCCATATAGGGTTGAATGATTTGATAGAAACACTCAGTTATTTACCAAAATAAACGAATGAATTTTTTTTATATAAAACAATTTCCAATTTTTTCTCTCTTTTCAACAATCCGAATCCGACGTTTCGTGCTCCTTATTCCTGCGTTTCGTGTACTTCTGCATGTACCGGCAACTCGGCGGGCATTTGCTCTCCTCTTCGCTCGAAGAATCGCCTCGCTTTCTATTCGTCTCCTTCTGCTGCTTCTTCTTCGTCTTCTTCTGCATTTTCTTCGTTCTATCATCGGATTTATCCTCTCTGTCGACGTCTAAATCCGTTTGCTCGGCCTTTTCGGCCATCTGTCGTTGCTCGGTATTCGATTCGTTACATCTAGTAGCCGGTTTGTGGTCCAGCACGTCGGCAACGTGGCATTTAGGCGGCGTTGCCGGTTTGCAAAGGCTCAAATGTCTCACCTAGAAATGCGCGGTACGTTTTAAATAATTCTCCATGGGGTAAAAAGGTAAAAAGTTCTCGGCCACACAACGAAAGACCGCGATTTTCTATTGAAAAATTAAATTCTAAACAGTTCTAAACGATTCTGGAGCGTTCTAAATGACTTTGGAGCATTCTAAATAGTCAGTTCTAAATGATTCTGGGGCTTTCTAGATTGTTCTAGACAGTTCTAAATGAGTTTGGAGCATTCTAAATGGTCCTGAAGCGTTCTAAATGGTTCTAGACAGTTCTAAATGACTTTGGAGCATTCTAAATGACATTGGAGCATTCTAAATAGACAGTTCTAAATTAATTTGGAGCATTCTAAATGGTTCTGAAGCGTTCTAAAGGGCTCTAGACAGTTCTAAATGATTCTAGACAGTTCTAAATGATTCTAGATAGTTCTAAATGATTCTGAAGCGTTCTAAATGACTATGGAGCATTCTAAATGGTTCTAGACACTTCTAAATAATTCTACGCAGTTCCAAATGATTCTGAAGCCTTCTAAATGGTTCTAGACAGTTCGAAACAATTCTGGAGCCTTCTAGGTTCTACTAGACAGTTATAAATAATTCAGATCGAGAACTATTCACCCTACCCTCGTATCATATCTCTCTCTTACCCCCTTGTTCTCTTCGCTTCCACCGGGCTGTTGAGCTGACGTGTGACTGGTACCTAAAAATCGATTTATTAACAACATTAATCACCAAAGATTATTAAATATATATACTTACATGCATTTTGACGGCCCGCGTTGAGCACATTTCTCGCCGATATGCCGCAAACGTTGTTGAAATCGGACGGAATCTCTGCAACGAAAACCGTCCGGTGAATACGAGGGTAAGGCGAAAAGTTCCCCTGCCCCCGAATGAATAGTCGAATAACTCTTCACCTAACCCTCGTATATGCTACACAGAACACTTACGAGCTCCGTGTATCGGTGTATTATCTCCCAATAAATCGGAACAAGACGTAGTGGTGTCCAGATGGAATCTCAATTTGTGCGCGGGATGTCCCGACTGGTCGTAGTAGAAGGGATTTCGGGATAGTTGTTGGTAGTCGAATCCGGGGAAATGTACGCCCGTTTGGGCCAGTTCCGATGGCTCGCGGCCCCAACCGAGGGCCGACTGGTCTTGCACGTTAAAATAGTGCCTTTTAAATTAAACGCATCGTTAGCTCTCTCGGTGTTTAATGTGGGGTAGTACTAACGGTTGGGGAGCGTTTCCGAAGGAGTGTCTGTGAGTAGTCGGGAAGGTGAATAGGACTCCGGACGGCGGGAAAAAGTGTTTGTCCGCTCTAATGTAGTTGCCGTTGTATAAACTGGGTGGGTTCAGGGCGTTGTTGTTGTAGGGAAATTGGAAATTTCCGACGATGGCCGTTCGGACTGTATCCAGTAGTTTTCGGTTCTTTTCTTGCGATACGAGTACATTTTGTCCGTTAACGTAAACCGGTGCTGGAACAGTAAAACGTACATCCGTTCATCGTTTCTAATTAAAGCTTATATTACCTTTTATTTTAGTTGAAAACACGTAAATAAAACCACTGTTTATTATTTTCCAACCTCACTTTTTCTTCTTTTCTTAATTTTTAAAAATGACAGTTCAAATTTACGAATCAAGTAGTAAAAATGCGCATGCGCGACACACTGAAATACTTGTTGCATGCGCACTTTATTCTTTATTTACCGCGATAAGATAACGTTTACATAAATGCAGTCGAATATGCGGTTTATTCAAAACCATTATTACTATCACTATCATTAGAATAACGGAGGCATAAATAAAGAAGTTTCATCGGCAAACTTACCGGATGTAAAAAAACTTTCGTCGATGTAGTTGGTCCCGTTCGAAACGAATGGATTCATGTATAAATTGCGCCACGAGAATTTCGCCGATTTTATTTTTGTCTAACTAAAATTTCAATTTTTTACTGTACGAAATTTGACAAATGTCACTTGTCACAAATATCGTGTATTCGTGGCCTTTACTCTCGCGGCTAAACAGCGCAACAAGAGAATTCCATTCAATATTTTATTAAACGTCCGAGTTGTAGTGGTTATATAATGGTTTAGAATTATTTAGAACGCTTCCAGAATCATCGACAACACTAAAATAATGGTTTTATAGTGGTTATTTGGTCAATAGTATAAGGCCACTAATGTAACTGTCAAATATCGAGTCAACAGAGTCTTCTTCTTCTTTTATTACATGGCATCTTGGTAAATACCGAATCCGACCAATTAACGACGAAAAAATAAGCAAAACGAAACAATTAATTATTATTAGAACATTTATTGAAATCCTAATTAAGCGCAACAGAGTTAATAAACGCAGCCACCCGATCGTTGTAGAGCATCGAAACGTGGTCTCCTTCGATTTCGATCGTTTGCACGGCCGCCCCGCAATATTCGCCTAAATTGTAATCGTCAGACAGCGCCGCGACGACCTTCGTGCTGGCCTTCAACAGCGTCACCTTCGATTTCAACGAATATTTCCCGTCGAAATCGTTGAACGCCTTTCCTCGCTTCATAAACGCCCCCAGGAGTTTCTTCAATTGCTCCTTGGTGATCTTCATCATCGGGGCTATCAGGTCACAGGCCACTTCCGTTTTCTCGCTCAATGTGGTCTTCTGCATGATGGCTTCCTGAAAATGGTTCCTCCGTTAATACGGATGTTGTTTGAAGAATCTATCCAGATTGATTTCGAATGAGAGTTTCCCGCTTACTTTGATCTCCAACGTGAGGAAATAGTCCAAAGATCTGAGCAAGAAGGCCGTGTCGAAGTCCCCGTCGGTGGTCGAAGGCAACAATTGCTTGGTAAAGGTGGTGGAACCGTCGCAGCAAATCAAATTGAACTGGTAGCCGATTTGTTCCAGACGATGGACGATTTCCAGGGCGAGCATCGTTCCGCTGGAATGGGCGACGATGCACACCGGTTTGCTGCGATCGAAGTTGCTCTGGATATACTGGAATACATTCGTTTATAGTCGCTTTAAGGTTTGTTCCAAACGATCGCGTTACCTCGATTTCGTTCTGGATCATATCGGGAACATTGTCGGCGGGATGCTCGAAATCGAACTGGAACGCGGTGACGCGCGCGTCCAGTTTCTTCGCCAGCGGCTCCAAGATGGTGGTGATCCCTTCGATGCCGGGTATCATGATGATTTCCGGAACTTTGGCGTCCCCAGCCGGAGCGTTGGATTCCAATTGCAGTTGCACTTGCATCGGTGAATCCTTCGTTACCGCTTCCAACAGGTAACTTATGCTTTTGCCGACGATGTCCTCGTTTTGCCCCTGCTTGTCGCTGTTGCTCTTCTCCTCTTCCAGCTCTTTTATCCTGGAAAAAATGGTTGTTTTATAGGCGTTAGAAGCTGCAGTCTAGAGCGTAGCCAGATGCACAGATATACCAGAAATCCAGGTCCACAAGATTGGACTATTGTGCAGCAATTACTCAGAATACAAGAAACTGGATAGATTGATGATATCACACCACACATACACATAAACCACAGAGATCCTAGATATCTAGGTCCACAAGATTGGACTAATGTGCAGCAATTACTTAGAATACAAGAAACTGGATAGAGTGATGACCATACATACACATAAACCACAAAGATCCTAGATTTCCAGTACCACTAGATAAAATAGAAACAACAGTACCATCCACCAACCAACAGGTTCTCGTACAGTACCTTCCGAACGTCAACGTTCTGATATCCTTCGCCGACAGGAACACGCCCTGCTCCCTTTCGAGCATCTGCTTGATCTCCACGGTGGTCATCGAGTCCATGCCGAGCTCGGCCAACGTCTGCGTGTTCTGCACGGTCTTCAGGTCCAGTCCGAGTATGTTCGCGATGGCCTCGGACATGTTCTCGCCGCCGAAGGCGCTCCGTTTCTCCGCCACCACCACGCTGGAGACGACGGCCGATCGGCCTTGGGTGAGCAACAGGTCCATCACCTGCAGACAGCTGGACAGCTTCTGTTGCAGCGAACCGCCGATGGCGATCTCTTTGCCGTCGTCCTCGCGCGAATCCGCCACCAGACCGACCTGGAACAAGAGTTCCGATGAAGCGGTGTATCAGAAGATAGAGGACTTACATCTCCGATGGCGCCCCATTGTATGGCTACAGCCGGTAAGCCGATGCTCCTGCGTTGCTCGCAGATCCTCTCCATCACCGAGTTGGCCATGCCGTAGTTGGTTTGGCCGGCGTTGCCTCGACCGCAGGACACCGACGAAAATATCACGAAATGTCTGCGAACGGTAAAAGTAGAATTAGGCTAGCACCTGGCGGAGACAGCCGGTGGTAGTCTCACTCCAGCTCCGGACACGACCTCCTGGTGATCTCGTCCAGGTAGCGAGCGGCGCGCGCTTTCGGCGCGAACGACGTCTTGAACGAGTCCATCGATTGGTTGTCGAAGATGGCGTCGCGCAGCACCACGGCGAGGTTGAAGACGGCGCCCACCGGCGCCGCGGCGTTCGCCTGGGCGATCAGTTCCTCGCAGCCCTGCTTGGTGGAGACGTCGGCGCGCGATATCAGCACCGCGACGCCGTAGTCGTCGCGCCAGCGCCGCACCCGGCTCATTTGGTAGCCGTTCTTCGGGCCGCTCCTCGACGACAGGACCAAGTGGGTGGCGCCGCGCAGGATCAGCCAGTCGGCCAGCTCCAGGCCGAAGCCGCCGAGACCGCCGAGGATCACGTAGGACTTGTTCGGCGTGCAGAACCACCTGGAAAGCAGTGGAGCGTTTCAATCGTACTGGGTCTAAGCAAACCGAAAGCAAGATGATGAATGGTAGTTGTGGCTAGATGCCTGGAAGCAAAAGACAATAAACTAGGAAGAAGAAGAAGAAGAAGAGGATGAATCGTATGCTGTAAGTGTAGCCTACAAGTAGACCAAAGTTTGTGTACTTGGAGTACTTAGAAATGAGAAAGACCAAGAGAAGATGAATTGGAAGAGAAAAACATCAAAAGCAAAAGTTTTGCTAAGAACAAAAAGGAAGGGATGAAGAAGAATATGTACCTGGGATTGCTGACGATTTGTTTGAGCGGCGCTCCCTCCGGTTGGATCTCTATGAGGACCTTTCCCATGTGCTTGCCGCTGGTCATGAACCTGAAGGCTTGCTCTATGTCGTGGACGTCGAAAACGGTCACGTCCAAAGGCTTCACGAGGCCTTGTTTGATGCAATCGTTCAGCAGGTTTTTCAACTTTTCCTTCATGGGCGTCGTCTGGTAGAAGTAGTTGTCCAGACAGATGGAGTGGAACGAGGCTTCCTTCTCCAACAGGAGCAGATCCAAGGGCGTGTTGTTGCCGAGATCGTACTTGCCGATTTCGAGGAACCTGCCGCCGGTCGCCAGGCACCTAACCGACGCCATCAGCTTCTCGTCCGACAGCGAATTGATCACCAAATCCACGCCTTTGCCGTCGGTTTCGCGCAGCACCATCCGCTCGAAGGTGGTGTCCCTGGAGTTCCCCACGTGCGAACCTGGAAAAGGAATCGATCGAGATTCGATACGACCATCGCGTTGATCCGTACGTTTCAATCCGGGAAACTTCTTCAGCAGGAACTCCTTTTTCTCGGCGGTACCGCAGGTGGTGAACACCTCGCAGCCGTAGCGGAGGCAGAGGTGGATGGCGGCCTGGCCGACGCCGCCGCTCCCCGAATGGATCAGGATCGAGTCGCCCTTCTGCATCCGGCCGCTCATGAACACCGCGAACACCACGGTGCTGTAGACGCTCGGCACCGACGCCGCCTCCTTCAGCGTCCAATCGTCCGGCACCGGGAAGGTGAAGTGCACGTCGGCCGCCACCATGTTGGACAGCCCGCCCATCTTCAGGCCCATCACGCGCCGCCCCCTGCGACGAAATCGTTTATTTAGCGAAAAATACTCGTTAAAGATGGTGGGTAGGTACTTTTGGTCTACTCCGGAGAATTCGAAGCCTTCGATGGTGTCCTGGAAGCGATCGGTGCGCACGCTGTCCAGGTTCAGCTTCGCCGTGGCCGTCATGATGTCTTTGAAGTTGATCGACGAGTAGTTGATCTGTGGACATGATTAACTTCGATTTGCTTGAAGGTAGACCAAGGCTAGCTATGAATTGTTGCTTTGAGAGTCGCTCAGAAGGGGCGCTACTCCTTCACCTCTACTCGAGCCTACCAGAGGTGCTACCAGAGGTGAAGAAGCAGCGAGGAGAAGCCTTCTTCGCTGTAGACAGTCGCACAGTTGTTGGACTTGTACAAAGACAGTTTGAGGAAGAAAATCTTTCTAAGGGAGGCTTTTGGACTCTCCCATCTCTTAGGCAACATTCGAACCTACCCGAACCAAAGTCTCGTCGGCTTTGAGAGGCGCGTTGAGGCTCAAAGGTCCCTGCACCCATTTGAACGTGGACAAATCTCCTCGCACCATGATCTTGGCCAGATAGTGTTCGTTGTCCGTCTTCTGGTCCTCGTCCAACAGCAGGTGCCTGTAGGTGCCCCATCGGCCGTTTTTGTACACGTTCACCGTGAGGTTCTTCCTCAGCTGGTTCGCGAACAGCTCGGAGCTTGGCTCGAAGGCCACTCCGTCGTCCAAGATGGCCACGCACCGGACGTGACCGCAGCCAGGCTCTCTCACCAGGCAATTGGTGAAGCCCAGTATGCCGTTGGTCGGGTCGTTCTGGGAGTAAACCACCACGTTGTTGGACTCTTTCATAGTCGCTTGGAGTTGGGGCAACCAGGCGAATTCCTCTTCGTCGTCGAGCTCTACGTAGGTCGCTGGTGGTTTGGTCTCGGTTTTGTTCAACAGTACCAGAGTTTCTCTATCGGTGTGGTGGGTTGTTACTAGCGTTATTTTATCGTCTGTTAAGGATTTGGGGTTGAAGCCTAATGGTTCTCTGGATATGAGGAAACCTTTGGTTTTGAGCGAGTTCAAGGCGTTCTTCAACAGCTGCGAATCGAATTTATTAGTACAGGATTCGGTGTTACACAATTGTACTTACTTCTGGTCGTTGTAGAAGCTTCGACGCCACGATCAATTCGCAGTCTTTCTCCTCCTCGATGCTTCTGTTCTCCACGTTGATCGTCGTGGTCAAAGTCATCGGGCTCAGAACGGTCGCGTTGGCCTGGATCAACGGTTGGTCCTGGAACGATTGCACGATCATCTCCGACAGCACCGTCGGTTCCTCGGCAGTTTCCTCGTCGACGATTTCCACGACTTTGACGCTCTGAAACCTGCTGTTCTCGAGCACGATCTGCGTGTTCACCCTCATTGATTCCTCGTAGCTCAAACGAACGTCGTGGTTCGGTACGAAATCGTACGATTCCAGTACCGGTATCCTCAGGTTCTTCCTTCTCTGTATGGCGCTGGCGTGGAGACCTTTGATTTCCACTCCCAGCGTCCTGGAAGATTCCGAATTTAATCAGATGAATCGACAATCGAGTCTCTAGCAGTAAGTACCTTATGCAATCCGTGTCCTTGCAGTAGAAGGCCTCCAGCAACTGTTCATCGTCGGTGTCGGCTTTGATCTCCTTGAAGAATTCGTTGCAGTTGATGGTGATCTTTTCGATGAACGTCGGCACGTACAGCTGCCTGGAGTCCTGCGACAGGATCTTCAGTTGGAACAGATTGTCCAGGAACGTCACCCAGTTGTGTTTGAACACCACGGTACTCGCGGTACCGTCGATTCGGGCGTCTCGCAGCCCCCTAAAGCCGCCACTGGAACGCCCACAACCAATCAATGTCGATGGTTTCGTAATGGGACCAATAGGACCGATAGGACCAGTAGGATCAATAGGACTAATAGGACCAATAGGACCAATAGGACCAATAGGACCAATAGGACCAATAGGACCAATAGGACCAATAGGACCAATGGGATCAATAGGACCAATAGGACCGATAGGACCGATAGGACCAATAAGACCAATAGGATCAATAGGACCGATAGGACCAATAGGATCAATAGTACCAATAGGACCGATAGGACCAATAGAATTCCTGGCATAATCACCTATAATTGTAGCCTCTCAATCGCAGTTCCTTGTAGATGTCCTTGGAGGTGACGACTTTGTCGGCGGGCGGGGGCGGTCGGAGGGGGGCGAGGGGTTCGTTGCCGTCCTTGTTGATGAACATCTTGCCGGAGACGACGAGGGAGCCGCCCTCGGAGATCTCGAACCGGCCGCTGGGGCTGAATTGGATCTTGAAGGAGACGCCTTGGTTGTTGAGGGTGGTGGCGCGGATGAAGCGGCAGTCCTCGAAGACGATCGATTGGAACCTGAGGCCCCAGCCGGTGAGGCTGTTCCAGACCAGGTGGAGGTAGCCGGAGGCGGGGAAGAGGTTCCTGCCTGTTGGTGAGGAGATTACAGATGGTGGGGATTTTTTTGTGTGTTTTGTAATGAGAAATTGGGGATATCTTGGAAATTTGAAGGTTTTTGAAAATTTTTGATTCTTTGAAAGTTGTAGAGAATTGGTTTTTCTGTAAGGTGATGGTGGTTTTGTTTTTTTGTGTTGATTGGTTTTCGAAATAGTTGATGTTTTTTAAAGAGTTGCGTTAAAAATTAATGTTTTTATGTCGCGTATTTATTACGAAATAGTTGGGATATCTTGAAAATTTGAGGGTTTTTGAAAATTTTTGATTCTTTGAAAGTTGTAGAGAATTGGTTTTTCTGTAAGATGATGGTGGTTTTGTTTTTTTGTATTGATTAGTTTTCGAAATAGTTGATGTTTTTTAAAAAGTAACATTAAAAATTAATGTTTCTTTATCTCGTTTTACAACGTAAAAGTCCTTTTATCTCGGAAATTTGGGGATTTTCGAAATATTTCGATTCTTTCAAAGTTGTAGAGAATTATTTTTTCTATAAAATAACGAAAATTTCACTTTTTTATCTCAATTGGATTTCGAGATAATTAAAGTAATCAATACAAATCGAGTCGTCTTTGGTTCGGGTAACTTCGGGGGAATTACCGTCTATCACGTGGCCTGTGACGTATTGCCAGGCCACCTTGGTGGTGTCAACGTGGTAGAATTTATTGGCCTTGCGGCCCGTCATCATCGTTTCCTCGAATATCCACCATTTTTTCTTGTTGAACTTGATCTTGCTGGATATCATGGGGGTTCCCCTGCGCACCGGGAACTCGATCTTCGGGTACAATCGGTCCAGGCTGGACGAGTGCCCGACGAAATAGAGGCTGGAAAATGAACGAAACTCGTCCTAAAGTCCTCTCTGGAATGCAGGTAAACACTTACTTTCCCAGGCATTCTAGGAAACTCTGGAAATCGCGGAAATTGTACAATTGGACATTTTCGAAGGTCTTGATGGCGTCTTTTAAATTGCTTTCGCCTATTTCGAAAATTACGCATTGGGTTTCGATGGATTTTCCATACATTTCGTGGTTTCTTTTCAATATTTCATCGATAAATCCGTCCGATAAAGCTTTAGGTAGAACAGTTCGTAAATTCTTCACCAGTCCGTTTCCTAAAAGTTCAAAATTATTAATCACCCTGTATATAATTTTATGTGAATAGTACTCAGGATGTGCTTACAATTACAATGCAAAATTCTAAATCAAAGTTATGTTTTTGAAACATTTAGTTTCGTTCAAAAATAGCAATTTTTTTGGGACATTCTGTATACATACACATCTGTAACTGTATATACAGCATGTCCCAATTCAAACAAAAATACTCCGCCTACTCGATTCTTTAAGAACACAAAAAAAAATCTTCCACCACGAAATCAACTTACTGTTAGTGTTAAACGCCAATTCCACTTCTTTGGAAGATACAGGTTGTCCCATCTAAAAAAACCACGTATAATTTTCAAACTCGCGACGCCCCGTATATAAATAAATTATCTTACCTTCGGCGAGGCGGTTTCGTTGACGTGCTCGTTGAGAACCAGACCGGCTCTAACGACTTGCTCTAACGTCAAATCGTCGTCGTAATAAGCCCTTATTAGCATCCCATAAGAGCGCCCTCTTGCGACCTTTACGTTCATATTTAGAGCCTTTAACGCGTCCGCTAGCGCGGCCTGCGCGATTAGGCCGCCCGCGATGGAATATCGCCGCCTCGCGTCGCCGTCCCGTCCCAAAATGGCCTCGTTTAGAGGCGGTTTTAGCTCGCCCAGTATTCTCTCGGCTCTAAAATTCGATGCCGTGCAAATGGGGTTTGAGCAAATAAGTCGAATTTACCTTCGAATGGTCTCGCTGAAGGTCGGTACGGACATAAACCGGTGGAAATCCGCCTCCCAGGAGGCGTACTCGCCGAAGGAGAGTACCAACGGTGGTACTTTCAACGCTTTTACGGTGTACAACGCCCTCTGTAGTTCCCCGGTTTTCGAAACTATCGTGTAACCCCTGTACGCGTGACTCGGCAGGTATTTGCTGGAAATCAACGCGAGTTTTTGCTCAACAAGTCCCAAATCTCAGGTCCCAAGTCCCAAGATTCAAGTCCCAAGTTTCAAGTCCCAAGTTTCAAGTCCCAAGTTTCAAGTCCCAAGTTTCAAGTCCCAAGTTTCAAGTCCCAAGTTTCAAGTCCCAATCTCAAGTCCCAAGTTTCAAGTCCCAATCTCAAGTCCCAATCTCAAGTCCCAATCTCAAGTCCTAAGTCTCAAGTCCCAAGTCCCAAATCTCAAGTCCCAAGTCCTAAATCTCAAGTCCCAAGTAACAAGTCCCGCGATTAAAGGCCCTTACCAAAATATGCTGTGGTACAATTTGATCTGATCGACGTCTAGATGGCTTCGGATGTCGTCCAATAGACAGTCCACGGCCTCCTCCGATCTGCCGCTGACGAAGACCAATCGGGGCGTTTCGATGTCGTCGCCTTTGATCCTCAACGGTTGGAAGGGCCTCAGCAACAAGTGCACGTTGCTGCCCCCGAAGCCGAAGTTGTTGATGGCTGAAAAGTGCCAAAATTGTGTCCAAAGCAGCCGATAGAAGCAGGAGATAGAAGATGGAGAAAGAAGAAGCTTTAGGGCTTCCGGGGCTGACTTCCGGGACGAATTACGAAGGCTTACCGACGAGTGGTAGGTCCTCTTCGATCTTCATCGTGTCGGTGATGACCTTCAATCTGCCGTCCACGATGCTGGTGATCTTGGGATTGGGGGCGTCGAAGTTCACGTTGGGCGATACGAAGCCGGTTTCGAAGCTCAGAAGCACCTGGTGAACAAGCGGTTAATTTTACATAGGAATTCGTTCGGAACCAACGTAGGTACTATCGGGTACTGTCGGGTACTATATAGGGTACTAATAGGGTATATTCTCACCTTCACCACCGAACATACTCCCGAAGCCGGCTCGGTGTGTCCTATGCTCGATTTTACCGATCCTATGGGCAGCGGTGTTTTTCTGTTCTTGCAAAAGAAGCTGTCGATAGCTGCGCATTCTTCCGGATCGCCCACAGTAGTACCTGAATAGAATTAACCATAGAATAGCAGTACCTATAACCCAAGTGCCTGAACTGTGTACTCAAAGGGACACCTGAAGGACAGCAGAAAGAGAGCAGAAAGAGTGCAGAAAGAGAGCAGAAAGAGAGCAGAAGGAGAGCAGAAGGAGAGCAGAAGGAGAGCAGAAGGAGAGCAGAAGGAGAGCAGAAGGAGAGCAAAAGGAAAGAGCAGAATAAGAGCAGAAGGGAGCAGAAGGAGAGAGCAGTAGGAGAGAGCAGAAGGCGAGCAGAAGGAGAGCAGAAGGCGAGCAGAAGGAGAGCAGAAGGCGAGCAGAAGGAGAGCAGAAGGAGAGAGCAGAATAAGAGCAGAAGGGAGCAGAAGGCGAGCAGAAGGAGAGCAGGAGGAAAGAGCAGAATAAGAGCATAAGGAGAGCAGAAGGAGAGCAGAAGGAAAGCAGAAGGAGAGCAGAAGGAGAGCAGAAGGAGAGCAGAAGGAGAGAGCTGAAGCGGAGTCCAGAAGGAGTCCAGAAAAGGACCAGAAACAGACCAAAAGTAAACTAAAAGTAACCCAGAAACGGCCAATATACCCAAAGTCCAGAAATACCCAACGAAATTCATCCACAGTACGAAACCCTTCCAGGACCTCAACGACTCTTCAACTCAGCTAGATTCAAATCGAAAAAAGCAAACACCACGAACCGGTTCCGTGCGCCTCGATGTAGCTCAGGCTCTCCGGCTTCGCGCCCAACTCGCCGAACGTCTCCTCGAACAGCGCCCGCTGGTCGTCGCCCGACGGATAGGTGATGCCCTGCTCCTTGTACCCGTCGCAGTTGGACTTCACCGCCACCACCTGCGCGTACACCCTCCTGGCCAGCCGGGCCTTCTGCAGCACCAGCACGCACACCGCCTCCGCCCTCACGTAGCCGTTGGCCTTCGCGTCGAAGCTCCTGCAGATGCCGCACGTGTTCAACACCCCCAACCTGCGAACAAGTCCAAGGGAAATGAAGAAACGAAGAGGAAGAAGACCTGGGTTCGTATGTACCGCAGGAACTGGAGCGTGGAGCCCTCGCGCAGGCAGGAGTTGCAGCCGATGACGAAGGCCGTGTCGCAGTTGTCGGTGTTCAATTCCTTGAAGGCCAAGTCGATGGCGTTGGTGGAGCTGCTGCAGGCCGAGTCGGAGGACACCACCGGGCCTTTGGTCTTGTAGATGTAGGACATTCTGGCGCCCAGGGAGTACCGCGTCAGCCTGGAATATATAATAAGACCCGTTGTGAATTGATCTAGTAAGGCCTGTTCCGGATCAGTCTGGATGGTTCTAGACAATTGTTATTGGACCTGCAGCATTCTAAATGATTTTGGATAGTTCTAATTCGTTCAGAAGTGTTCTGAATCATTCTGGATGGTTCTAAATGGTTTTCGACCATTCTGATTTGACCTGCAGCATTCTAAATGATTCTGGACTGTTCTAATATGTTCAGAAGTGTTCTAAATCATTCTGGAAAGTTGTCATTCATTCTGGACAGGTCTACTTCGTTCGGAAGTGTCCTAAATCATTCTAGTTAGTTCTAATTCCTTCTAGAAAGTTCCAAATCATTCTGGAAAGTTCTAATTCATTATTTTGGACAGTTCTAAATGATTCTAGACAATTCTGATTCGACCTACAGCAATATAAATGATTTTGGACAGTTCTAATTCGTTCAGAAGTGTTCTAAATCATTCTGAACAGGTCTAAATCATTTTGGTTAATTCTAAATCATTGTGGAGAGTTGCAAATCATTCTAGAAAGTTCAAATTTATTCTGGACAGGTCTAATTCGTCGAGTAAGTGTCCTAATTCGTTCAGAAGTGTTCTAAATCATTCTGGAAAGTTCTAAATCATTCTGAACAGGTTTAAATCATTCTGAACAGTTCTAATTCATTATTCTGAACAGTTCTAAATGATTCTAAACAATTCTGATTCGTCCTGAAGCAATCTAAACGATTCTGCAGGGTGGAGAGTTGTGATATTGAAGTATATTGTGGAATTGCAACTTTCTCACTCTTACCACCGTTATTTGAATAATCTGTCTTTGTTCAACTCATAGAATTGACCATATTGACAATCTTTTAAACACTTTATGTTTGTAAAATTCGTCGGACGGTAAACTGATCTGTATAAATTTAGTCGGACGGTAAACTGATCTGTAAAAAAACAGTCGGACGGAAAACTGGTGTACTAGATATACCATACTTCGCATCTCGAAATTATTTAAAGAATAATCGAACCGCCGTGGAATACTTGATAAAAAAAATGAAGAATTGACCCTATCGACCAACAAATTTGCACTTATCTGCTAAGTATAAACTACTATCAGACGAGAACACTAGACGAGATATGATAGATGTAAGCGTTACCGACCCGTAGAAGGGAAACTGCCGCTTCGGATGGGTCTTCAGCCACACCTCGCTCTCGCCCATCATGCAGGCGGCCGAGAAGAACCCGACCCTTCGGTTCTGCAAATCCGACGGGTTCATGCCGGCGTCCAAGATGGCCTCGTAGACGGCCATGTAGGCGAACCTCAACGTCGGCTCGGCGAAGTTGGCTATGCGCCAATGGGCGCCTGCGAAGGAAAAGGAAAAGACCATTTTGGTGTTCTGTTTTACTGAATTGGTTCTCTGGGGTTTACCGAAATTGCCGGCGTCGTATTGGTCGAGTTCCCTGAGGGTGCCCATGCGCTTGGGGAAGTCGGGGATGTCCGATTTGATGCGATTGGGAGTGACCAGGAGTTGCTTGTTGTAGAGGGCCCTGCTGTATTCCTCGATGTTCCGGCTGTTGGGGAAGTACCCGGACATGCCTGGGTGCAGATGGTGCATGGTACAAGCTTTTTTTGTAGTATAAATGCGAATTTATTTACCTGATATCACCACATCGTCGGGGGAGAGGTTCGTGTTGGAGGACTCCACCATGTTGGGTGAACCGTTGGTAGCCTCTGGAGAATGAATTTGGAGGTTTTGATGGAATAAAAGTGCACTGGAAGCTGGTGCAATTTCGATGGGAAATTGCTGTAGAAAATGTTGCAATTCACTGAGTGTTGTATCGTGTCCGTGCCCGCACGCGAACTTTTCCAAACGAGGAGGAACCCAATGGAATTTTCATACAAATATAGCGCGAGTGTATGAATATTGAACAAGGTGCAAATCGGTTGCATTATTTACCAGGGTGAATAATTTTCGTTTAATATTAATACCTATAGGAATCGGAACGTAATCGATTTTGTAAATCGATTGTGAGAAGTAGAAATTGTAGTTTTTATTTAGAGGTTTTTCCATAGTAATCTCTGGATAACGGGTAACATTTTTCCTGGATTAGTTTATTTAAAAACGGGATGAATCTCCGAGCGATATTTCAAGATAAAATTGATTTAAAAAAATTACTCTGTACACAGGAAATTATAGTTTAAAATGTTATTCGACGATTCTCCAGGATAAAAGGATTATCTGTTAACATCTTTAGACCTATTTCCGGGATATTTTATTTCTTTATTTGAGAATGCATGGGGTAAATCGCCGAGCGGTATTTGAAGATAACATTGATTTTTTTAAAAAGAACTCAATAGGTACCAATTTTGGAACTATTCTGTAAGAAATAAATTATTTTATTCCTAAACTATTTTACATTATACTTCTAAGAGGGTCATCCCTTTTTGACCTCATTAATTATTCTAAATCCTGATGTGTAAACACAAAACTATTGCTCGAAGAAATTAAATCAAAGTAATTCAATGCACGCACTTATACAGTGCATTTCAAAATCAAAAAGGTGATTGAATTTGAAAATATACAGGGTAGTATCCATAAAGTCTAGAAATTAAATTTGTTCTAAATTGAATGAGGATTCAGAAAATAATTTTTATTTCAAGATTAGACAGTGAAAAACTTCGCTTAAAATGGGCCCAAGAATCACCCCCTTAAATATTATTATGTCATTTTAATAAATATATAAATTTCACTCTATATGGGTGCGATAAAGACAACTTCAATTAGACACTAATAAAGGAAAAGGAAAGAGTGACATTTGTGTCATTGCAACTTTTCACTCTGACAGCTGTCATATTAATAATCTTTCTTTGTTCCACTCATTGAAATGACCAAATTGCAATCGGAAATGGAACAAGGTGTATATAATTCGCTGTAACAAAATTGCTTTATTTATTCACTTAAAAGTGCAATTTTTCAAAAATCCAAATTCTGGGCCTGGCCAGTTTGTACGTAAGTAGATGCTATACATATAATATTAATTTCAATTTTAAATTGAAGTTGAGAAGGTTGCGATTTTATAAAATTTTCCGTCTGATCTACTTTGTTGTATTCGATCGAACCATATAGGTATTTGGTATGCGTAAAAAGCGCAGTTGTATTTTAACGAATGCAGTCGAATAAATTTCATTTGACCTATTTTAGGAGCGATTGACGTCTGTTTTTTTGTACATTCTGCATTTATTATTCATGAAAAAATATTCCTGAACATCATTCGATTAGCAATCGACTTTTAGTCGCATTTTTTCGCTAAATTTCACGCGTTTTTTCGCCGTTAGAATAATTCGAATAGGAAATCATTTATTCGATTACTCGAAATTGCTTAAAAAAGTTAATCATTTTAACAATTACAACGTTTGAACAGTTCGAATTATTATGGAATTGAATTGAGATTTCTGCTTTTTTTGCATTTCTTTAACAAAAGGCACTAATAAATAAGTTTTACCCTGTTAATCCCCCGTCACAGAACATCAAACTTTCATTTCTATGCAATAGATCGTTTTGAGGACTGACATGCCACTAGGAAGAGACAACAATAAACTTATAAAAAGAAGAAGAATAGATCTTAACGGGCCGTGATAATGAAAATACCTTTTCGTTGTTAATCAAGCTGTTGTAATAAACTGTTATATTAAAAATTAGTGCATTAGTAATCAACAACACTAATTATTTGGCTTACCGTTTACCTAAATAGTTTAGGCCAAGAATTTACGAAGTACAAAAACCTGTTCCGTGACACTTCATCCGACTATCTGTCACATCCGTCAAAGTCATCGAAAAAAATATTAGTTTCGAGTTTCGTGGGAGTTTTGCATGAAAATTAAATGTTTTTTAGTAGTTATTTAGCCGGATAATCGTCGATAAAGAAATGTCGGAACCCCTAAAACTCGGCCAAAGGGTCGAAGTATCGGGCAAGGAGGTGCAGGGCGTGATCGCCTTCATGGGAAAGACGGGCTTCGCCCAGGGGACTTGGATCGGCCTCGTCCTGGACGAACCCAAAGGTAAGAACAACGGCACCGTGAAGGGACAGGAGTATTTCAAGGTAAAAAACCTAACAGTAAACAATTAAAGCCCCATTTTAATGGTCAACGCGATTGCAGTGCGAGGAAAACCACGGTATGTTCGTCAAAGAAAACCAACTCCTGAGGCTCGACGAGCACGGGAAACCCCTCCAAGCCCAGACCCCCGCCAGGGAGATTCCCTCCTCGAAAATCGCCAGGAGTCGACAGAGCGTGTAAGTACATTAATTATTAGATACATTAATACCCTCATCGATACATTAATACCTTCGATCGAACTCATTGATATGTACTCGTTTATTCGTGCAATGCTAGGACGCAAAATGTCAAACCGAAACCCACAACGTAAGTACTAAATACTAATAAAAAACAACCTAATTTAATAGGAATTGAACTGTTTAATTAACATTATTTTTACTGCCGCTCGAAGCATTCGTCGAAAGACATCCCCGCAAGGCCCCACTCTCTCCGCATCAAGGTATCGTATTCGAACACATATTTGTAGCATTTCGCACGCTTTCGAATCCACACGAAAACCTATCCCGGACTCTTACCGAAGATACTCACAGCCCACACGAAACTACTCCGCTTACTTTTGCAACTTATTTTATACTTTTGTAATGATTAATTGTAATTTTTTGTAGTTCGAGGATGTCTCTAACGAGCAGCAGGCATTCGCTGGCAGGCAGCAGGCAATCTCTATCGAGCAGCAGGCAATCTTTATCCGGAAGTCGAACACAATTAGATACTTCTAGTACCGATAAACAGTTAGATTTAAGCGATAGCAATACTCCCAAACGAGCTTCGTTCGTAGAGGTACTAATCGTACATAATTGTGTATTTTATGTTGATTTGTATGCGTTTTTTAGACTGGATTCGTGGAAACGTTGAAGCCCCAATTCACGCCGGGCCAAGCCATGACGACCACCCCCACACCAATCGCCTCGGTCGACGACAAAATGGGCATCATGCAAATGCAACAGGAACTCGACAAACGAGCCCAGCAAATAACCGATCTCAACGAGAAGCTCGAAACGTTGAAAACCAAGCGCTTGGAAGACAAAGAGAAGCTGAAGAACTACGATAAATTAAACGTGCAACTCGAGCAACTGGTCGAATTCAAATCGAAGATCCTCGGCGCGCAGGCCAGCCTGCAACGCGACCTGCAGAAAGCCAAGCAAGAGGCCAAAGAGGCCGTCGAGGCCAAAGAGCAACAGGCCGAAGAGATGGCCGATCTCTCGGAGGTCGTCGAAATGGCGACGCTCGACAAGGAGATGGCCGAAGAGAAGGCCGACACGCTGCAATTGGAGCTCGACGTCTGCAAGGAGAAGCTCGAAGAGGTCCAGCTCGATTTGGAGATACTCAAGGCGGAGATGCAGCAGAAGGGCGAAGGCGGTGGAGGCGGCGCCGCCGCGGGCGATCAGATGTCCGCCTACGAAGTGAAGCAGCTGCAACAGCAGAACGCCAGGTTGCGCGAGACGCTCGTCCGGCTGCGCGACGTGTCGGCGCACGAGAAACACGAGTACCAGAAGCTGCTCAAGGACGTCGATCAGAAGAAATCGGAGATCGAGGAGTTGGGCAAGACGAAGGAGAAATTGAGCGCCAGAGTCGAGGAGATGGAACGGCAAATCGGCGATCTGCAAGAACAGGTAACGAATATATAACTGTATTATTTATAAGATGCGATATAGGGATTCCTGTACAAATGTGTCAAATGCAAGGTAACTTACAAAATAACGATCGCAAAAATAACACAGTATATAAGTAGTGGCCTTTTGCTGAGCGGGTTCTTTTCGATGTAGGTGGACGCCGCTTTGGGTGCTGAGGAAATGGTGGTGATTTTGGGCGATCAGAAATTCACGCTCGAAGAGGAAGCGGCGCAGCTGCGCGAGGAAGTCGCCGAACTCGAAGCCTTGCAAGACATGAACGATCAATTGGTCGAAAGCAACGCCGAACTGGAAGCCGATCTGCGCGAGGAATTAGACATGGCGCAAAGCTCTACAAGAGAAGTACTTAATCGATGAATCATTGTGGAGAAATGGATGTAATTGTGGTGTTTTATTGCAGGCGCTACGCGAACGAGACGCCGCCTTAGAGACGATAGCCGATCGCGAACAAACCATCGGCAAATTCAGGCAACTCGTCCAACAGCTACAAGACCGATCGAGCGACCTCCAGCGACGCCTCGAAGCCGAAACCAGCAAACCCGTATCCACTCTACCGGAAATAGTCGACTTCAAAAAGATGTTCACCGAAACCAAGGCACACACGAAAGCCATCGACCTGGAACTGCGACGCATCGACGTCGACCAGCTGCGGCGTCGCGTCGACCTGATCGCCGCCTATCTGCCCGAATCGTTCGCGCGCCGCGGCGGCGACGGCGACGCCGTCTCGACGGTGCTACTCTTACCTCGATTGCTGCGCAAATGGGACGTCGTCCTCGCCCAAATCAAGGACAAATTCGCCAAGGTCGATTCGATCGACAGGGACGGCTTGTTGAAAGGCCACGCCGTCGATCGCTACGCTTTCAAATGTCGCATGAGCTTCCAAGTGTACGCCCTGCAAGTAATAACTAACGTCCGATGAGTGTAACTACCTTCGATCGAACTCGTTTCGTGTTTGTTTCGCAGATGATCCTGCACCAGTACGATCACGTGCTGAGCGCCGGGACGCCGGAGGCGTTGCTCAAAGCCGCCGCCGTCTATCCGGAGATGGCCGTCCAAGAGCGCGTCGTCGACGATTTCGTCGATTGGCTCAAGCGCGACCGATTGGACGAGAACGCTTCGACCGATGCGTTGGAGCGGTGCGTCGGTTATTTCAACGCGCTGTTTCCGGCGCTGTTCGGCCCCGACGCTCGGTTGAATCACGTCCGGTTGCTCGTCGATGGCGTCAGATGTTTGGCGGCGGCGTCGGATTGCCTGGCGCTCGATTCGGCGGCCATCGGATGCTTGATGGAGGTAAGGGAAGATGGAGAACGGGAAGGGATGGGAAAGGAGGGCCGAGGGAAGGGAGGGAAAGGATAGGAAACGCAAAGGGAGGGAGAGAAAGGTTAGGAAAGGCGAGGGAAAGGTTAGGAAAGGCAAGGGAAGAGATGGAAAGGTTAGGAAAGGTTAGGATAGGCAAGGGAAGGGAGGGAAAGGCAAGGGAAGGGAGGGAAAGGCAAAGGAAGGGAGAGAAAGGTTAGGAAAGGCGAGGGAAAGGTTAGGAAAGGCAAGGGAAGGAAGGGAAAGGTTAGAAAAGGCAAAGGAAGGGAGAGAAAGGTTAGAAAAGGTAAGGGAATAGAGGGAAAGTCGGGGGAAAGGTTAGGAAAGGCAAGGAAAGGATAGGAAAGCCAAGGGAAGGTAGGGCAAGGTTAGGAAAGGCAAGGGAAGAGATGGAAAGGCGAAGGAAAGGTTAGGGAAGCCAAGGGAAGGGAAGAGAAAGGCAAAGGAAGGGAGGGAAAGGTTAGGAAAGGCAAAGGAAGGAAGGGGAAAGGTTAGGAAAGGCGAAGGAAAGACAAGGGAAGGGAGGGAAAAATTAGGAAAGGGAGGGAAAGGATAGGAAACGCAAGGGAAGGTAGGAAAAGGATAGGAAAGGCAGGGGAAGGGAGTTAAAGGATAGGAAAGGAAGTAGCGTCCATTATGTACGATGTTTTCGGTTTATTTTTATAGAGCACCAAAGGGGACATGGAGCTGCTGGTGCAGCACATTACGGCGTCGACGGAGAAGCTGCAACAGCAACTGAAGGTGATCAAGAGGCGGCTGCCGCTGGACGGGAACATAACGAATTTGGGTCTGGATAGGGAGGCGTGCGAGGATTCGTTCAGGTGCTACCAGCAGGCGTTGCGGGCGTCGAAGACGCTGCAGGACGTGGTGAGGAGCGCCGTGCAAATGGCGACCGGCGCGGGCGGTGAGATGGGGTTTTAGACGGGATATTTGTAATGTTATCGAGATGATTTCCTTGTTTGTAGAATCGGAGAAATTGATCGAGCACGAGCGAATGAAAGAAGCGGCGGTGAACGCGAGCGAGAAATTCTACGAACAAGACGATCTGGGTCCGGTGCAGAGCGTGAAGAACTCGCTGGGTTTCATCCAAGCGCACTTGGACAGATTAGCGCAGTACCTGCACGACAACGAGTACGAAATCGCCACGGCTAATAGAACCGAAGAGAAGGTACTGCAATCTCGTTACTGTAAATATACTTAGTTATTCGTTTATTGGGATGTATACAGCCGATACCGCCGGTGAAATTGCGCGCCGAGGCCGTGAGGAAGGAGCTCGAGCAAACGAAAACGTTGACCGGCAAGCTCGAGAACAAAGAGTCCGATCTGAAGGAGCTGCGGAAGCTGCTGAAGGAGAAACAGGAGCTGTTGTCGGAGATGACGATTCGCAAGGAGCTGGCCGAGAAGAAGCTGGGCAACGTGAACAAAGACTACGAATTGACCATCGAGAAGTTGCAACGGAAGTTGGACGAGGCGCACAACAACTACAAGAAGAAGGAGAAGGAGTTCGAAGAGACGTTGGACCATCTGCAGACCGACATCGATTCGTTGGAGAACGAAAAGGGCGAGATGAAGGAGAAGTTGAGGTTGTTGTCGAAGAAGGCGCAATTGGAGGGTAACATCACCATCGGGACGCCCGGTAAGTGTACGAATCGCTTGGTAATTTCGCTTTTAATATGAATTTTTAGGTTCTCAATTGCCATCGTTGCAATCGGTGGGTCCCACTCTGCCTTCGGTGGTGAAAGATTCCCCGTTGCTGTTGCAAGAAATCGACAATCTGCGCAAGATGTTCCATAACGAGCGCAACGAGAGGATCCGCTTGCAGAACTTAGAGCTCCAGAAGCAATTGGACAGCATGAGGCCCCTTCCGCAGATCAAAAGCCAGCCCGACGAGGCCATCGAGAAGCTCATGAAAGAGGGAATCGCCTTGCACCAAGTAAGAAAACTGCTTTGAGTTTTAATGACTTATTTCTATTCATATATCTGGTTAAATTTCGCATCGTTTCAGGAAGTTCTATCGCATTTGGCCAAGCCAACGTTCCCCGCTGTGCACAAATTGAAATCCGGTAACGGACCGGCGGCTTGGAAGAGACATTTCGCCGAAGAGGAGAGCAAATTGTTGTTGTTGAAGAGGAAACGGGAGGAGTTCGAGGCTAAAGTGGCGGCGGAAATCGTTCAGAGGAAGTTCGGCGGTAGAATTGAATCCGATTTGGCCGTATTCCCTACGAAGGAAATGACCAAAGTAACTGTTTTATTCTTTGGATTTTTGGGTGAATTAATTAGTTTGTTTTTTTGCAGGCGCTCAACGAAAGCAAACCTGTGAATTTGGGATATATTAAAATAGCTAAAAACGTGTTTCCCGAGGAGAAATCTAGAGTAGTTAGTTTGGATGTAGCTTACGATGATTTACAGAAGATTCTTAAGAAATTAGTCGATTAATCGCTTTAATTTTGTTTTTTACTTATTCCGCTTTGTTACTGGATATATTTATTACTATATTGTATTATGATTAAAGTTATTATTTTCATTATACTTACTACTTGTAGATGTTTAAAACTAATTCCTGTTGTAGCCCTAATTTGCTCGATACGATTAGCTTTATCGAAAAGGAGCTCGATCGATGGTAGGATTCGATAATCTTTAGTCATGGTAAGTTTTTATACATTTATTTTATTACTATTAATAAATAAAAATAAACAATTTATTAAAAACGTAGATTCTTTGTATATACGAGTAAACAACAAATTGTACTTAAATCGAGACCAAACATTGCGAAATTGAGGTATATATAATCGTAATTACATACAAAAAAGCACATTAATCGATCAATTAACGACACCATCATTCATCATCGTCGGCCTTATAATGTTTTATGAACCTCGCAGACGGATCGGTGACCCCTTCGACCCATCGAGGCATCCAATAGTGCGGCAAGAAGCTCCCCGCCAACTTGGGATATCCCTTCTCGAACACCTCCCTGTAGTACAAGGCCTCCTTGGTGGGCGGCGCGCAATGCGGATACCGCCGCCGCGCCTCCTCGGCGTCGAACGCCCGCGGCATCCGCCGCTCCACGATCTCCCCGATCACCACGAACAGCGACTTGCGCCGCGACGCCACGCCGTCGCTGAACGCCTCCTTGTGCCGCCACAGCACCTCTCGGGGCAGCAGCCCGGCGCCGTCGAACGCCGACCGCAGCAGGTGCTTCTCGGCGCCGTCGCGCGGCCGCCGCAGCCGCCCCTCCACGCCGAGATAGTAGTGGGTGAACTGCAGATCGAGGAAGGGCACGCGCAGCTCTAGTCTCTGCGAAGACACCGTCCTGTCGGCCCGCAGCCCGTCGAACATGTAGATCTCGCGCAGCAGCCGCAGGCTGTCCTCGTGCGCCGCCCCCGCGTCCGGCGCGTCCCTGAAGTATATGTACCCCTGTGCGACTTCATCGGCTCCTTCACCGCTGAGCAACACCGTGGTATCGGTGTGTTCGACTACATACTTGGACAACAGGTACATCGGTATGGATGCTCGAATGGTAGTTATATCTGGTGTTTCTAGGGTGTATATAACGTCGTCTAGCACTCGAGCTACGTCGGCTTCGGTGAAGGTGATCTCGTGGTGTTCGGTGCCGATGTGCTGGGCCACCAGCCGGGCGGCTCGGAGATCTGGGCTGTCGCCCATGCCGATGGCGAAGCTCTGGATTTTGTAGGGCAGACGGGCTTCTTTGGCTTGTTGGACGAGCAGGGCGGCTATGAGAGAGGAGTCGAGGCCGCCGGAGAGCATGCAGCCAATCCGGCGATCGGCCATTAGGCGTTTCTTTACGGAGGCTTTGAGCAGCTTGCGGATGTTGCCTAGGTGGTCGTCGGGTACTAGATCGGAGTGGGGTACGAACGGAACGAATGCTGGTTTATCGCCGGGTGAGTAGTACCTGCAGCTTCTTACTAGTTTCACTTTGCCAGTTTCCAGTAGATCGTATTCTTCGAAGGTGCCGGGCGGGAACGGTTCGAGGAGTTTACCTTCGCCGTTGAGTTCCTTGGCGATTTCGGTGAGGCCTTTGGCTTCGGACGATACGCAGAGGATTCCAGTGGTGCTGACCAGCCTGAACAAAGGCCTCACGCCGTACGGGTCTCTGCCCAACAGGACTTTCCTCTTGGCTACGTCCACCAAGCAGAAGGCGAACACTCCGTCTAACTGCTTCACGCACTCCTCGATGCCGAGGTTGTGGTACAGGTGCAGGATGCACTCCACGTCGCACTTGGTCTCGTAGGCGAAGCCCTTGTCTTGGGCCAGCCGGTCGCAGTTGTAGAGTTCCCCGTTGCAGACCAACAGCGAGTTGGGGTATCGGTGGAGCTTCATGGGCTGCATGCCCCATATGGAATCGACGATGGCCAGCCGGTGGAAGCCGATGCAGCAGTTCTTCAAGCGGTTGTCGTACTCGACGCGCCAGGCGTCGGGCCCCCGGTGGGCGATCTTGGTGAACGCCGAGGCGCAGTGGGTGTGCAGGTTGGAGTCCAGACCGAATATCGCCCATATTCCGCACATTTTTTTTCGATGTTGTATTAGGATTTTTCGGATAACATATGCTGCGGTTCGGAAGATGCTAATGCGGCGGAATCGCGGTTCGGGTTTTTTTATATATGGTTGTTTTCCGGCGTATGACGCAATCGAAACGTGTTTTTACGACACATTTACTTCCACTTTTCAAAATCGGTGAATCGGGTTTTAGGTTATGCGAAATGTCATCGGTTCGGTTTGACGTCGTCGAAGTCTTGGTATCGATTATCGTTAGAAACTCGTTTTGCTTAATTCGGTAAAGACACGTTTATCTGCTTTAAACGGGAAAATGGTTAATGGCTTTGGTAATTCGGAAGATAAGTTGGAATCGTCGAGCTTTATTACTTATTGGAAATTGAGTCATGTCGTTTGAATAATTGCAGCACCGTTTAGCCGCGAGGTTAAAGGCCGCTATTATTTCGTGATATTTGACAGTTGTCACTTTCAATACTACGAAAAAGAAGAATTTTAAAAATTTTGAAAAAGAACGAAGCTTTTTCTGAGAAATTTCTGAATTTTGTAATTTTAATAAATAACGGAGTCTGAATAAATAACTCTATTAAAGAAAGGAACGTTTTTCATCGCCATATTACTACAAGGTATAGAATTGTTAAGAACATTTCTCTTAATTTTATCTATTGCAATATTTCCAACTAAATATATGAAAAAACCATAAAAATTCCGATTTTTATTTTCAAAACTACAAGTATAATTTCATCGAATATAAACATTAATTCGAATTCCATATAAAAAAATCCAAACAAAAATTTAATTTTTAATATTCAATTGTATCATAGAAAATGTAAGATTTTTATTACACAACAGCAGTTTTTTTTTTTGGTTACACCGTTCGAAAAGATCGCTAAATTTACCGCAAAAATAACGGAGAATCTCCGGCAAAATACACAACTAATCCTAGTTAAAAAAAGTTTTGTAATTAGTTAATATAAGTTCACCTACTTATTATAAATAGAATCCGTTTGAATAACATATTAAACGAAAATACCTAGCTAGTATTAAGTAAGGGAAAGATCCATTCAAAAATCGAATCGTCAACAATTGAAAAATAAAACCCTAACAAACGTAGATATAATTAACTTATCAAGAGATTCTCCCATATTGGTTATGGGTATAAGTGCAAATTTGTTTGTAAAATTCTATGATTTAAACAAAGAAAGATTTATATTCAAATAACAGTGATATTTGAGTAAGAAAGTTGAAATCCCACAATATCGGTTTCTTTTTCTCTTATATGGGACTAATGGAAGTTGTCTTTGTTGCACTCATAGACCTAATTGGCCCGTATTCAGCGCTGCATTCTGTCAGTTTTACATCGGTTGCTATGGAGTAACTAAGGAGATTCTTTCAATTGACAGTTTTACATTGGTTGTTATGGAGTAACTAAGGACATTGTTTACGTGAAAGAGACTCTCTAAATGCTTGTTTAATATTAAAGAGGGCGCTGAATTCGGACCGTTGTGTACAAATTTGCACTTAACTGTATACACACAGATATTTACACCACATTCAAAACTCCACTTTCTTCCACATATTCGGAAACAACGCGGCGAATGAACCATCAAATGCGATCAACCAAACAAAACGTGTCACTCGTACACCGAACGAAACACCGGCAATTGAAGGGCGCGCGTCGCGACGCCCCCGTCCCACCAAACCGGCGACGTCGCGACGCCACCTCCGACAACGTAATCGCCCGTCGAACTCGGATAGTTCGATCGCTGCCGCACGACGAACTGTGGGGGCGCCACCGTCGCCGGACACCCCCACATTAACTGCTAGCAACGGGGGTTGCTGTAGTGGTTGACGTACTCCTGATAGCTCACCGTGATCTTTTCGCTTTGGTAACGGGTGAGTTTGATCGAGCGCCGCACGTCGCCCGATATGGGCGATTTGTAGCCGCCCTTGCGCAACAGCGAGTCGATCGTTTGCAATTGGTCCCATCCTAAAATCGTATAAATACATTTAATGAAGTAGAATGATCGTTGGAGACCCTTTGAATTCTCGCTCCTTTTACTAGCGATACAAGTGGAGCGGTGTACTAGAAAAGGAGCGAGAGTTCAAGGTGAGAATGTTAGAATGTTACAATAATCTACTATTTCAATCTACTAAACTCTACTCTGAATAGACTACTCCACTGTACTCTACACTGTTCCGAGTCTACTGTATTTTACTCGGAATTTAGTGTATTATACTTTACTATTCTACTTTACACTGAATCTACTATGAATTTACTCTGAATCTACTCCTGGTTCTACTCCTGAATCTATTCTGAATCTACTCCTTTTCTACTCCTGAATCTACTCTAAACTTACTCCGAATCTACTCTGAATCTACTTCCGAATCTACTCTGAATTTACACTAAATCTACTGCTGAATCTACTCTGAATCTACCCCTTTTCTACTCCTGAATCTACTCTCTAAATTTACTCTAAACCTACTCTAAACTTACGCCGAATCTACTTCCGAATCTACTCTGAATTTACTCTAAATCTACTCCTGAATCTACTCTGAATCTACTCCTTTTCTACTCCTGAATCTACTCTAAACTTACTCCGAATCTACTCTGAATCTACTCCCGAATCTACTCTGAATTTACTCTAAATCTACTCCTGAATCTACTCTCTTAATTTACTCTAAATCTTCTATCTAAATTAACTCTGAATCTACTCTAAAGATAGTCTAAATCTACTCTAAACTTACTCCGAATCTACTCCCGAATCTACTCTAACTTACTCTGAATCTACTCCTGAATCTACTCTCAATCTACTCCTGAATCGACTCTAAATCTACTCCTGAACCTACTCTAAAACTTCTCTAAATGTACTCCTGAATCTACTCTGAATCTACTCCTAAATCTACTCTGAATGTACTCCCGAATCTACTCTAAATCTACTCCTAAACCCACTCTAAATCTACTCTGAATGTACTCCTGAACCTACTCTAAATCTACTCTAAATGTACTCCTGAATCTACTCTGAATCTACTCTAAATATACTCCTGAACCTACTCTGAATGTACTCCTGAATCTACTCAAAATCTACTCTCCTAACCTCCTCTAGTACTCCGAATCTACACTACTCTACTTGATCGATTGCCGGGCAATCGTTCCGCGTCCGCTCACAGCGTACTGACCCTGTTCGGAGGCGACTTCGGGCAAATAGGTGGCCGTCCTCTTGTTGCCCTTCTCGTTGACGAACTCGATGCGAATCCCGTGCACGCCGACGGTCCAATCCAAGTAGTCGTCGCCGTCCTCGAAGTGCCTGAGTATCGACACGGAGACGCTCAACTTCGGGAACTCGTCCCTGGTGATGGGGCTGAAGCGGGTGTCCTTGAGGGCGCTGGTGATGGCGTACTCGCGCAGCCCCGATTGCAGGTTGAGCGCGTTGAAGGTGCCGATGCAGCCGCGCAGTCGCTTGTCTTTGCCTATTTTCCAAGTAACGAATAAGGGACTGGAAAAATGACGGTGACGGTTTCATTTTCTCAATTTATATTATATCGGTTGCGTTTTAGTAGCGAGTAAAAGGCCACCAAACAACTGACTTTTTTTTTTGAACAATTTCTTTAAAAGAGACATTATTTTATGTTAATATTAGTTAAATTACTTATATATTTCGTTACTATCGAACAAAGTACTTACGTATTTAAATAAAAACGAATAAATTACGAAATTAATTGTGAATTTATCATTATGTCAACTGTCAAAATGTCAAACGTGACAGTTTAGCTTACTATTAATTTTCAAATAAATTTATTTGTGCACTTACTATTATTATTTATCGAATAAAATAATCAAACATTTAACTAAAAAACCACTAAACTTTCGCAATAATTAAATTATTATCGACCATTGAAATTTCATTCGAACAAAGCCTACTTGATGTACTGCAAACAATCCCACAAGAGCTAACAAAGGAATCGACAAACGAAAGTTCATTGACACGTCTTTAGCGACAAAACAACAACGACACAATCGCGGAGTACTCGGAGACAATGCAAACGAAGAAACGAGCAAATTGTTATGACGTTTAGGACTTACTAAGCCTCGTCGCTGAAGGTGGGATTCTTCGGCGGGGCCAAGTTGTGCAAATGGCAGTACAGCACGTCGAAGCAGAAGAAGCACATGTCGGGCAAGGCCACCGGGCTGGGGTCCTCGGCGACGAAGCCGTTGGACAGGATCGAGGGGGCCTTGCACGCGGACGGCGCCTCCGACGGGTTGTTCAGCTTTTGTTTCTTCGTACCGCAACAGCTCGCAGCCATCTTTGCGACTCCGTGATTATTCCTCGCCTCGACGGGGCCCTGCGTTCGATGGACAAACGGAAAATTAACGATAAAATGTTCGAATTCGACTGAAATAAAACGTTTTTGTCTCGCACAGCTTACTTTCACTCGATTCGATAAAATGGCAGTGCTGTCAAACTGGCGAACTGTCAGTGTCACGACGATTTAAAAGTCAATAATAATCATATGGTACAATCGCGCAGTGGAGTTAATTGATTTTATTTGCACTACGCGATGCCTGTAAGTTTATCGGTCGATTGCAACTAAAAAGAGAACGTCTTCTGTTATAAGTGGCCTTTTGCTTTACATTACGACAGTCACTTAATGAACCACTGACAAGTAGGCAACACAAATTACATCGTACTGTTGAATTCTCGTATTAGATTGATATTTATCAAATTATGAGAATTTTGATTTACTAATAATCTTATTTTAGTGTATTAAACATTTATCTATGTGCATTAAGTCAATTAAAATTAAAAATGGCGTTTGTTGACAATTGGAGAAAAAAAAGTGGGTCGATGATTTTTTAATGTATTACTTTATAATTCTGGTAAAATCTTGGAGAGTGGACGCGAATGTGAAAGTTATTAAATTTTTTTTTATCCGATAGAATCTCGATTTACTAGAACGCGTTCCACCTAGAATTTCTAGCAAAATGAGATCGAAATCGAGTCACAGTTGAAAACCAGTTTTGGAATTATGAAGGAAAGAAAAACTAAGCCCTAGTAGACAATTCTAATGAGGCAATGAGATAATTCGTAAATAGAAGAATTGAAGATTAAAGATTAAAGAGTTATGAGAGAATAACAAACAGGCTTTATGATTTTTTGCTGTACAATTTCACATTGAAGGTAATAAACCAAAAATCCATTTATTAAAAAATTGTAAGGTTTAGGGAAAATTTGTAAATAGAAAAGTTGAAGAGTGGAGTTTTAGCTACAAAATGAAGAAAAAAATATGTTTCAATCGTAAGTCGTTTTGAAGTTTTTTGAGAAAATCTAGTTGAATTTCTAGGCAATTTACTTGAATCTAGGAAAACGCCATATCGGCAACGCTGCTTCGATCACGGAGATCTCGATTACACCTTTAATTTCTTCACATGCACACGTTCTTCGTTTGTTTGACCGAGTTCGAGGCGGATAAGAGAAATAATAAAACTCGAGCGACAAACAGTGAAATCTGATGAAATCTCATCAGGAGAGAAATTACTTTATATCTGTAACTCGCCGTCATTATCATTATGAAGAGCATCACGCGGAAGTGAATAAGATAAACGGGGAATTACCGACGTCGAAAATTATTGTCGGAGTTAATTGGATTATAATTCTAATTGGATAATTGGATAATTTCGACCTATAAATTCTCCAACTCGTAGCGATATTACTTGAAGATTAATAAGAGTCTTGGTGGTTTTTTTCTTTTAACTCCAAAACGACTTAGGACTGAAACATTGTTTTTGCTTCATTTTATAGCTAAAACTCCTCTCTTCAACTTTTCTATTTACAACTTTTCCCTAAATCTCATAGTTTTTCTGATAATTGGCATTGTATGCAAAGTTAATAAATTTATTACAAACCCCCATACTAGTTTTTCCCTCATAACTCCAAAACAACTGACGAGCAAAACGTCATTTCCACGTCATCAAATAGCCAAAACTCCACCCTCCAACTCCCCTATTTACAACATCCCTCCAAAACCTACCATTCGAAAGCTACACCCCGTTTTCTCCCATTATACACGAATTATAAAAAAATCCCCCGAACCACGACATTCAATCAACAACGGCAACGCCGCCGGTACCACGATCCGCGAAATAATCGCCAAGCACGACTTCTTCGACGGTTCTTCGCAATTAAATCCGAACGTTTTCACTCCGCCGTGAAGTTCTACGGAGTATACAGAGTGTTCAATCGAAAACGGTACCACCCGGTACCGCGTCGCGTGTCGATTAAACGACACACAACGCGCACTGCACGCACGCTTGACGCTCGGCGCGCTGGAAGCTCGTCAATTAAGCAATTGTTATTTTTCGAATGGTACCCTCTGATAAAGTTTAGGTACTTACTCGCGTGTGGTGTTTGATTAAACGAGGTAATTCGAGGAGGCCTGGTAATGGTACTGAAATTCGATGGGAAGATTGGTATTTTTGTTATTGTGGATTAGGTAGTACCGAATTGGTGTTATGATGAAGGATAAGTGTTTTTTGGGTAAGTGTGGAGGATTTTGATATTAATTTGGTTTAATTTTTTATTAAACAAGGTAGTACCTAATTGGGGAAATTTTATGGTACCTAATTAAGCGAATTTTCTTGTAGTACCTACGATTTTCTCCGTTCCAATTTTCTCGCAAATTCCCTCCCTGCCTCTCTCTCGTAATGTTTCACATATAACGGTACAAACCCATCATCATCCTGTTTACATATGCGTAAGTACGACTGAAAACAATTTGTCGAACCGGACCCATCATGAATAATTATTCAGGCAAGGCAACGGTACCATCTACCTGTTTTTTTATTATTTTTCGGAACCGAAAGGTCAATTAGAAACTCCGAAATTTCTACAGCTACAAATTACGAAATAGTTCTACCAAAATGGTACTACCTCGATACTAATCTTCAATTCCCTGGGCACTAATCAGCGAAGATTTCATAAATTCCAATCCAAACAACCCGTTTGTAAAAAAAAACCTCGAATGGTACCGATCGATTACTTTTAGTAGTACCATAGAATAGGTACAATTTTTTAAAACACCGCCCGTTAACGTACAAACGGCTCAATTAACATTTTACATTATTTTTTGTAGTACTGTACCGTGTTCTTTCTTTTTCTTTAAGGTACTAACTGCTGCTGGTACCGCTATTCGGAGTGTATTCATCCGCTCTGACGTTCCGTAATTTCAACAACGCCAAACAGTTACAGTTTTACCGTGGTTCTTATGGTGATGTGCGTTGGGTTCCTGCGATTTAATTCATCTTACGTTTACGGTAAGTACGGTACTACTAAATAGTACTATCCTATAATTCACCCATTCGCCCTACAGAGTAGCGAATGTATGATAACTTTATATGTATTACATAAAATGAGTAAAATAACTTGTACTGGTACTATCAAATTACTAGTACTATCAATCAAATAGTACTATCCTATAATTCACCCATTCGCTCTACAGAATAGTGAATGTATGATAACTTTATATGTAGTACATAAAATGAGTAAAGTAACTTGTACTGGTACTGGTACTATCAAATTACTAGGTACTATAGTTCGTTCAAATATGTAATTTGTGACGTCATCGCCGAATTAAAGTGAATACAGTAAAGGTAAAATTTTGCGTTTAATTTTCAGCGAATCAAGATGTCGTTGGGCGGTGTTTTTTCGAGTGTTCTTCTTCTAATCAGCGGCCTGTTGCTGTTCGGTTCGACGACGAGCGGCCTCGTTCCAGACACGTCCACAGCCAGGTACAATTTCCTCGAAGAAGTAAACGCGATGTTGCCGAATCGGCCAAAATCAGGGCGGGTTTTGGGGGGCTTCGAGCGCCCCAATGGGCCCCGTGTAACTGTCAGTGGTTCGAAAATCGATAGAAATTACACGATTTCGATCGATATTAACGGTACGAAATCGATTTATTCGAACGAAATAGGTAAAAAATCGCCCGGTAGTACCTCCAAAACGTACGTTAAATTGAATCTACCCCTTAATAAAACAGATACGCCTCTGATAAAAGTTGATACAACCACTGTAAAAACGAAAATTAAAAGAAAAGACCCCTCGAAAATTAATAATAAATTAGTTATTGTAGGTACTAAAGCGACCAAATTAACAAAAATCGATACACAAAGCGTAAAATCGAACGACAAAATTAGTAAATCAAACGGTACTATCGTCACTGGCACGACAAAAATACAAACAAAATTAACGAATAAAGATAAAAGTAAAATTAACGATAAATCATCTACAAAAACCCCCACAAAACTAATCAGTACCGTAAAAAAAACTACAAAACCGATCAAAACCAAATCGAGTACCAAAACCAACAAGGTACGACCGGTACTAACCGAATGGAAAGACGCCTCCGACATGTCGGAAATCAAGCAAATCTGGTACGAAGACACAGTACCATACCCCAACCCCAACCCCACCATCTCATCCCCCTCCCCTAGCGTCGCTCTATCCCAACTATCCGACGCCCCAGCGACGCCCGACGTCGCCCAAGACGCCCAAATCCGCCCGGAAATCAGCTCCTTTTCCCCCCCGTACGCCCTCACCGGCGTACCCGATCTGGCGCCCTCCAACCCCCCCGAACAGTACCTTCCATCGAACCCCCTCAACACCTTCAAGCTGGACATCGCCCCCGACGAGGGGGCCCTCTCCCCCTGCCCCTCCGTCCACATATCCAGCGCCCTGATGCCCGAGCAGCGCCAGGACTGCTCCGACATCAACCTGGTGATCAACTCGCACCTGCACCAGAACCAGAACCGCCTCCCCGCCGCCGAAACCTACGATTCGCCGGTACCGGAGGAAGCCGAGGCGGTGGAGGCGGCGGAGCCGGTGCTGAGCGACCCCGGTACCGCCGCGCAATCCGCCGTTTCCCAAGCCGGCCCGGGGGCGGGCGGTACCGGCGGTTCGGGCGGTTCCGGCGGTTCCGGAGGCGACAACGGCGGGTTCCATTTCCCCGATATGAAGCATCTCTTCGAAGCGGCCGGGTACTTGTGGAACGGACTCGGGAAGCTCTTCGGTTTCCTCCGGAACCCCTATCTCTATATAGTACCGGCCGTGTTGTTCTTCGTCTTGGGGTTCCTGAAGGTGCTGGCCCTCTTCCCCTGGTGGATACCGTTGTTGTTGTTGTACGTGAGCGTGAAGGGGGGCGGCAAGAATCACCGGAAGGCGGTGAGTTTCTACAAGCACGAGCACCGGCCGGTGAAGCACCTGGACGGGTGGTACTGGAACCATCGGACGAAGACGTGGCGGAACGTGGTGGACGAGCGCCAGCGGTACCACCACAGGAGGAAGGAGTTCGACGGGGTGGATTACGACGAGGGCGACAGTTTGTCGGGCGATTTGAGCCGGATATACGGGATATATCTGGACGGGGGCGGGAGCGGAGGCGGGGGGAAAAAGAAGAGGTACTAGTCGGCTATGAATTTATCTGGAATTATTCGTTCTGGATGGGTTTATTGTCCAGTTATAGATTTCGGAAAATTAAGCGGGTTGTAATGTAGATTGATCCGGAATTGGATGGATAATAAGAGGTACTACTGGCAGTACTGGTAGTACTGGTAGTACTGGTAGTACCTACATTAAAAATAGAATACTCAAAAAAATACTCACAGGTAGGCTATGGAAATAAACAAAGGCGTATCCGAACGGGGTATTTTATATCTTCTTGCCACCATTTTTTTTAATCGATTGAATCGAATCTTTTTTTAATCGATTGAAATCAATTTTAATAGAAAGATACGAAATAATCCTATAGAAGAGTAGGCTATGGAAATAAACAAAGGGGTATCCGAACGGGGTATTTTTTATCTTCTTGCCACCATTTTGTTTAATCGATTGAATCCATTTTTTTAATCGATTGAAATAGTAACAAAAAGGATATTAAAAAAATTGCGGTAAACTATATTTAATATAATCGCCAATTACTGTAAATATTTGAGATTTTAACGAGTGTTAAACCTTTTGTTGATCATTTTATTTAGCATAAATAAATTTAAATGAGCTAATTCAATAGGAAAACAATAATAAAAGATGTATACAACAAAAGGTTAAATTACTATCGAATTCTAGTCGTTTATCTAAATATTATTTATTTATTTATTTGTTATTATTAGTCGTAAAATTCGATGAGTATTTGTTATTGAATTAATAAATTTTTATAACAAATTTGTACGTTTCTCAGTTCCCTAATCGATTAATCGATCGACAATCGAACAGTCGAACGATTTTCGATCGAAATCACAATACCACAGACACAAAAATAGGTAAAAATCGTAAGTATATAAGTATCAGTAGCCAAAGTATTGTATTCGACACGTTAACAAGCCAAAACAATTCCATGCGCCCTTCTACCAAGCCTCTTCTAGCCAAGCCTCTTCTAGTACAGCCTTTTTTAGAAAAGCCTCTTCTAAAAAGCCTCTTCTAGTACAGCATCTTCTAGAAAAGCCTCTTCTAGTACAGCCTTTTTTTTAGAAAAGCCTCTTCTAAAAAGCCTCTTCTAGTACAACATCTTCTAGAAAGGTCTCTTCTAGTACAGCCTCTTCTAGTACAGCTTCTTTTAGTACAGTCTCTTCTAGAAAAGCCTCTTCTATCTTCGATTCCACCCAATCCTATTAACGTCTACTCTTTCATATTCCAGATCGACCACCTTGGAATCCAGCTTCAACCTGACCAGGTACGACGTCCTGGACGTCAGGACGCCACCTAGGGTGAAGCTGCGCGAGAAAACGAAGCGTCCGAAACCCCCGCAGGACGCCTCCCATCCGGGCGTAGCCATCCCTTTGGACGCCAAAGTGGAGGTATCCAGGGACAAATCCACCACCTCCTGGATCCTGCTGACGGGCAAAACGGTACCAACCACCACCACAACCACCACCACAACCAGCAGCACAACCACCAGCACCACCAAGCAACCAGTACCCACCACGCAGACGCAACCGGAACCCATCACCAAGCCACCAAATGAAGCTCCGATCGAAGCCAAAGTCGCCTCGATTAATCTCGAAGCCACCAACAGCACCAAAAAGTACCCGACCAACGCCAACAAGAAAAAGAAGAAGAAGAACAAAACGCGCAAGCGCAAACCGCCGAGTACCACCACCACCACCACCGATCCAGTTCACTTGAAAGAAACCATCGGCAACCAGTTCTACAGCTACCTATCGAGAGAGGTGGTACCGACGCTGGGCGTGGGGCTCGTCGGGCTGGCGGTCACCGCCGGCCTCGCCGGCTACTTCCTCTACCATCCGTTCGGCGCGCTGGCCAAGTCCGATCCGCCGGCGGTCGATCGCGCCGGCCAGCAGTACCGCTACCGCGACCGGTACTACGGCGGCATGCCCGAAGAGGAGGCCATCGGCGAGGTGATAGCCGGCATGACCGACGGCCCGCCGGGCAGGAAGCCGCCGGCGCAGCCGGGCAAGAAGTACCGGCTCGACGAGCCCCGGCCGGAGTACCGCGGGGCGACCACTGAGAGACACGGGGGATCTGGTGAGAAGAGCGAGAAGTACCGCTTGGAGGGCGAAGGGGGTTCGGTGGAGTACCGGGGATCTGGTGAGAAGAGCGAGAAGTACCGCTTGGAGGGCGAAGGGGGTTTGGTGGAGTACCGGGGGGATTACGGGGGATTTGCGGAAGGGGGCGAGAGGTATCGTGTCGATGGTAAAGCAGGGGATTCTTTGGAGTACCGGGGGGATTTTGGGGGATCTAGTGAGGGGGTTGATGCGAAAGTGGGGGAAATGGGGGCGATGAGGATAACCGAACACGGGCCGAGGAGTTTGGATTGATGCGGTGTTTTGTTATTGTCGCTAGTATATTGTCACTATAGCTTACTGTCACTAGTATATTGTCGCTAGAATACTGTCACCTGTCAGTAATTTACTGTCACTAGTATACTGTCACTTGTCAGTAATTTACTGTTACTAGTATACTGTCACGTGTCAGTAATTTACTGTCACTATACTGTCGCTTGTACTACATTGTGCTGTACTGGTTTTGTACTAGGGGAATTTTTTGGAAATTGGGGATTAGAAATGAAAGTATTATATGTATACTTGAAAATTATTTTACTCATATTTATAGCTACAAATGTAAGTTTATGTATTAAAATAAATAAACGAATAAAAAAACCATAATTTAACTAAATTAAAAATTAATAATAAGGTCTATAAATTCTTCTTCTACGAGTGAATATTCTCCTATTACTATCGATAGCGTTTCGTAATTTGTACTTTTCGGCCGTTCTTTTTCTGTAGACGAATAATGGTCGAAAGATAATCATGTCTGCTGTATCTAAATCGTCTAAATCGCTGCTTAATTGCCTTCCTAATTTAATTGGAGCAGTAGATAAAGTTAAGTCGGGGACTGGTAGAGGCGATGCCAAAATGGCCGCGCTGACGCTCAGCAAAATTGCCAACTTGATCTGCAACCGGTAAAAATTATTATTTTCCAAAATGGCCAACTTGACCTGCAGCTGGTATAATTATTATTATTTTTTAATCTTTAAAATCGAATCTACTTACACAAATCATGTTTTTCTTGTTCACTGAAATTTTCTATATTTACTGAAAAATATTGTCGCACCATCGGTCAATTTATACAAGCGTTTAAAAAAAATTAACAAAAAGAATACTGTTGTTTAAAATTCCGGGTAGAGAATAACATATTCATCTAAAATCAAACAAACGACTCATTGTTTCAACACTAGATGAATAAATCATCATTCGCTGAATTTCTGTGCGTCTTATACTCGTCGGGATTTATTTACTTATTTACTAACTTAATTATTTCCGTACCAATTTTTTTCATAAAAAAATAACACCTTACTTGTCCCAAAAACAAATAATTGTTTAACTATTTAACGTGCTCGAATGTAGGTAATTATGCAGTTATCTTACAAATATGCTCCGAGCTTCAAACATTCATCCTACACAGAATAATCCTTTTCCGAAGAATGCCTAATTGTTTTCAACACGATCTCATTCAAAGGGGCGGTTCGTCCACTTGGAGTTGGACGAGAAAGATGCAATTTGGTGGAGATAAAGACAACACATGAGGCTATTCCTTCTGAAAATTTCACGTCTCCAGATTGATCATAGCCTATTTTACGGGGTTTCAAAAAAGCGTATAATAAGCATGAGTGTAGTAGGCTAGCTGTACGATTCCTTTGACCAGACCACTGCATAATTTACGGACGAGGCCAAAAAATGACAGGAAAGAAGATTTTTTTTTCAAAGCGATTTGTAAATATAACCTTACAAAAAGTAAGTCCTATTTGTTATACTACAATAATAATTTATTGGAGTATAAGTAAGTAGTTTTAGTTTTGCAAATTATGATAAGAAAAAAATTACAGTTGCTTATGTGTCAAATATCCGTCAAAGAAATCTCGAAATGTCAATGTGTCAATGTCACTTTTCTCCAATTCTAGGTTATGTCCTCTAATTGTTAAACGTAAGTGTGCGTCAATAAGGTGGTAAAATAATTGTTATATCCGCAACAAAACCGAAACAAAAATGCCCGCCGCCGAAGAAGTGAAATCCAGCTGGGCCGACGAGGTGGAACTGGAGGGCGGTTCGTTGCCGCCCTCCACCGAGGTCCTCGAAAACGGCCAAAAGATCATCACCGAATACAAGTACAACGAGGACGACAAGAAAATCAAGATCGTGCGGACGTACAAGATCGAGAAACGCATCGTATCCAAATCGATCGCCCTGCGGAAAACCTGGAAGAAATTCGGAGAAGCCTCCGGGGACAAACCGGGCCCCAATCCAGCCACTACGATCGTCACCGAAGACGTTTACATGCAATACATAACCAGCAAGGAAGAGGACAACAAGCAAGAGGACGATGGAATCGATAAACTCAAAGGTATACTAATTAAACTATTACTAAACAATTAATTGTTATATGTATTTGTAATTAGCTTTGGGAGATAAGAACGCTGTGAAATGTCGAACGTGTAACGGAGACCATTGGACTACGAAGTGTCCATGGAAGGACACTATGCTAGTAGGCGGTAAGATGCCCGATGAGAAGAAACTCTCCGCTGTAACCGGAGCTGGTAAGTACTCCAGCCACTTACACATATCGAGTAAATTAAACGATATATATACTAGGCGAAGCCGGTAAACAAGGTGGATCTAAATACGTCCCCCCTTCGATGAGAGACGGCGCCGCCAAGCGAACCGACGGCTCCAACATGGCCAAACGGGACGACAGCTACTGCGCCATCAGGATAGCCAATCTCAGCGAATCCACCACGGAATCGGACCTGGAGGAGCTGGTGAAGCAGTTCGGGCCGCTGCAGAAGCTCTACCTGGCCAAGGACAAGATGACCGGCATGTGCAAGGGCTTCGCCTACATCCACTTCAAGTTCCGCAACGACGCCGCCCAGGCGATAGCCCGGCTCAACGGGCACGGTTACGATCACCTGATTCTCAGCGTCGATTGGTCCAGGCCCATGCCCAATTCGAATCCTTAGTGCAAGCCGTAGGGAGATTATGTATCGCGTGGGATTATATTAAATGATTTTCTTTTGCTTGTGTATTTATGGCGTTTTATTATGCGGTTTGTTATAGACCATATTGCAAACGAATTTGGACCGTTCCGAGTGGTTCTAGGTAATTATAAATGATTTTAAAGCGTTCTGGGTGGTTCTAGGCAGTTCTAAATGATTCTAGACAGCTCTCTAAATAGTTCTGAAGCGTTTTGAATTGTTCTAGGCAGTTGTAAATGATTCTAAACAGCTCTCAATGGTTATGGAGCGCTCTAAATAATTCTGAAGCGTTCCGAGTGGTTCTAGGCAGTTCTAAACGATTCTAAACAGGTCTCAATGGTTATGGAGCGCTCTAAATAATTCTGAGGCGATTTAATTGGTTCTAGACAGTTTTAAATGTTTTTGGAGCACAAGTTCTTTGCACAAAACCTTTTAAACTAGTGCAATTAAACGACCAAGTGAGTCGATTAAATGATACAAATAGCTCCAATTAATTTTATTAAAAAAAATAAAACCTTAATACAAAGAAGAAAGTCCATTCTAGACATTTTTTTTTATCAGAAAACTACATTTAATGCCAGATTTCCCGTTTTACAAAAAAAAATCAGAGAGAAACTCGGGACAAATTTCACCTTTACATCATCGAATAGAAAATTAAAAAAATAATTCTAATTGCTCGTAAAATCGCCTTCATTTCGCATAGATTTTTTTTCTCATTTGTGTTTATCAAACAATTCGAAAATAAGCACAAAACTGATATATAGATTTTTCGAGACTTTTAATTAACAATCTATTATTAAAATTTCAACGTTAACAATAATTTTATTAAAAGTCCCGTCCGCTCTAACAATTGTCTTGTGCCCAATATAAATCGGCTATCAAATAAATAATTCAATTACATTAAACAACAAATCGAATCGTTCTCACTGTAGTTATCGAAATAAATAGGCGAAATGTAATATGTAAAAAAAATTAAAATTCTAATTTCACGCCCTCGTATATCCTTCGAATTAACGTCCCCCCGTATGCTTTACATTAAACCAAAATCAATTGATCGACAGCGGGACGTTACTTCATCAGTACGAAAATATACATAAATATCTATTCTTATTTACTTAAATTAGCCAACTCGAATTTTTCGTTAATTTTTGGTAAATAGTACGATTAAAAATTTCAATTATTGTTCAGTTTTTAAAGCTACTATTTAGATCATATTCAATTCGATTCGAAACGGTAGCTTCCGAGCGAACGCGTAAGAGGCCACGAAAAAATAATGAAATAAACGATCGAACGCAGGGGGATTCCCCTCGGGTGATTTCTTTACAATTCAAAATGTCCGCTCGTAATTTTAATTCGCGATGAAATTAAAATTACAAGCGAAACAGTACAAACAACATTTAAACGCACCTTAATATATCTAACTATTAATACTGACACCAGATTTTTTTTTGTTATTCTTTTGAATCAAAATCGATTTTTCTCATTAGAAACACATTTATCACGGGGGAATATAATCGAGTAATTTTGCACAGATAACTTGGCCCAATTCGCGCAAATTAATCGACTGTACCAGCAGCTTTAAATATTACAAATAGTACAAACATAGTACGTACGAATTGCGATTTCTCAAATGATAAATGTAATTCCAAACAAACAATAAAATTAAAAAATAAATCCATCTTTTTTCCATCTAGTACAAATTCACTCGATCACAGATTTTTTAGTATTTTTTCAGTTGAACCAAACAAACGTCCATTTGTTGTTTAGCTTCTCCCTTCTTAGCTAGTGTCAGCTTAGTTCCCGGTTTTATTTCTTCTATTTCACTGAAAAAGATAAATAACACAGCAATTAGTATGTATATTATATCCATATCAACAATGGGATTCAACATGTTAACGTTGAACACCCTGTATATCAAACACCCCGCTTATTAGACCAAGTTTAGGACCGATAAAATCCACCTTATAACAGAATTAGTATATTAGACAGGGCCGGATTTAGATAAAAAGAAGCCCCCAAGCTACTCCACTTATGAGGCTCTTTCCATCTACTATTTTTAAATAACACGATAGTTAATAGAATATATACAAATATACAGGTTGCTCCATTTTTTGTTGCAACAAAGGAAAGAATGACATTTGTGTCATTGCAACTTTTCACTCTGACAGCTGTCATTTTAATAATCTTTCTTTGTTCCACTCATAGAAATGACCATGTTGCAATCGGAAATGGAGCAAGATGTATAACAATTTGAATGTAGACCCCTCTTGATTTCGTGAAACCTATAGGATAATCTGGCCCTGTGTAGACCCCAACAAACAATATAAATAATCAATAATAATGGATACCAACATGAAAACATAAACAACCCCAAATAAAACAAATTGTACCAAAATGAGGACAGTAAACCGCGTATTAGGACAAATTTTACAAAAGTAGAGCGCGCATTCGGATGAATTATAACAGGATTAGGACGGTAGACAGCGTGTTATAACAAATTATACAAATATTTGGACGGTAGACAGCTTTTTTAGAACAAAATAGACCCCATTAGGACAGTGTAGATTGCACATTAAACCGTCACAGAACAAACTGCGTAGAAACACATACAGATTGTTCCATTTTTGATCGCAACATAGGTTATATAGGCCAAGGGTGCGATAAAGACAACTTCCATTAGACACTTACAAAGGAAAAGGAAAGAGTGACATTTGTGTCATTGCAACTTTTTCACTCTGACAACTGTCATTTGAATAATCTTTCTTTGTTCCACTCATAGAAATGACCATGTTGCAATCGGAAATGGAGCAAACGATATACACATACACATTAGACGATAACAATTTCCCCCCATTCGATAAAAAAAATAACAAATCAAACTCGTGCAATTTGTAATACCTGCCATCACAGGCTCGGGCACGAATTCACCCGCCCCCTCCTCGTCGTTAGCTTGCCCGGCAAGCGGACGATCGCGCAAATCTACAATGTCCAATTTCTCAACAACGACGGGCCCTTTCTCATCGTCGTCGTCATCGACGATCGCTTTATTACCTTGTTGCTGTTGGGTCGCAGGCGATTGCTGTTGTTGTTGCTGCTGCTGGTTTTGCGGCGGTTGTTGTTGTTGCTGTTGCTGCTGCTGGGGCGGTTTGTTCTGCTGGTTGCGCTGCGGTTGCCTGTAGTAATTGTTCCTGTAGCCGCCCCTGTACGAGCCCCTGAAGCCGCCTCTGCCCCTGAACCTGTACGCCAAACAAAAACGAGTAAGTTAAATTATTGTAAGTTACAAATTGAACTGCTCCACAAATGTTAAGGGAGTTCTCGCGTATTTAGCGATTATTTTAAAAGTTACCGACTTTTTGATCGCCAAATTTTCAAATTTTCGAAATTAAATGTTTTCTCTCATATCCGAGTGGATTTTTTGCCCCTACCTCTACAACTCATACTAAATTTGGCGATCAAAATATACCTGCAACTTTTCAACGAATCTCAATATTTGTAAACTTCCTTAACATTTGTGGAGCAGTATATTATCAAATAGTAAGTTATCTAAATGTACTGTACTTTAAATTATTCAAGAGATAGTAATAAAATTACGAGCGACTCAAAAGATTGACTGATTAAAGGCTAATCACCCTGTGTATACAGGACGTCCCGATAAAATACACGTAATATATTCATATAAGTGCAAATTTATAGGCAATATGGGCGAATCAAAGACTTCTAAACTTCCTCTTGTCCTCATAGAGGAAGTAAAAAGAAAGAGTAATATTGTGAGAGAATTGCAACTTTATTGAAGACAAATTTGCACTTACTTACACAGGGTGTCCTGCATAATGAGCACGAGTGTTGTTACATGGGACACCCTGTATACAACGCATTTCCTCTCACATCACTACAGAAAGTCCCATTCAAAATAAAAAAAAAGCATAAACTTACGCTCCGCGTCGGGTCGCGGCAACTCCAAACGTTTCCGAATTCAATTTCCTTTCGACGCGCCAATCCGTCCGCTGGGATTTCCCCTTGGCCTTTTCCACGGCCTCGCACGATATCTTATCGAAGAACGACTTCGTTTTGTCGTAGAACACCTCCTGGTGCTGTTGGTCGTCGTCCTGCTCGTTCTCGCCGGCCCCCGTCTCGTTGCCCGAATCGTCCTTTTTGTCCGCATCGTCGCCGGCCCCTTTCGAAGGCGCCGCCGCCGACGCCGCCGCCGCCGCCGCCGTACCCGCGGCCGCTCCCGCTTCGCCGGCCTCCTCCAATTTCACCTACAAACCGACGTATTACACATGAATTCGACAGCGCAAATGTAACGTACCTTTCCCAATTGGCTCATCAGCTCCTCGAACTCCGTATTGGCCTGCTCGAAATCGTAATCGTTGTCGAACTTCAACATGTTCCTGGGCCTGCCGCCGCCTCCGCCGTCGCCGCCGACCGGCGCGTTATTCCTGTAACCGGGCGCGCCGCCCTTCGGCCTCGACCAATTCCTCATCGGGCCCCTGTTCGACCAATTGCCCCTCGGCGAGTTGTACTGCTGTTGTTGCTGATTGTTCGTGTGGTAATTCGGTTTGTTATGTTGCTAAAAATACGCAAATACATTGCTATAACGCTCGATCGCAAAGTAGAATCAAATCACCTGGTGATTGTTGTCCTTCCTGTCGCCCGACTTCCTCCTCTGCTGGTGCTGTTGCTGTTGGTTCCATTGGCCCGTAGGTGGCTGTATAGGCCTGACGGGTTTCCTGCCGCCCTGTCGGTTCTTGCCCGTTTGCACGCCCTGATCGTTCGTCGGCGACTTCCTCGATCTCAAGCTAGTGGGCGACGTGCTCCTCGAACCGCCGATCAAATCTAGAAAAGACACTACGAATCTGAGTCGTCTAGACACACTCGATAACCGGCAGAAGCCACAAAGCAATCGAACAAGCAAACTAATAATCTACAATACCTACTGCAACAAAGCTCTACAGCCACAAGCGATCAAGCAAATCTAGGTACAAGTAATAAAAGACGAGTTTTACCGTGTTCGATGACGTTCGATTGAGTTCGTTCGATATTAATCGCCTCGGGGGCGCCCGTTAACAACTCACTTGGCTTGGCGGCGGCCAGGCCGGCGTCCTGGTGGGCGAGGCCGAGGCCCGAGCCGATGCCGCCGTACGGGTGCTGGAACGGCGGGGCGTCCATGTGGACGGGGGGGCCGCGCATGACGTGGTGCGCCGGGTATTGGGGCGGTTGCATGGCGTGCGGCGGCATCGACAGCTGCATGATGGCCGGATCGTTGAGCGGCTGCGGGTGCGAGGCCGCATTGTTGATCACCCGGATGTCTTTGATGTCGGAGCCCCTGAACAGGATGTAGTCGTAGATTTGGTTCTGGGCCGGTACTGGGTACTGGGTGTCTCGGTCTTCCGTGCCAAAGGATCGTACTAAAAGATGACGAATTCGATTAGTTTTTCGAGTATAATCTGATTGGTATTAGATAGAGTATAGTCTCTGTCGAAGAGGGTTAATTTAGGGTTAATATAGTCCAGTTGTTTAGATATATTATAAACATTTTTTTTATTCTGATAGAATTAATTTGATAGTTTATTTAAAATACTTTAATAGTTTAAATAAATTGAGAATTTTGTATCGAATTACTGGTAAAACAAGTTTTTTATTTGACACATTATCAGCTAAAATCTAACAAAAAAAAACACATTTACTGTTCGAAATACGATTGTAAATCAAAATTAATATCAGCAATTTGATAAATTTAAAACCGTTTTATACTGACCTAAACCTAACTGCGTTAAACATAATTTAGATAACAATTTTTTTTTCTCGTTACACTCTTCATTACATTACATTTAGATACATCTTCATTTCGATACAAAACAAATACACAATCATAAATTAACATATACGCAATAAATTCGCACAAAGGGGAATGCGAAACGTAATCGAAATCGTACTCACCGGACGCCAAAGCGATGGTGCATTCCTGCGGATCGACTGTAAACAATCTACCTTCGTAGCGAATGTCGGCCTTCGATATCAGGCTGATTTTGGAGCCCAATTCCGGCATACCGGTCGCCATTTCGAACGGACGGCGTTCGCCTGCGGATGGCCCGAATAACGCGAGATTCCTTTCGGGATGGATTCTCGGAAATTTGCAATGTCGTCCGGTCGCGATGACGAGTTGTTCCGTGAGCGCTGCTCGTCGATCGTCGAGTACGGAATAAAACACGAAGCTAGGCGGAAAATGGCCGAAGCGAACAGCTGAGCTGACAGGTGTCAACGGCGCGGAACGCGAAACGCGGAAGGACGGCGCGATGAATGGTTGATCTGAAGTTAGACACTTGTGGTATTTCTGTTTAGTTGAACTTATGTGTGAGCTTTATTTTGCTCTAATTTTATTATTTGTTAATAAAACTTGCAGGTTGATCGAAGTTTATTACAGAAATATTATAAATAATCATTTACCGAAGTACTTAATCTGTCAATTATGGAACATACGATAAAAAAAAAGAAGAAAAAACATAACCTATAAAATTTTAGCTTAAAACTTTTTAATTTTACACTTTATTTATTGATTTTAAATTGATATTTTTAACAATTTTATTATAATGGAAAACAACAGGAATCGCAACAACGAAAATAAACCGAAAAAACGCAAAAATTTCGGCGAAGACGGATTCGAACATTGGGTAAATTTTTAAACATTAACACTCTAATTAAAAACATTAAATTGCGCAATTTTAGGGGGGCTACATGGCGGCAAAGCGAGCGAAACTACTGGACCAATTCAAAGACTCCGAAATACCGAGATTGTCTAATATATTCGAAGGGGTAGCCATACACGTAAACGGTCTTACTCGACCCCCTAATGACGAATTGAAGAAACTCATGGCTGCCCACGGGGGTCTATTCCACATGTACCAAACATCTGCTACCACTCACATAATAGCCTCAAATCTACCCAACGTTAAGGTGAACTATTCCCTCGATATAGATTGCTCTACGAGTACATTTCGAGTAAAATTTTCAGGTAAAACACTTAGGCTCTGTCCCCGTAGTGAAGCCATCTTGGATAACCGAAAGCATCGAGTACGGCAAATTGCTAGATTATCGCAGATACCTTTTATACACGAATCAAAGCAAAACGCAGCCTCGAATCGATTTCCCGATAATATCTAACGAACAAGTCAGAGGAAACAGACCGCCTACCAAAACAGCTTCGGATCCGAAATTTTTAGAGGAGTTTTACAGCAATTCCAGATTGCATTTGATATCTACTCTAGGCGCCGAATTCAAGCAACTCATCGGCGACATGCGAGATAAATCCGACGGGAAGTTCCCCGGAAAAGAAAAACTATTACTCAAAGGTACTCGAGAAGGTTACTAAATTTTTAACACTGCATATTCAATTTTCCAGCTAAGAAACATCCAATTTACCTACCTCATCCGGTCATAATGCACATCGATATGGACTGCTTCTTCGTGTCCGTAAGCCTCCGAGACCATCCGGAACTGCAAAACCGACCGGTGGCTGTGACACACGCACGTAACGGTCAACTAACCAACATCAAACCCGAACAAAAGGCGAATAGAGAACAGGAATTTTCGCTGTACGCCGATCGATTACCCGCCGGAGTGACCTCGAGAGTGGACAGATTGGACACGAAATCCAGCTTATCCGAAATAGCCAGTTGCAGTTACGAGGCCAGACAGTGCGGTATAAGAAACGGCATGTTTCTAGGACAAGCCGTGAAGTTGTGCCCCGAATTGAAGACTCTACCATACGATTTCGAGGTAATCCTAACCCTATTAAATTCTAACATAAGTACGATTGTTATTTTTAGGGTATAAAAGCGGTATCGCGTTTATTATACGAAACAATCGCTTCGTACACTTTAGACATCGAAGCTGTTAGTTGCGATGAGATGTTTGTAGATGTCACTAGATTGTTGAAAGAAACCGGTTTGTCGGTGGATGATTGGGCGGCTTACATTCGAAGCGAAATCACTAACATCACTAAATGTCCTTGCTCGACAGGTACATTTTTAGTAATAATAAAATCTACTGCATTACATGCATTCGTTGCAGGTTTCGGGGCTAACAGGCTACAAGCCAGACTGGCAACGAGGCGAGCCAAACCATCGGGCCAGTACTATCTACGACAAGAAGACGTGGAAAATTACATGACCGATGTAAAACTGTCCGATTTACCGGGCGTAGGTCGCGCCACTTTATCCAAACTGGAGAGAATCGGTCTGCGCACGTGCGGAGACGTTCAAGTAAGGCCTTTTACTAGCAATCGATTGCGCTTCGTACTCCTACCGGTTACTTTCAGTCGGCCGATGTAGGTGTAATTCGACGAGAAATCGGCCAGAAGGCCGGGGAAACGCTCAAAGAACAATCCCGCGGTATCGATAACAGGCCGTTGAATTTCCACCACGAACGAAAGTCCGTATCGGCAGAGGTTAATTACGGCATCAGATTCAAAACCATCGATGAATTCTACGCGTTTCTGCACAATCTCTCCGAGGAAGTTTATAATAGAATGAACGATGTGAACATGAGAGCCAGATGTTTGACGTTGAAGTTGCTAATAAGGGCCCCCGAAGCGCCCAAGGTTAGTCTCTCGAATCACGTTAAAGATATATAACATTGAGGTTAAATTGCAGGAAACCGCGAAATTCTTGGGACACGGCGTATGCGACAGTTTAACCAAGAGCTCCAATTCGAACGCAATTCTGAATAACCCTTCGGTTATATTCGGCGAGGCTAAACTCCTGTACGAGAAATTGAGGCCGCCGTTCGGCGATTTGCGAGGCGTGGGATTGCAATTGACGAAATTGGAGAGGAATTGTTCGATCAACAACGCCCTGAGCGAGTTTCTGAAGGGCTCCCGAAAGCCTAAAGAGGTGCAGAAGAAGGCGAAAGACGAGGCGGTCGTTAGAAAAGACGAGTCGAAGAGGAACGGTTCGAAGAAAGCCAAATCGGGGAATCCCAACGCTATAAACGATTATTTCAGCAAAACCAAGCAGTCTTCGGGCGCTTTGAAGTCGTGTAAAATCGACGTGAACGTTTTGAACGAGTTGCCCGATGATATACGAAAGGAAATTATCGAAGAATATAATTTACAAGAAAGCGTGGCGATCGAATGTAAACGAAACGACGGCGAACTAACGCGAAATAACGGTGAAAATAACGAACGATTCGTAGAGAATCGATTCGAAAATTTGTCCTGGAACGAAATCAAGCCGATCATAAAGAAGTGGATCGAATCGGACGAGTTTCCCTACGATATCGATATCGAAATGATAGCCGAGCATTTCAAACGGCTCGCCATCGACAGGAAAATCGAAACGTTACCGGCCATCTTCAATTTCCTGCACAGGTAAATATTATTTAGAGCTTTAATCTGAGACATGCGACGATTATACAGGGCGTCCCGCTTAAGAATAGGACTATAGGACGATGTAGGGAAAAGGTAGAGTAGGGTAGAGTTGGGTAGAAGATAGTAGAATTCACTAGATAGTAGAATTTAGTAAATATTATGTGAAATTTAAGGAACTTCTCTTCGCTGAACTGCGCTTGGCACGAGGCCTACTACAAGATGGTGAATATCGCGCAGGAGGGAATGGTGGCGAGATACGGTAACACTTTGCTCGTTAAAAGGCGATTTCCTTGTTGCGAAATGTGATAATTTTTAATATGTCTGTGATAGAAATTGTTTATTTTAACATTAACTTAAAAATGATACTGTTTTAAAGATGCGGATAGGTGCAAATTTGTTTGCAATAATGGTAAATTCGTGCCTTGTCAAAATAGCCTATAGACAGAATCATTTAGAACAATACAGAACCATTTAGAAAGCTCCAAAACCATTTAGAATTGTCTAAAACAATTTAGAACGCTTCAGAACTATTTAGAACTGTCTAAAACCATTAAGGACGCTCGTAAACTAGCATTATTAGTCAAGTAACAGTTAGTTACAGTGAAAAAGTATATAAATTCCTTTATGTGAGCCCATAGACCGTATTGCGTACAAATTTGCACTTATCTGTATATCACTAATTAGTTTTTAACATGTAATTGTTTTAGTGCGTTTTAAAAGCAATCGATTATACAACGATTTCGATTTTATTCATCGCTTCCTTGGCCTTCTCTATAACGGCGTCTATGAAAGGCCTTTGGGACGGATCGACTTTGAGACAAAACCGGACCAGTTCGTGCATATCCTGCAAACAATCGTCCCATTAGTGATACTTAGAAAGATCTACTCGTCGGCTATTACTTCGCAAAAGGGAGTCTCGCCGGGGTAGCTGACGGTTCCGGACAGCGCGGCCAAATTCACCGAGTCCCCTTTTTCATAGACAATATCGAACGGCGACTTGAAGTACATCATGGCGTACAACACGCAGCCTAAACTCTACGAAACGATTCGATTATCAATTCTATTCGGGGTTCCCGAGGGCGTTTTTTTTTTACCCAAATATCGACCCTTTGATCGATGATGCAGTAGCTTTCGACGTGGAACAGCTCCGGGGCCCTGTAGGTCATCGAGCACCGCTCGGCGGCGAGGTCTTGCAGCTTTTGGGCGTCTTGGGCTCCGCATACTTGCACTTTGGCCGCGGCGCAGGAGCCTGAGTAACCGATCGGATTAGTTTCCGAGTCATTTTAACGCGTTATGGAGTTACCTAGGTCCATTAGGATAGGGTCGGTTTGCTCGGTGAGGCAAATATTGGCGGTTTTTAGGTCCCTGTGGGCTATGGGATCGGGCGCGAAGTCGTGCAGGTACTTGATGGCGTCGCACACATCGAGGAATATTCTCAGGACGTCTTTTTCGTTTAAATAGTTCCTGTTGAAGGATCTCAATGTGAGGTAGTCGTGCAGGGTGCCCCGTTTGTAGTAAGGCAGAACTAAGAAGGCTTCGGACGTCGCGTGGGGGTCCGTTTGTTCTGAAATGGGGTACACGAGCAGGTAAAAATTTTAACTCGTTTAATGTGGAATATTACCTTTGGAATTTGTGAAGTAGAAATCCACTAATTTTATTATATTGGGATGTTTGAGTTTCGTGTAATAACGTATCTCGTCCATGGTGATTTTTTCATCGTCCGCACTATGACACACTATCCTTTTTACGGCGTATTTCTTTTTATTAGACGTATTTTCTACTAAATCTACGCAAGAAAATCCACTATAACAAATAATTATTACATATTACAATGAATAATTGTAGATTTTTATCAAATTACCCTTCACCAAGTCTTTCTAAAACTGTGTATCTCTTTCCATTTATTTCCAAGTGCTCCTTCGTACAAATGCATCCCATTTTTAATATCATGCTAAGCCCTAAGGTATTCATCGTTTTTTTATTTAAAACTACAAATTTCTATACAACAATATGCTAAAATTACTAATATATCTAAATAATAAAATTATAACCTTAATAATTCTTCGTTTTTGTGTATTTGGCGTTTAAATCTGTCACACTGTGGTCTTTGCTGTAGGTGTTATTCAGTTATAATTGACATTAATGACAGAATGTCAAAAAAAAAGAAGAATCGGGGTCGTAAAAAAGTGACAGATGACAAGTGGCTTTTCCTCCAAACATTACATATTTTCCCATCGTTTCAGCGCTTCGATCATGTTGATTTCGCAGTGAAATCGCGTCACGTAGCCGCAGAAAATGTCCGATTCCGAAGCAAGCAACTACTCGGACAACGAGAACGCCTCGGAGGCGGGTTCGGTGCGATCGCGCAGCTCCAGGGGCAGCGTCCGCTCCCGCAGCCCTTCCCGATCCAGATCGAGGACGCCGTCGAAGAGCCGCTCCCGCAGCCTGTCGAGGGGCTCGCGGATGTCGCGCTCCCGCTCCAGATCGGCCTCCCGGTCGCGGTCCCGCTCGCCCAGGAGCCGTCGGGGGTAAGTCTTCCAGCTCCGGGGACACTCTCCTCTAATTTTCTGAGTCATTCGCCAACTTGATTTATCGCGTTTTTAGTTCCGAGGCTCGAGAAGCGTCCGGTCCGGAGGACGTGGCCGATGAAGAGGAGCCCGACGGGGAAAGCCTGCATTCCGACGAATACGACAGCGAAGAAGACGAAAGCGACGATGGCGGTCGATTAAAGAAGAGGAAGAAGAATAAGGAGAAATACGGAGGTTTCATCATAGATGAAGCCGAAGTAGACGATGAAGTCGAAGATGAAGACGAATACGAGGACGGTTTCCAGGAATACGGAATCGTTCCCAACGAAGTGGACGAGTTCGGTCCGACTGCCAGAGAAATCGAAGGTCGCAGACGTGGAACCAATCTATGGGAGTAAGCTATTTAGCTAGCGGATATAAATGGCCTTTTACGAATCGTTTTTGCAGCGCACAAAAGGAATCTGAGATCGAGGAGTATTTAAAGCGAAAGTACGCCGACGATGGGGCCGTTATCAAACGATTCGGCGACGGGGGCGAGGAAATGTCCGACGAGATCACCCAGCAAACGCTTCTACCCGGCGTCAAGTGAGTTCTACGAGTAAACGATCGTATATCGAAAATTAACTCTTATTAAATTCCATCAAGGGATCCGAACTTGTGGATGGTGAAATGTCGAATAGGCGAAGAGAAATCCACCTGTTTGTTGTTGATGCGCAAATTCCTGGCCTACCAGAATTCCAACGAGCCGTTGCAGATCAAATCGGTGGTCGCGCCCGAAGGGGTCAAAGGTTACATCTACATCGAGGCCTACAAGCAGCCCCACGTGAAGGCGGCCATCACGAACGTGGGCAATTTGAAAGTGGGCATTTGGAAGCAACAAATGGTGCCCATCAAGGAGATGACCGACGTCCTGCGAGTGGTGAAAGAACAAACGGGTGAGCTCTTCGTTCGAGAGTGGCTGCATAGCCCGATTTGTTGTTGTTTAACGGTTGATTTGTAGGATTGAAATCGAAGCAATGGGTTCGTTTGAAGCGGGGTTTGTACAAAGACGATATCGCTCAAGTGGATTACTTCGATATGGCTCAGAACCAAGTGCACTTGAAGATCCTGCCGAGGATCGATTACACTCGATTGAGGGGTGCGCTCAGAACGGCGCAATCGGTACGTTCATAGTATTTATAACTTACACGTTAAATGGTATTTATTCGAGTATTTTCTTGTAGGAATCCGAGGCGGAGAAGCGGAAGAAGAAGCGCCGGCCGCCCAGCAAGCCGTTCGATCCCGAAGCCATTCGATCGATCGGTGGCGAGGTGACGTCGGACGGGGATTTTCTGATATTCGAGGGCAACCGGTACTCGCGCAAGGGCTTCCTCTACAAGAATTTCACCCTGAGCGCCGTCATCATCGACGGCGTGAAGCCGACGCTGGCCGAATTGGAGCGATTCGAGGAGCAACCCGAAGGCATCGATTTGGAATTGTCGGCCGAAAAGGAGGAGAAATCCGTCACGCATTCGTTCAGCGCCGGCGATAACGTCGAAGTCTACGAGGGGGAATTGATTAATTTGCAAGTACGTTACATTTCTCACCCTCGTAATTATTCTATTTATCGTATTTTTTGATTATTTTAGGGTAGAATAATAAGTATCGATGGTCATCTCATAACGGTGATGCCGAAACACGAAGATTTGAAGGATCCGTTGGTGTTTCAAGCGAACGAATTGAAGAAGTTCTTCAAGACCGGCGATCACGTGAAAGTTTTGTCAGGTAACTCTACAAAACCTTTAGAAAACGTCGAAAAAAAATCTATCTGCTATCTATACAGTGCGTCCTGCATAAGAACCGATGTAGATTCGACACGTTTTTGGGCTTCTGCGAGACAACCTGTATACGAAATCGACGAAAATTGTAATAGATATTAATGGTGGTTTGGTTGTACAGGTAGATACGAGGGCGATACGGGCCTGGTGGTCCGTGTGGAGAACAATCGCGTCGTTTTGATATCGGATCTGACGATGCACGAGATGGAAATATTGCCGAAAGATTTGCAACTGTGCACCGATATGGCCAGCGGCGTCGATTCCTTGGGTAAATTCGAATGGGGCGATTTGGTGAATTTGGACGCCGAAACCGTCGGCGTCATTATACGCTTGGAGCGGGAGAATTTTCACGTTTTGAATATGCACGGTAAGCCTCGAAAAAAATTATTCGTTCGCTGTGATTTGTTATCCGAAAGAGGATCTCTGTGAATTGACAGCTTTACATTGGTTGTTATGGAGTAACTAAGGAGGCTCCTTCAATTGACAGATTTACATTGTTGTTATGGAGTAACTAAGGAGATTCTTTCAAATGACAGACATTGACATTAGATATTGTTTACTTTTAAACTCTTTAAACGATTGATTAGCGTTAGAAAGCATCGCCGAATAAGAGCTTTGGGAAGGCTCTTTGGAAACATTTTTTTTTTTGTATTTAATTGTATTATTTTTTTAGGTAAAGTGGTGGAATGCAGGCCCAGCTCGTTGCAGAAGCGACGCATCAACAAATACTTGGCCGCCTTGGATTCCTACAGGAACAATTTGCATCGAAGGGATATGGTGAAAGTCATAGACGGGCCGCATTCCGGATTTTCCGGCGAAATTAAACACCTCTACAGGTGAGCGAAAAAAAAATGTTTTATCCAATGACTCATCCACGTTAGTATATATGATCTAAGTATTAAACACCATTATAAAGGAAAAATTGGTATTATGTCATTGCAACTTTTCACTTTGACAACTGTCATTTTAGCAATCTTTCTTTGTTCAACTCATAGAAATGTTGCTATCGCGAATGAAGCACATTGCATTACATCCTTGTATTTAACGTCGAAATAATCCTGTATATTTTTTTTAATTGTGCAGAAACGTGGCGTTCCTCTACTCGGTGGAATTCCTCCAAAACGGCGGCATATTCGTCTGCAAAACGAAGCACCTCCAATTGGCAGGGGGCAACAAGAACGTCCCGTCGGCGGACATCACCGTCGGCATGGAGTACATGTCGCCGCGACGCAGCTCGCCCATGCACCCGTCGAGCGGCGGCTTCGGCGGCGGTTTCGGCGGCGGCAACCGAGGCGGTGGAGGCGGCGGCGGAGGCGGAGGCGGTAGAGGCAGGGTGGTGAGAGACCGGGACATCATCGGCACCACCATCAAGATCACCAGGGGGCCGTACAAGGGCAATATCGGGATCGTGAAGGACGCCACGCATGCTACGGCTAGAATCGAATTGCATACTTGTTGTCAGACGATTTCTGTCGATAGGAATCATATTAGCGATGCCGGTAGGATCGATTATGTCGCTTGTTATTGTACAGGGTGGATTAGAATTCGAGCGTCGCCGATGGACACGACGATGGAGGTGCCAAAAGTGCAGTCGAAAACGTGGAAAAGTTATTCGTTTGGTAAATAAAGAGGTTTAAAATTGTGTAAAATCACAGTAGCGGTTTAAATTCACGAAAATGACGTGATTTACTTATTTGACATTATTGAAAGTTTGTTATTTTCACCTTCAAGGTTAACAAAAGTTGCCAAAATCAGCTGAGATTATTGATCAAAGATTTGCTTTTAAATTGATCAAAAAATGGATTCTGGACGGTTGGTATAAGCACGACGGAGCTTCCGAATGATCGATTTGAAAGCGAATTTCTGATCAATAATCGCCGCTGATTTTGGCAGCTTTTGTTAACCTCGAATGTGAAAATGACAGAAAATGACGTAAACTGCTACTGTGATTGGTCGATTTTTAACCTCTTTATTTACCAAAAGAACAACTTTTTCACGTTTTCGACTGCAGTTTTGGCATATTTCCCGGCGGGGCGTGAGTTCTGGGCCACCTACGCCCGGTTTCTCGACTCCGCGATAACTAAAAGTTAACCTTTCAATAAGTCAAACTTTTCCATAAACTCCGGTTAACCTTCGGAATCGAATTACTCGACTCGAAATCCAAGTTTAAGCAATGCAACAACTCATATACCTATTAGTCCTATACCGCTTACTACGGTCTAAAACCCGTAGCAAACATTATACTGTGGTGTGCCTGCTTATTTATGCGCATGCTCAAGTGAAAGATTTCTTGATTGGCTACTTTTGACAGAGCAAATAAAACGTCAGAAACGTGCTAGCTTTTATTTTGGTATATTTTTTGATATATTTTTAAAATCGACTTTGACTTGCCTGTGTAAATATGTCAGGTTACCGAATTTAAACACGATTTCAAGAATTATTTTCCTTCTTTTCTTTTTAGGCCTCAGCTACTCACTATTGGTCCTTTTAAAATTAACGCGCTTGCGTATAAACGACTAAGCACACCACAGACAGTCGGATCTCTCTCTTTAATCGCTACGATTTTCTCTCATGGAATAGATAGGGAGTTAGCAGTATAATACTAATAGGTATATGCAACAACTATAACGTTAACCACACCCCAGTTCAGTTAACTTTAACTTCTCAATAGTAAAGCGACAGTCAAACGCGAAAGATCGAGAAACCGAGCACCAGCGTGTACATTTTAACGCGTATTTCTATTAATTAATTAATCTAATATATTTATTTCTTGTTGAAGGTACAACCGGTACGAGAGACGGCAGCGTATCGAGCTACGGACGAACGCCGGCGTACGCGGGCAACCAGACGCCTTTGTACAGGGACGCCGGCAGCAAGACGCCCATGTGCGATTCCGGTTCCAGGACGCCGTTGCATTACGGTTCGATGACGCCCGTCCACGACGGTTCTCGAACGCCCAACGCCAGCTCCGAATGGGATCCGGCCGTCTCTAATACGTATCCGTCGCCGGCGTACAATCCGAGTGAGTTGGATCGATGTTAAATTAGTAATAATAGTAACAGTAGCTCTAGGATCGTTTAGAACTGTCCACACGCATTTGGAATGCTATAGACTTATTGGGAACGCTCCAGGCACTTTTGGAGCTATGTTAAATCGTTTTGGAACCGTCTAGAATCATTTGGAACTGTTTAGAATTATTTAGAACGTCCCCAGATTCACTTAGAATTGACTAGAACCATTTAGAACGCTCCAGATACGTTTAGAATGCTCCGGACTCGTTTAGAACGTTCCAGTCACATTTAGAACTATCTAGAATCAATTGGTTCTGTCTATAACCATTTAGAACGCTCCAGATGCATTTAGAACGTTCCATAGTCACTTAGAACGCTCCAGAACTAATTAAAACGCTCCAAAACCACTTAGAACTGTACACAACCATTTAGAACACTACAGAATCATTTATAATTGTCTAAAAACAACCATTTAGAACGCTCCAGTTGCATTTAGAACGTGTCATAGTCACTTAGAACGCTCCAGAACTAATTAAAACGCCCCAAAACTGTCTACAACCATTTAGAACACTCCAGAATCATCTAGAGCTATTTAGAACTGTCTCTAGAACCATTTAGAACGCTCCAAAACCACATAGAAACGTCTAGAACCATTTAGAACGCTCTAAAACCATTTAGAACACTCCAGAATCATCTAGAGCTATTTAGAACTGTCTCTAGAACCATTTAGAACGCTCCAAAACCACTTAAAACTGTCTACAACCATTTAGAACACTCCAGAATCATCTAAACCAATCCAGAACCGTCTCTCTAAAACCATCTACAACGCACCGAAATCACCCGTACCATCGAAATTCGCCGACCCCACACATAGCACAATCGACACAAACTTAAAAAAAAACCAAAAAAAATCAATCTATCCATTTCCAGGCACGCCGGGCGGCTACCAAGTCAACGGGCCCTACACGCCCCAAACGCCGGGCACGATGTACGACGCCTCCTACAGCCCCTACCAGGCGTCGCCGGGCTACCAGAGCGCCATATCGACGCCGAGCCCGGGCGCCGGCTACGGCCAATCGCCGGCCTCGAACCAGAATCCCTACGGCACGCCGAGCTCCGGCTACAGCCCGAACATGCCGTACAATCCGCAAACGCCGGGCGCCGGGCTCGACGTGTTGCCGATGACCGATTGGCATACGGTGGATATCGAAGTGAGGATCCGGGATAGTCACGACGATCCGGGGCTGGTGGGACAGACGGGGGTTATTAGGAGTATTTCGGGGGCTATGTGTACGGTGTTCCTGCCGGCGGAGGATCGCGTGGTGAATATCATGTCGCATCATTTGGATCCGGTGAGGCCGCAGAGGGGGGATTTGTTTAAGGTAAATATTTTGTGTGGTTTGTTATCGATCGTTTTAGTATATTATATACATTGTTGGAAAATTATTCGCGAGTAATAGGGAAATCGATGTTAAATTCTTAGCCTGCTGGAATCCAGTCTACCAGTATACATTTCAATAGAACGTCGCGATAAATTCTAATAAATTTAATTGTTCTACTGGACTTCAAACCTATGTTTTCCCATTTAAAAATACCCTCAAGTGGCGCCCTTAAATTATATATAATACACTCAGTCTGTAATATCTAACTGTTCACAATGTAAAAAAATATGAATATCCTCACCAAAACTATTATTTGATGCATTTCTGTTAATATAACCATTTTTCTTAATTGCAATTAACGAAATTCAAACAAAAATTATAACACTGTCAACTACTCTCATGCAGTTATAGTTACAAATCAATTTTCTCAGGCCTTTTAAATAAACTAGTCTTATTACTAGGGCTAAAAGGGACATGTTTTTTACCTGATAATAGCTAAAATTGAAATTGTATCGCTTCTTTTTTTTGTATTTTAGGTGATTATAGGGGAAGAACGCGAACAAACGGGCGAATTGCTATCGATCGATCTACACGAGGGCGTCGTGAAATTCAAAAACGACATAACTATGTTGCCTTTGCAGAATTTGTGCAAAATGAGACCGCCGGATTTGCGTAATTAGTTATCTTTTTCTTTATTTTTATTTTTTCGTATGTATAATTTTTATTCGTACACGTTTGAAGGTTTCTGAAATAGCATTTAATTAAAAAAAATGTTTAATTAAACAGTTGGTAGAAATAAATACTTATATATATATATAATAAGTAATTATATCCGTTTGTTTTTCTTGCGTTATTCGTGTAGTGCTAAAGTGACCTCATCGAGAAAGAAACGAAAATGCCGTTTAAATAAAATCATTTAAATTCCTACAAACTTTGTTATCACTTAAGTAATACAAAAATAACAATATCGACTCGTCAAGTTTATCAAAAAAAAAAGTTTCTTCGCAACAAACTCGGAGTGGGGGCCACTTTAGCAACCGCCCCTATTATTCCTCGTCCCCTTCGCCCGCCGAATTTTCCTTCTCGTCCTTCTCATCATCGCTGTAAATCTGTCCCTCGTCCTGTTCCTCATCATCATCACCGGCCACTTCCGCGTTTTCTAACTCGGCCCGTTCCATTTGCTTCACCAATTCCGCTTCGTCCGTGGCAGTCACCACTTTAGGCTAGAAAAAATAACACCAAAACGTTGCACTCTCCACTTTAATTTACTAGTAATTGAATACTTACAGCCATTTGTACGTTGAATACTCCTCCTAATTCCGTTATAGTCGCTTTCACCTTCTCGATGGCTTCGCTCAAAACTTTCAGTCCGTCCTGTTTCTCCGGTGTCGAGGTAGTCATAACTACAAAACGAATAATTAACCATTGGAACTGTTAGAAAAAGGCCGGTTTGTTAATTTACCGTACAAAGGGGGTGCTATAAGATTGATTTTAATGGGTAATTCTTCGGTGGAGAGCGCTAAACCGGCTTTCAAAGCGGTTTTCACTGCATCGATACCTTCGTAGCCGTAACAAGCACACTCGATATCCGCTCGAATTTTCACAGCCTGCGATGTTAATTTCCTCTTAATGTTGCTCAACAGCACCTCTTTAGTCTTCTCGTCCAGTTCGCATTCAGCCAATATACTCGGATCCCTACAAAACAAACTATAAATATCTAAACGGTTACAATCTACGATTTTAAAACGTACAGCACGGCCTGCTTGAAGAAATCGTAAGCGCTGGCCTTGTTCTTCTTGTACTTCTCCTCGAAGTGCCACGCCGTCTTCTGGTACAACTCCTCGAGCTGCTCGTCGGACTCGTACTTCAGCAATTCAGCCACGTGCCTCAATATGGAGTTGACGGCTTTGGCTTTGGCGAATCGCTCGGTGCATTTCTCCACGTCTTCGGCGCTCACCCGACGCTTCGACAGATCTATGTAGCCCTTCTCCTTGTCCACCCTGATGACCACCACGGGCTCCGTTTTGCCCACGCGGATCAGCTTGTTGATCGACCGGATGCGCCGCCGCGACAGCTCGGAGAGCAGTATCATGCCTTCGATGTTGTTGTATTCCAGCAAATGGACGTAGGCGCCCATCTCGGCTATGGCGCGGACGTTCACCATGACGACGTCCTCCACTTCGGGGTACTTTTCCTTGTAGAAGCGACACGAGAGGGGCATTTTGTCGATGTGGTTGCGCTGGGCTGTTTGAGGTTAGGTTCGTTTCTCCGAATATTGCGGGTTTTCGGGGTGTTTTAACGCCCGAATTGAATCTAAAAACGTAAACGGATGGTTGGTTAACGAAATATTATGATCGAGTGTAACGGATTTGGTGTAATTTGAGGATAATTTGTTTCAGCGACATACCTTCACGTGTAAGAAAACAAATTGTATTTTTCACAGTGGCTAAGATGACGTACGCGTGAAAATATCCTAGTGAATTACGGTAGAATTAATTGATGTGGTTTAATTAGAGTGTTACAGAAGTAATTAGAGTAATAGATAATTATAGTGGTATGTGTTTTAAAGAAACTAAACACTAAAACGGATCAATTTAGTAAGTTATATTTGTTAAAATTGTAATACCGGAGTCGTAATGTTAAGCATTGTTTCTTCTTTTTTATTTATTTTGACGTACGAGTAAAATGGACTACTTAGTGGAGGATGTAGTCAAAAAAAATCTATATATTTTAATATAATCAAATATTCAGTTAAAATGTGGCTAATAAATCTAATTAGTAACTAAATAAACTTATATTTTTTATGATATTAACAATTATTTAGATACAAGCAAAACTTGATTTTGACAGATGACACTACAACAAGTCATTTAGAAAACGAAGAAGAACCTAACCTAACCTAACTATTCGTAGCACCCAAACAAAACAAAAACAATGACGACAACGCAAGAGGAAGGTTTCGAGCAGGTAAATCCCTCAACAATTCTTATAATTCCCGTCCGATAAATGCCAATTTCGCAGTTCGAAGAAGACGAAGCGGCCGAGACGGTCCTGGCGCTGAGCAGCACTGGCAGAAAGAGGCTATTCAGCAAAGAATTGCGATGCATGATGTACGGCTTCGGGGACGACCAGAATCCCTACACCGAAAGCGTCGACATCATCGAAGATCTCGTCATAGAATTCATAACGGAAATGACCCATAAGTAAGTATTGTACGAGAAGCAATCGAACAGCCTCGATAAATCGTAATCCATCCGCAGGGCCATGGAAATCGGCCGAACGGGGCGCGTGCAGGTCGAAGACATCGTGTTCCTCGTGAGGAAGGATCCCAGAAAATACGCCAGAGTGAAGGACCTGCTCACGATGAACGAGGAACTGAAACGGGCCAGGAAGGCCTTCGACGAAATCAAGTTCGCAGGTAATGTCGAAAAGTAGGTTTTACTGCATGTTTGACATTGCTTCGATAACGCTACCGAGATGTCGCTCCGTTTCGCTTATACCTAACTGCTAAGATTCTCGGCGGTGACGTCATTTGTTAATGGTGAACTCTTATTGGTTGGATAATGTCACTGAGCGATGTGATTGGTTGGTTTTTGTGACGTCATCGCCTGTATTTTGGGCGTTTAGGTATAAATTAGTGTAAAATTGCATTTATTTTTGTAGTTATTATGTATGGATTATATTGATTAAATTATTAGGTGTTTGTTTTATTTTTATTTGATATTTAGTTTATGAATACGAATAAATTAATGTTTGAGGATGTTTGTATGTAGATTATTATTTTTTTTTCGTTAATTAGATTTTGTTTTCTTCTTGTGTATTGTTCACATTTAATTTAATAAGTTTTGTTTTTTTGGTGTTTCAGGAAAAGATGCCTTTGTGGGTTAATTGTTTTTTTTTATATATAAGTATCTTTTTAAATGTGAATAATTAACGAATACGAAGGGAATGTGTAGGGAAAAAATTAATTTACGTTCGAGTAAAAAATGTGTGAATAAAATTCGAAAAAATATGTCACGTGTTTTATTTCAACAAAGCGTATTTTCACAATAAAACCATACTGGCTAATGATTTGTAATTTTTTTCGCGATTTGTCGCATAGATATACAAAATAATATTTGTATTTTGATCGATATTGGGCCTTTACGTTACGGTTATTGATCCCTTATATCAAAAGCGGTTTCTATTCGATATATACAGGGTGTTTCGCCACGTTTTGGATCCCCCCGTGTAGTACTTATATGGGAGAAACGCCCTGTATTGACGTTTCTACAGGGTGGCTCAAACTCTAATACCTTCTTTATTAATAGAATGTAAAAATACATAAATGGTGAAAAATTCAATTTTCTAACTCTAGTGGTTTTCGAGAAAATTAGAGCTGTTTGTAAAATTTTACTAAAGCAAAGTCGTGTTTTTACTCAAAAAACTCGAAGTATCTCGAAAATTTGGAGTCTTTTCGAAATTTTTCTAAATGCAAAATTGTAAAGGAATCTTTTTTCTACAAAATGAAGAAAATTTCATATTTCTAACTCATGTGGTTTTTGAGAAAATTAGAGTTGTTTGTAAAATTGCACTGAAGCAAAGTTGTGTTTTTACTCAAAAAAACTCGAATTTACTCGAAAATTTGGAGTCTTTTCGAAATTAGTTCAAAATTGTAAAGAAATCCTTTTTCTACAAAACAATGAAAATTTGACTTTTATATCTCGTTTAGTTTTCGAGATAAATTTGAGTTTTTTTAAATAATTCAGAATGCAAATTAAACGATAAATTGTTTATATTATGACCACCCTGTATTTGTGGATCCCAATACGATTCGAATTGCTGATTTGTTTGATATTTTTGGCCCGAAATCATTTAGAGTCGAACAATCATTTCGCCTCCAAACAAATTAGAAAACTGGTCGAAAATTATTCTAAAAAAAAAAAACGAATTTTTGGAATTTTTTCCATCCGTTTTCCAATCGAATAATTCCGCACCAGTCACTATAGTTAATTTTAATAAATTCGTACATATATATTTTTAAATATTTCTATCGTTAGGAAGCAACATTAATATATACCAAGAAAAATATTCATTATTAGAGTTTTCAATTATAAAGCCTTCGATAATTGTTAGATATGATTTATATACGAAATGATATGCGAAATGGTCCGTTTTCTTACACGAAAAATGGCAAAAATCTATCAATTTTATTGTCAATACAATTCTTGTAAATCAACAATTAAATATGGCACCCGATAACAGACACTTATTCACTGCACTATTAAATTTTTACACAATATTAGACTTTTTAAAACTGAAAACTCCAGAAGCATCAACAACCCTGTAACGTGTTTCACATAAATACATTTAAATGCTTAAAATTTATCATCACATTTAGTCAACAACAATATTTTTCACTATTTTAATAATTATCATTAATTAATATTATTATTATCAGAGCTTTTTGTACACACATCGTAGCTAAAACACGCTCGAACCAACCAAACCGTAACGTCACTTCTTTCAAACGTCATTTCCATCTGTCAATCATGACGTAACTCGTTTAAACGTGACGTCACTCGATGTTCGATTTTGTGACGTCACCGCATGATTGGCTTGAGCTTTGCTATACGCATATTTTTAACGTTTAGATATGTTTTGTAGTAAATAAAAATTAGAACGCTAAAGGATTTGCTCGTTATAACAAATGCACTAATTTTTTGTTGCGAGAAAAATATACAGGATGTTAATTAATTGTATGCCGATAGTTTAGGATGTGAATATTTGGATGATTTTAAGAAGAAAAGTTTTTATCATATGTAGGTTCTAAACCTCTTAGTTTTTGAGCTACAGGGTGTTACAATTTTTGAAAAAAATAACTTTTCTATCATAATTTTCTTATTTCGGCAGATATTTTTATGAAATTTCGGACATGGACGTCACTGGTAATTGTAGAAAATTAATTTTTATCCCCTAAAAAAGTGTTTCTATGCATGGTGGGCGCCTATCAAATTTCAACAAAATATCAAAAGCAGTCTCAAAATAAATTTGGGAAAAAATTGTTTTGGTTTTTATTTTTTTGCGCGAAAATGGCGCGTCGTACGAAAATAAGTCTTCTGACCGAATTTGTAACAAAATAAATAAGAATTTTAAAAATAATTTTAGTTTTTAGAAAAAGCAGTGGTGTACCATTTTTTTTCAAACATATTCAGTTCAAATCCCGTACGGACGTCACTGGTGAAAATTTAAAAAAATCTTATGCCTCAAAAATGCTCCTTAATAATTAAAAAGTTATACAAAATTTCTTAAAAATAACTGGAGTAATAAGAAAATTAAGATAGAAAAGAAAAGTTATTTTTTTTTCTAAAATTTTAACACCCTGTAGCTCGAAAACTAAGAAGTTTAGGACACACATTAATATAAACTTTTCTTTATAAAACCATCCAAATATTCACATCCTGAATTATCGGCATACAATTAATTAACACCCTGTATTTACACCGATCCTACGCCATTGAAATTTTTTATTAAATTTACTCGTTACCTAATATGTACATAATGGGCGATTTTAACGGGCGATTAAATCGTACTGTCCGTTATTATTTTGATTCATCGATTAAAAAAAAAAAGAAAAGGATTATTTTTTGATCGTTTAATCGTCCGTTTTGTATCGGCTGCAATAATTAGGGTAATTAAAATGGCAGTGTATATAACGACACGCTGATCGAATTATTTAATTAGCCATTAATTAATCGAAACGTTTTCGGGCGTATTTACGTAGCCAAAAAGCGAACCATTAATTTTCTGAATAGTTTAATTAACGGCAAACGACGTAAACGTGTACAGGGTGTCCCAATGAAATGTATACAGCCCATTTAATCGGCTTATTAACTCTTAAAAACGCCCTTTAAAAACGAAAAAAATGTATTAAACGGAACACCCCGTATAATACAGGATGTTCTCGAATTTCTGGCACTAAATTCTAGTGGTAGTTTGCAGGGGACACCCTGTATTATGGCGGGTAGCTAGAATCCCACCGGATCAAATTGAGCGGGACGGGTTTTTCCCGGACGTTCGAAGGTTTTTTTTTTTCGTCCTGAAGGGGTTTTTGAGGTATTTCGATTTTTCGAAATTCAATATTTACGACTTTTTTTGTGCGGTTATGCGGCTACTTTCGATTTTCGAAAATTTATGGTTCACCGAAAAACGCAATGAAAATAATCAAGATTTTCAAAATAATCTCTCTCTTCCTTTCTCTCTCTCTCTCATTCACTCTCTATCTTTTCGAAATTCCAAGCCATCTTCGATTTACGCCAACCATCCTGGGCGATTTTCCAAATCGCTTTTCCTCCGCCAAACAACAAAAATAACAAAGAAAATCCATTCGCTTTTCCTAGAAGGCGACTCGGCTAAACGCCTCGATCAAAATCTGACGCTCTGCCGACGCTGTCCCACCTGCAAAACATCTCATTAATCCCCCGAAACGAATTAGCAGAAAACCAAAAATTGTTAGTAGAAAACCGAAAACAGTTAGTAGTACGCACCGAAAGTTGTTAGTGGACGATCAAAATGACTTAGTAAATCAAATTGAGTTAACCAAAGACCAATAAGTAGTCGACTAAAAACCGTTAGTAGTCCACAAAAAGTAATAGAAGAAAAACATAAAGAGTTCAAAAGTGTTGGAAGATGTCGAAAAAGATCTACCGGAAGATAAAAAAATTCCTGCTAGAAGACAAAAAATAATAATAAAAGACCAAAAAATGTTTGACAAGGCTATAAAGCGTTAATAAATGTCCAAAAACTGTCAGTAGTAGACCAAAAAGTGTTAGTAGAAGACAAAAAAATGTTAGTAGAAGGTTCTAAAGTGTTGGTAAGTGTCCCAAAACGGTTAATAGCAGACCAAAAAGTATTAGTAGAAAACCAAAAGGGATTAGTAGAAGATCAAAATGGATTAGTAAAAGATCAAAATAGATTAGTAGAAGACCAAAATGAACTAGTAGAAGACCAAAATGGTTTAGTAAAAGACCAAAATTGGCTAGTAGAAGACCAAAATAGATTAGTAGAAGACCAAAATGGATTAGTAAAAGACCAAAATTGGCTAGTAGAAGACCAAAATAGAGTAGTAGAAGACCAAAATGGATTAGTAAAAGACCAAAATTGGCTAGTAGAAGACCAAAATAGATTAGTAGAAGACCAAAATGGATTAGTAAAAGACCAAAATTGGCTAGTAGAAGACCAAAATAGATTAGTAGAAGACCAAAATGGACTAGTAGAACCTTACCTAGGAGAAGGACTTTGGCTATGCGTCCACCTCATGGCAAACTTCCATGTAATCCGGATGGAGCATGATGTCCTTGATCATGTCCTTCAACATCGAATACCTTAGCACCATTGGATACAGCTTTGCATTGGTGTATTCAGTCTGGAAATGACATTTATAAAACGTCAATTGTCAACATTCATGTCAACGTCCGCTCACCTTTAATTGGCGAATGAGATTCCTCAAACCGGAGTATTTCTTGAGTAGCCTGTAGAGGTCGTTGGTCATCTGGGTGTTTTCCACGTCGATTTGCGACGTTGTCATGTCTGCAAACGGGTCGGAAATATACCGAATAATCCTCGTATATAAATTAGAAAAATGGAGGAAAAAAAGACTTACTTTCCAAACGTTCGATGCGATCCCGCTTGTCCTGCGCCTCTTCGGCCAATTTCGCCGACGTTTTCACCCCCTCTCCCGATTTCTGCGTCTTCTCCATGATGGCGCATGCGCGCAACACGAACGCCGGCACCGTTTCCTGCTTCTCCTGCTTCGGTATCTCCACCAACGTCCAGTACTGCGTCTCCAATCGGATCACCTCCTGCGGCAGCATTCGACATTCGACAGATTTGTGACATTTGACAGATTTGTGACATTTGACAGAATTGTGACATTTGACAGATTAGTGACATTCGACAGAATTGTGGTATTTGACGGATTTTTGACTTTTGATAGAATTATGACATTTGACAATTTTTTTGAGATTTCACAGATTTATGACATTTGACAGACTTTTGACTTTTGACAGAATTGTGGCATATTTGACAAATGTGTGTCATTTTTATAGATTCGTGACATTTGACAGATTTGTGACTTTTGACAGAATTGTGGCATATTTGACAAATTTGTGGCATTTGAGAGATTTTTGACTTTTGACAGAATTGTGGCATATTTGAGAAATTTGTGGCATTTGACAGATTTGTGACTTTTGACAGAATTGTGGCATATTTGACAAATTTGTGTCATTTTTTTTAGATTTGTGACATTTGACAGAATTATGGCATATTTGACAAATGTGTGGCATTTGAGAGATTTGTGACTTTTGACAGAATTGTGGCATATTTGACAAATTTGTGGAATTTGACAGCTTTGTGACTTTTGACAGAATTGTGGCATATTTGACAGATTTTTGACTATTGACATATTTGTGACATTCGACAAGTGACAACTGACCTTGATCATGGCCTTGAGCATGCTGTACCGTTGGAATATGTTATGCACGTTCTTGCTCTCGTTGTATTTGGCCATCAGACCGACCAAGGCCTTCTTGGCGGTGTCGTAGGACTCGTCCATGCGCACCCGGACGGCGCGCAGCCGTTCGTTCGTCTCTATCACCTCCTCCTTGGTGGCGCCCGTCGCGGTGCCCTCGTCCTTCACGTCCTGGACGATCCTGCGCACGCTCTGCGTAAACTTCCCCACCAGATTCGTCGAACCTGCGATTTGTATACGGATAATGACATTTGACAAGCGACAAATGACAAGCGACAATTGACAAGCTGTGACAAGTGACAATTGACAAACGACAATTGACAAGTGACATTTGACAAACGACAAATTGTCCAGCTGCGACAATTGACAAGTGACAATTGGCAAACTTAAACGTAGTTCAATTGTTGTTCAAGGATTCACACAGAAATCCAAAAAAATGAAGGTTTTATAGAATTTTTTGGGGTTATTTATGGGCTGGCCTCTACCTAGGAGGAAATTCGGTGAATTTATGTGTCAATCTGTTATAAGGTTATCGGTGATTCACGTAGAAATCCGAAAGAATGGTTTTGTAGTTTTTTTTTTAAATGATTTACGGCCTCTACTTAGGAGGGAATTCGGTCAATTTAAATGTCATTCTATTATCAGGTTATCGGGGATTCACATCAAGGTTATGTAGTACATCTATATATTTGTTTCGTTGTAATTTATGGCCTCTACCTAGTAGAGAATTCGCTTAGCGACAGTTTCGAGCCATAATCGGGCATTTTCGAGTGGAAAAAAGAAGAAAATACTAAAAAAAACCGGGGCGTTGTGAATAAAAAAAAGATGGAAACCAGAAGATTATTATTCGACGAGCAATATTTCATAGAGGGCTGTTAGCCCGCGTGTAAGGTGTCCCATAAATTCCGCTAATAACACGGTTTACACTCAATTTACACCAGGCGGCGATAATGCGGCATCGAAACCACCAGTGGCGTACCCAACGCGAATTTCACGGCACTCTTTTCTACTTGTCCTTCATTTAAATTGCTCCCTTGCCATTCGGACAATCAGCCAGCCTAATTAAATAACGTTAGATTAGATTAATTGGCTGCATGCATCAAGTTGACATGGCCTCAGTTATTACTCCAATGAATTTATTGGTCAATAACGATTTGACCTAGATATTCCTAGATTTATCTCCTCTAAGGGAATCCCCTTTTGTATCCTACTTATTAGCATGTAAAAGGTCTTTATCTAGGTAGCATTCGAGTCAATTTAAATGCGGCTTATTTAAACAATCCTGTCAACTGTCGGTTAATTGACAGTTGTGACGTAACGACGCAGTACAGCCAACTTAAAGTGATGTAATGGAGTTTTGTGGGAGTTTTCGGCGCGACTCTGGGCGTAAATTGGCTAAAACACACACATCGATATATCTAATTAAAGGGATTTATGGCTCGTCCTCCGGTCGACCGTTTATCAATGGGTTAATTTACAATGTTAGGCAATTTAGGAAAAATTATGTTTAGTTTTAGGTTTTTTTTTCGCTTTAAAGAAAAGATAGCGGGGTTGATTTATAGGATAATGAGTCGAATCGCAAAGGACTTTGCAAATATCTCGACGATTTAGTTTAAATCTAGTGACTTTTAGTAAGTTGACGGTTGGTAGTATTGACAGGTTTGCTACAAAATGGCGACGTTAAAAAATGCTCCTTAATAATTAAAAAGTGTATACAAAATTTCTTAAAAATAACTGGAGTAATTAAAAAATTAAGATAGAAAAGTATTTTTTTTTAAATTTTAACACCCTGTAGTTCGATAACTAAGAGGTTTAGAACATACATTGATATAAACTTATCTTCTTAAAATCATCCAAATATTCACATCCTAAAGTATCCGCATCAATTAATTAACACCCTATATAATATACACCTTGCTCCATTTCCGATTGCAACATGGTCATTTCTATAAGTGGAACAAAGAAGGATTATTAAAATGACAGCTGTCAGAGTGAAAAGTTGCAATGACATAAATATCACTCTTTCCTTTTCCTTTATAAGTGTCTAATGGAAGTTGTCTTTATCGCACCCACGGCTTATATTAACCTACATTGCAATCAAAAATGGAGCAACTTGTATATATTTTTTTGAATATAATTTTGGTAGAGATATTCATCGGCAGGATTCGAGCAGATATTTGCAGGAACACGTTCGTCATATTCTAACAATAGCCGATTAGATGGAGAAACAAAGCGTTAGTAAATCAACGGAAGGTTAATTGGACGTTTAAATTGCGCTCGAAACTTCGTGTTTACAACTAAAACGTGAAAGAGAAAAAAGGATTCGTTTTGTTTGTTTGTTGTTGTAGATTTAACATTTCTTTTTCTAGATAACGAAACGAAAAAAAAAATAAATAAAAATAGCGCTAATAGATGCAAATATTTTAATCAAGCCGTATTCAAGCGAGCTTAATTGCTCAATTAAACCGTCTAAAATAACGTCTTTTTCCTATAGAAGTTAACGTCGATTACGCTATATACAGTGTGGACCATATGTAATGAGTAAAAACATTTCCTCGGTTAATACAGGGTGTCCCAAAAGTAGCCCCTTTAATGAGCTTATAATTTTTAAACGCCTAATCATTTCTCAAATATGTTTTATTTTATTAGAAGTTTTGTTACAGTGATGCAGAAATTTTGCATTAACAATACAGGGTGTTTTATCAAAACCTCCTCTTTTAAATTCACAGTAACCAAATTAATTTAAATGGAACATCCCGTATATACAGAGGTATTTTAAAAGATACACTCTTCTACTTTTCGAAAATATATTATTTGTAGATGTTATTCTACAAAAGAAGATGTTCTATTTCATAAAATTTTGTTATTGTAAATTTAAAAGAGGGGTTTTTTATGAAACATCCTGTGCAGGCGATACAAAATTTTTGTCTCACTGCAACAAAAAGTTATAGCAAAATAAAATATATCTGTCAAAATCTCATGTTTTTATCATTAGGCATTTAAAAAATATTAGCTCGCTAAAGGGGCTACTTTTTATTAGGACACCCTGTATTTATAGATGTTATTAAAAAAAACGTTAAAATATGTCAATTTTGCGTTTTTAAAATCGAATCTAGTTACTTCAAATTTTAACCCCTAATTGAAAACCTCTCTCAGGGGTTTCCTTACTAACCACCCCTAATTTTAGCAAATTACAAAACTAGGCTTGTGACAACTCGTTTTAAAGGCATTTTCAATCTCTTTTCAGAAGTATTAATTTTAATTTTGTTGCTTATATATATAAATATTTATTCATTATTTATATTATTATGGTCCACATTGTAGAATGTAGATGATGCATCGCGTTTAATCAAGGTTGGCTATGAATTTTACCCATCACGACTTTAATTTTTCACGCTTCATTTAAAGGCGTGAACTCACCAAAAAAAAATTACGTTATTTTGACGTGCACTTTAAATTCAGTGATGAACACACGTCAACAAATTAACAATAATGACATTTGACATACGTCAAAATAGCGTGTTTCCCCATTTACAAATCTATTTTTCACGAACAACAGCTGTCTAAATTAGCAGATAGTAAGTACCTACTAACATTGTTAGAATAAATTTCTAAATATAATTAGGCGTTAATGGATTTTCGCTACATCAATTAGCAATCTATTAACATATTTGTCGGAAAACGAACTAATAGAAGGCCGGTCACATTTCGCCATTTATATCGCAGATTGTATAAATAATTTAGTCGTACTTGAAACAATTACGGGACGACAAATTAGTACTCGGGTACTGTAAATACAAACGGGTCATCGGCGTCTCTGATGCTCCGTTTCGTTCCTTCACTGTCAATTTAAATCATAGTTTAATTGATTGGCCGATTAAATCGCTCAGGAATGTCGATACTAATTATACTAATTAGGGCGCAAAAATTTTATCGCCCGGTTGTCATTATTATTGAATTAACGTAAATACAGGGTGTTAAAAATAATCCCGTTGAAAAATTGAAAGTCCTGAAATATGAAAATACTCGTTGAACTGTCTAAAATACTTATTTAAATATTCAAGTAGTCATTGAAATAGATGAATTTGTGCAAAAATACTCATTGAAATGTCCAAAATACTTATTGAAATAAATGAATATTTCCAAAACTACTCATTGAAATACTCAAATAGTCATTGTAATAGAAGGATTTGTCAAAAATACTCTTGGAAATGTCCAAAATACTCATTGAAATACTCAAATAGTCATTGTAATAGATGGATTTGTCCAAAATACTCATTGAAATATCCAAAATACTCATTGAAATACTCAAATAGTCATTGTAATAGATGAATTTATCCAAAAATACTCATTGAAATATCCAAAATACTCAATGAAATACTCAAATAGTCATTATAATAGATGAATTTGTCAAAAATACTCTTGGAAATGTCCAAAATACTTATTGAAATAGATGAATTTTTCCAAAAATACTCATTAAAATGTCCATAACTCATTGAAATGCTATTGAAACGCTATTTTGACGTACGTGTCAAACGTATCTGTCAAACGAAATTTGAAGCATAGCCAACTTGAAACCAAACGGCTTGAAATGTGACAAATATTAGATACAAATAATTTCGATGATATTTTACCAAATTTTATAACATTGTACAAGCAAATCGGTGAATTTCAAGACGCCATCTTAAACTTTTCGCGCGTCAAACTTGACACATGTCGAAATATCGACCGATTAAAATGTCACAACGACCCGCCTACTTGATTTATTCGATACATTCGTCGCAGCCATCTTGACAGAAAGGTCGCGATAGGAATTTGAATTTGCGAAACGTTTTGTGTTTGTTGTTCCGAACGAATTTAACCTCGTCGGGTTTTAAATTAATTTTATGGATTCGACATTACTGTGGCTGAAGTCGAAGTCAAGGCGAGACCGAATATATTCCGCCCCCACCGGCGAATGAATCCTTCCCGCCGGTACTCGCGGTACTCTCTCCGCGGTACCGCTGGAACTCGAAATGTTCGAAATTTAGAAATAGTTTTGAATAGTACCAGGAACGAGACGGGCCGCAGTGGAACTTTCGCCGCGTTTATTTCTTTCAGTGTATAAATTTTTGTGTTTCGGTTCGATCGCAGAGAAAAAGGTAAACGAGTTTGAGTTTAAGATCGAATTAATTTTATCGATTATTATCGATTTATTTCGGTGATGTAATCGGTTGTTTTGTAGTCACGAAACGGGGATTATTTATTGCGAAGGCGACTGATTTTTTTTTGTGGGATTAAAGTGTGATATCGTAGAAAAAATCCAATGCAAAGAGTCCAATGCAAATTTTGTAGAGTACTTATTTTGTAACAGTCGTTACTGCACCTCTATACCAAAAAATTGATTCCCACCTCCATTAATCTTCTGTCTTATATGAAATGTCATTAATGTCATTTGTGACAGTTTTTGTTTATGTATCATCGAACGCATCTTAAAGTCCCACTTATTCATGTATGTATAATAAAAAATCGGGTAATTTAGCGTAAACTATAGTAGGGTGGAAAATTCTAATTTATATAATTACTATTATATTAAAAATAAATCACCAAAAGAATTATTTGTGGTTATTTTCCATAGACACTTATTAGTGCCTAATTTACCTGCATTATTGAACGGAACTTTAATTATCGCCCAATTTACCTAAGAGAATTTAAACCGATCATTAATTCTAGCCCAATTTACATATAGGTTTTAAAAACTCTTTAATTCTTGCCCAACTTACCTAAGAGAATTTTAATTCTTGCCTAATTTACCTAATAATATTAAAACCATCTTTAATTATCGCCCAATTTACCTAATATAATTGAAAGCATCTTTAATTCTCGCCCAATTTACCTAAGAGAATTGAAAGCATCTTTAATTCTCGCCCAATTTACCTAATATAATTAAAAGCATCTTTAATTCTCGCCCAATTTACCTAAGAGAATTGAAAGCATCTTTAATTCTCGCCCAATTTACCTAAGAGAATTAAAAGCATCTTTAATTATCGCCCAATTTACCTAATATAATTAAAAGCATCTTTAATTATCGCCCAATTTACCTAATATAATTAAAAGCATATTTAATTATCGCCCAATTTACCTAATATAATTAAAAGCATCTTTAATTATCGCCCAATTTACCTAATATAATTAAAAGCATCTTTAATTCTCGCCCAATTTACCTTAACAGAATTAAAATCTATAATCCCTTTGGCGCCAAATTTAAATCCACATTCCAATGATCTAATTGTAAGAACTTTTCCTCTGTTTACGCATTTGTTATGGTCCCACGGGGATTCCCCGCGTGATGAATGAATGAATGAATGAAAACTTGCCAATTGCCAAAAATAAAAAAAAATCAACATGCCTGCGACTCATTCATTGCTGTATTTACGACGGGAAAATCCGGATTTGCGACGCATTTACAACGATAAAATAAATATAATTACCAAGGCGTGATATATAATCTCGTTATCTCATTGAACCTACAAAAAAAATCGAGTAAACATTCCGATATAATGTTTTTTATGGATCTATTACTCATGTCTTACGCGAAAAAATTTGTTAAACAGATATCCACTCTGTTATTTTGTCCAATGTAATAATTAATACTGTTAATTTACCGAAAAATTCGATGAAAAGTTGGATGATATTTTATTAAAACAAAACGCGTAATAATTATTTACGTATGTACAAAGGTACGTTTTGTTCGTGAGGACCTTGACTAATGAATAAAACATTTGATGCTGGGATCGAAAAAAAAGATCGTACATTATGAATATTTCACGGACTAAAATCTAATTTTAATACCAGGAAGTCTACTAGAAGTTTTCTATAAATCTAGCAACAATGATGTGTAAAATCGTTTGTTCGTTCAAAAGATAGTTAATTAATTGTTCGAGAAAATTGATTAACTGTCCAAGAGAGTCATTTGTACATTCGAGAGAGTCATTCATTTGTACAAGAGTCGTTTTTCTGTCCAATAGAGTCTTTTGTCCATTCAGGAGAGTCAATTAATTGTAGAAGTCATTTTTCTGTCCAAGAGAGTCATTTGTCCATTCAGGAGAGTCGGTTTTCTGTCCAAGAGAGTCATTTGTCGGTTTAGGAGAGTCAATTAATTTTAAAATAGTAATATTTCCGTCCAAGAGAGACATTTTTCTGTCCAATAGAATCATTTGCCCATTCAGGAGAGTCATTTATTTGTACTAGAGTCATTATTCGGTCCAATAAAATCATTTTTCTGTCCAAGAGAACAATTTGTCCTTTCAGGAGAGTCATTTGCCCCTTCAAAAGAGTCGTTTTTATGTCCAATAGAGTCATTTTTCTACCAAGGAGTCACATTTCTGAACAAGAGATTCGATTTTCTAACCAATACATACATATATGAAATTTTCTTTTTCTCTCGAGGATCAAAATAATAAAAATATAACAAGCAAAAATAATAGTAAAATATCTACAATTATAGAAACCAAATTGATCGATTGGACACGTCACAACCGGTTCTAATAGTTATAATTAACCCGTTCTCGCCCATTCCATATTAATTATAATTAATTAACGAAACTATAAAAACCGTTTATTATTATATGGGAACATATCTCTCGGATAATTCCGTTTCGAAATCGAACGTGCCATTAAAAGGAATTATTATTATTATTTACTCAAACAATTCAAATTGTTTTTTTTTGTGTCGCTCTTAAAAACACTTAAAAATTTTAATGGGTTTTTATGCAACTCATCCATTTCGCCAACTTGATTAATGAGCGCCTGTCGGATTTAGGAAAGCATTATACGCGCATAATATCAAGGCGGCTGTGAATAATTAAAATTAATAAAATAAAATTGTAGTACAGAAGGACACTCTATTTTTTATGCCACTTTAACAAATAACTCGGGAATAATTTATTAGATATCTAGTTAATTTTTTACTTATTTTTCTATTACATATTATTATTTATGTATGTATTTATGTTACGTTGAAAACACTTGAAAAATTCCGAATTGATGAATATGTATCTAGCAATAATTAATAGTTACTCGTGGTGTATTAGTGAAATTGAAAAAAAAATTGCTCATGCAATATATTTAGAAATTTAGCCTCGGCCGGCCTTGACTTATACGAATTTATTGGCTAATATATTTTTTAATTCCCCATTCTTTCAATTAAAAATAAATAAAAAAAATCCGACGCGCCATCTTGGTTTTCTTCGCACTTGACCGTTCGAAGCCAACTAGATCTAATCGAGTGTGCTTTTCCGAATGTTTGGAATCGCTTGTAAAAGCATAAAAGGGCATAAAAGGGCATAAAAGGGCATAAAAGGGCATAAAAGGGCATAAAAGGGCGCTCGTTCGAGCTTTTTAATCGGTCATTGTGGACAGTTCAAAGGCAATTATTACCGTTCGATGGGCTGATTATGTCGTTGCATTAGATGCAATGCTGAATTTAGCCAATAATACTCATTGAAATATCCAAAATACTCATTGAAATACTCAAACAGTCATTGTAATAGATGAATTTGTCAAAAATACTCTTAGAAGTGTCCAAAATACTTATTGAAATGTCCAAAATACTCATTGAAATACTCAAATAGTCATTGTAATAGATGAATTTGTCAAAAATACTCTTGGAAATGTCCAAAATACTTATTGAAATGTCCAAAATACTCATTGAAATATTCAAATAGTCATTGTAATAGATGAATTTGTGCAAAAATACTCGTGGAAATGTCCAAAATACTTATTGAAATGATCAAATATCATTGTATGAGATAAATTCGTCCAGAATACAAATTGAAATGTCTGAAATACTTTGACATTTGACCCATTGTTTTTTTAGTACAATTAAGAAATAGGAAGTAGGCTATTTTCGGACGTGATTAAGTATGCACGAAGCACCTTGGAAGTACCCATTATAGTACTATACTCATGACGAATTCAAATAAGACTAAACCCAAGTTTATTGTATTCAAATTAGCCGTCTCGTTTCTTTGAAAGTTTCCCTCCGAGATTTTCTCTCGATAAATCACCGATTTGATCATGCTTTTACCGCATTGAAGGATCTACATATATGTAGACTTTTTAATTTGTAGACTTTTAGGATAGTAAATGAAGCTGTTATTAGTGGGTAATTTGGGCAGATTTAATTGTTTTCATGAGAAACACTTGGCTGGTATTTTGAACTTATTGATGAGGTTTTATAGACGGTTCATTAAGTATTTTGGATTTTTCAATGAGTATGTTTGGACAAATTCATGTATTTTAATATCAATTTGAGTATTTCAATGAGTATTTTGGACAAATCCATCTATTACAATGACTATTTGAGTATTTCAATGAGTATTTTGGACATTTCCAAGAGTATTTTTGACAAATTCATCTATTACAATGACTATTTGAGTATTTCAATGAGTATTTTAGACAGTTCAACGAGTATTTTCATATTTCAGCACTTTCAATTTTTCAACGGGATTATTTTTTAATAAAATATTGCCCTTTTACCTACATTTACAACACCCAGTTTCAACTATTAGACTGTTTTTTTTTTAACAAAATAACGGCCTTTTACCTATATTTACAACGTCTAATTGCTTTCTAATGCCCTTTCTAATTCACACAAACAATACAGCTCCGTTTAAGAACCCTCCGAGAGGCGTCCCATTTCGACGAAAACTTCAATTAAGATCCATTTCATAATCCGCATTAAAATAACTCAACTTTCGAGTGGCTTTAAAAGGACTCCAACGTTCCTGGAAGTCCTATCGAATAGAAGATTTCAATCGAGATGCACTCGAACTGGCTTTGTCGCCGCGCCGACGCCCCCGGGGGCGCAATTAGGGGCATGAAAGGCGGGCGCCCGCCCCCCGGGCGGCAGGTGAAAGGGCTCCTTGTACAGGGTACTCGATAATGGGGTGGTTTGAGAAGCCGAAAATCGGCTATTTGATGTGTCGTTTGGTGTTAATTTATTGCTAGTAGTCGGATTATACTGGGTGTTAGTTAATTGGAGTGCAGATACTTCAGGATGTGAATGTTTTTTGGGTGATTTTTAGAAGAAAAGTTTACATCGATGTATGTTTTAAATCTCTTAGTTTTCGAGATACAGGGTGTTGCAGTTTTAGAAAAAAAAAATACTACTTGACTAAATTAAATAGGTATTTTAGACATTTTAATGAGTATTTTTGGCAAATTCATCTGTTACAATGACTATTTAAGTATTTCAATGAGTATTTTGGACATTTCAATGAGTATTTTTGACAAATTAAGTAATTTCAATGACTACTTGACTATTAAAATAGGTATTTAAGACATTTCAATGAGTATTTTTGGACAAATTCGTCTATTTCAATGACTATTTGATCATTTCAATAAGTATTTTGGATATTTCAATGAGTATTTTTTACAAATTCAGTTATTTCAATGACTACTTGACTATTTAAATAGGTATTTTAGACAAACATCCACATCCTGAAGTATCACCACTCAATTAATCAACACCCTATGTTTGAAAAATATTTCTCAAATCAAATCGCCTTGTAAAAAACCCCAAAATACCTGACATTTGACAACTGACAATTATGCACTTCCGCTTCGCACGAATTACGCGCGCGAATTTCCGGCAATCGCGAACGAATCGGTAAAAATCGATTTATCCAGAATCGATAAATCGACGGGGATTCGCGAGAGATATCCCGCGATTATTTTATTTATTTTACACGCTCGTGACGCGTATACCAGTCGTATAAATACACGCTCGTCGAGCGAAACTCGCGAGTTGCCATCAAGCAGGCGAGCGAATTTATTTTCCATTAATTTCACAAACAATTTTCGTGCTTAAAAGTGCTTCAAAAAACTCACTGTTAGGTAAGAAAAATCGAGTGAAATATTTACACAATAAAATCGAGATTTATTATCGAAGTGGTTGAGTTAAAATCAAGATAGCTTAGTAGCTACCCGGCCGGCTAGATTTCTCCTAGAAATTTTAATCCCTCGTTAAAGGGGGGATTAGAACCAGGCCCACTTGACTCGACTAGAAAATAACCCGGTATAAATAATCCCAAAGGCCACTTGGATTCGATCGGTCGAAGAGTCGAGGCGAGTTTTTCGGGCGAGAATATTATTTTTTTTTTTCGGTTAATTTTATTTTAGTGCGTTTTAAATTTAGTTTTTATATTTAATGTTCGGCGAATTTATCCTGTGAAGGTTCGTAAAAATAAACGGGACGTTAATAATAGAAGGCCGTGAGAAGTGAGTCAAAATCAATAAATTGTAAATATTAAATTGGAAAATGTTTTTATAAACGGTGAAATTCGTATGATGAGTGATTGATTTGTGTATGGTAGATTTATTGAAACTGTTTTTCGTTAATTATAATTATTTTTCAAAGGAAAAAACTTTGAATTTCACTAAAAAAACTTCACAAAAGTTGGAGATACTTTAATAATTCAAATTTTATTCAAATCTCATTCAAAACTCATTCAAATCTCATCTCATCCAAAACTCATTCAAATTTCATCTCGTTCAAAACTCATTCAAATCTTCTTCAAATCTCATTATATCTTATCCAAAACTCATTCAAATCTTCTTCATATCTCATTTCATCCAAAACTCAAAATCAGAATTGGTCAAAATCAATAATTGGTGTATATTAAACTGTAAAATGTTTGTATAAACGGTGAAATTCGTGTGATGAGTGATGGATTTGTGTCTGGTAGATTTATTGAAACTGTTTTTCGTTAATTTTAATAATTTTTCAAAAGAAAAAACTTCAAACAAACTTCAATTTCACTAAAAAAAACTTCACAAAAGTTGTAGATATTTTTATAATTCAAATTTCATTCAAATCTCACTTCATCTCATTCAAATCTCATCTCATCCAAAACTCATTCAAATCTCATTTTATCTCATCCAAAACTCATTCAAATCTCATTCAAATCTCATTAAAATCTTATCTCATCCAAAACTTATTCAAAACTCCTTCAAATTTTCTTCAAATCTCATTTCATCTCATCCAAAACTCCTTCAAATCTTCTTCAAATCTCATTTCATCTCATCCAAAACTCATTCAAATCTTCTTCAAATCTCATCTCATCTTATCCAAAACTCATTCAAATCTCATCTCACCTCACTCAAACCTCATCTCATCTCATCCAAAACTCATCCAAATCTCATTTTCTCCCCATTTCACCCTCATTTAAGCCTCATCTAGGCCCCCCTTTTAACGCCTCCTTTACCTTCCAGGATACGATGAAGGGCGAACTGTTGCGAACGACCGTATGGGCCCTTTGCGTCGTGACGGCGGCGGCGGCGGCGGCGGCGGAAAATCGATACGCCGACAGACGACACAGAGCAACAGATTACCATAGAGCGAATCCGGAAGACGCGGCGGCCCGTTGGAAGCGGGCGTACGCCGCCCCCTGGAACGGCGAACACTCCGAATACCAAACGTAAGATAACCTCAAACTATAAACTCTCAAAGCTCTAACTCACTCGCTCTTTATTCTCCCCGCAGGTTTACTAAGTTTTCCCTGTGGAAACCCCCGATGTACCAAATCAACGGAGCCTACTACATCCCGGTGCTGGGCGAACCGGGCAAAGTACCGATGTACTTCGCCCCACAGCCCTTCAACCCATCGAACGTGTACCCGACGAAGAGGAAACCCTTCGTCGGCCCCCCGTACTTACCGCCCCACACCACCGCCGCCCCCACGGACGAGGCCACCACCATGAAGTTAGCCTCGAGGTTCGAGTTCGACGACGACGACGACCGCCCCGTGTGGAACACCATCGACAGGGAGCCGGCGCCGGCGGCGGCGGCGCCCACCAGGCCGCCGGCGCCGCGCCAACCGCCGCCGCCGCTCGTCCACCGCCCCAACACCATCCAGCTGTCGGCCCAAGACGAGGAGGCCATCAAGGCCATCTTCGGCGACGATTCGCCGCCTCCGAGGGTGGTTCCCAGTACCCCTAGAACCACCACCACCACCACCACGACGACGACGCCGCCGCCGCCGGCGCGACGCCCCTCGGGGCCGAGCAATTGCGTGTGGGCGGTGGTGTCGTGCTGTTCGGCCGCCTCCAGCGCCTACCCGGAGCGGTGCTTCGAGCAGAGGGGCTGCCCGGGGCCCTTCTGGGGGGCCAGCCCCTGCGACACGGAGTTCGCGAAGGCGGCCGTGGAGGCAGCGTTGAAGTTCTACGATCAGTAGGGGGCGGGCCGGAGGCGGCTCGGTTACAGTATTATGCGAACACAGCACTGCCTGTAGTTACCAAATTTTTTTTGGACTTTTTGTTTGTGTGTTGTGGAGAGTTTATTTGGGGGGGCGGTTGTGAGGGAGGCGGGGCGCGAGTTTGACAATTGAAAGTGGACTTGTCGATTTGACTGTTTTTACTTATTATGTTTATTTGGTGGTGATTCTAAGAAGTTTTTGAAAAATTGCGATGTTGCCATATTGTACTTTTTTTCATAATACCTACATACATTATTTCTGACGAATTTTTGAACATTACTAGATTAATGTAAACATTATGTATTGTACTGAAGTACCTACATAAGTACTCTTTAATGACTTCTTCACCAGATCCAATATAACGACTAAATGTATTTATTTTTAATTATGTAATTTGAATAATAAAAGTTTATTTCCAATTAACAAACCAACTTCACCAGTTTCACCACTTTCATCATCAACTCTACCGGGAGTTAAAGCCGGCGAGTTTCGTTGGAGAACCGGATACCAGACGAGTAAAAGTCCCCTTTTTTTTTCAATCAACGCCGCCTTCGACTCGACTCGAGTTTTCCGAACCGCCCGGAAGGCGAATTTTCTTTTATACTCGCGCGAACGTGCCCGTTTCCAGCAACGAATCTCCCCCTCGTACGCCAGTCGCGAATTGATTTTCCCGACGAGGAAACTGAATTTTCGCGATAATTTCCATCGGTTTCCCGGCGCTCGCCTCGTTTTTAATTCGCGAATCGAGCTGGAAAATCGGAAAATTCGAATTTTACTCACCGCCATCGGATTTTCTCTTGTCGCCCTTGCCCATCGCCGAGATTTTCTTTCACCTGCAAATGAAAAAAAATGCAAATTTATCCAAATATACGCACTAACAAATACAACAGCTCAGACCTCAAAAAGGGAAGAAGAAGCCCAATTTTGACCTGTCATCTGTCAAATGTCACCTGTCAACTGTCACTTTCCGGAATTGAATAAGGATCTTTGGGTTTTTTTTTTCGATTTTAGAGTCGAAGAGGGAAATTACGCGATGGTAATTTGGGCGACGGGAAGAAGCCGGTGTGATGTTGGAAAATCAATTTTCGCCTCGCTCTCCGGAAAATTGGGGGGCGGCTCGGGGACGGATTTAACGATGTTACTTTTCTCGCGATATTTTCCCTATACTGATGCCGATAAGGCGCGGAAAATTCCGGCGAAAATGGTTTTTTTTTTGGTTATTGAGGAAACTCTTTACACGACAACGAATTCCCTGTATTTTTTTTTTAATAAAACTTGTCGGAGTTATCTAACATTTTCTACCCTCTTACATCATTCTCATCGCTATTATCAACCCTTAAAGGGTATACAGAGCGATTCCTAAAGTGTCTATAATCATTAATATACAGGGTGATTTACCTAGGAATTCAACTAGGAAACTTTTCTACTTTCTTACACCCTTTTCACCGCTATTATCAACCCTTAAAGGGTATACAAAGCAATTCTTAAAGCTTTTCTAATCATTAACGAGTTTACAGGGTGATAAAGATACCGCTAACTTAAGAAATAAATAGACGAATTTCATTTACAAAATCACCCTGTATACAACACGATATGGTGATATTATGCATTGTAAAATCACCCTGTACAAAACATGATAAAAGGAAAAAGTTGCGAGAGAGTAAATTGTTATTCCTGATAGGTAGGCAACCAAATTTACTCGAAACTAGTTTATTTCATTTAGGACTTTTGGGGGATTTAAAAAGGACTAAAAATACCAAAAAAAAAATCATCAAAAATTCAAAGGGGAAACAATAAATTAACGAACAACAACCAATCAAAAGCCAACTTTATTCGATACATTTTCGAATTCTCCCAAGCATTATAGAAACAAAGAGCCTCCCCCAACCGCCTCCCCCAACCCCCCAACCGCCCCCGTACCCATTCCCATTAACCCGTTCGACATGCTAAGGGCGAGAATCGCTCTAATCGAGCGACCACAGAACCCCCGAAAAGGACTCCGAAGGACCTCCGAAATCATGCATCTGTTTACACAACACCAAACTCACCAGCAGCGCAAAATGGAAGGACCTTCCTGCGAAGGACCTCCGGCAATCCGGAGAGCAATATCGTCCTGTGGAGCGCCCGAGTGTCCTGCACGAATCCTGCCCGATCGGCCCGTCGAAATTCCGCGACAGGACTAGAAAGGACGAGGACGAGCGTTCCGCGCGGTGTCCTTTTCAAGGATTAATGTGCCGAGAGGCTGTTGCGCAGCCCGGAGGACGAATCGCGACTGCTGGCGACATCCTGCGGGGTTTGTTAGAAGGGTCCTGGAGAGACGATGCAGGATTTGTGGGGAGTTTTGGTGTAGTCCTTGCTGCTGGATGCAGGTGATGTTAGTTGGTTTGGTTTAAGGATAATAAATTTAGAAGGAGGTACTTGTATGAGGTGTAGGTGGCTGTGGAGGATTCGTGTTGAAAGGATAATGGAAATATTGGGTTGTTTTGATGTTGTTAAAAATATTTCTAATGGGGTTTTTTTTAATGAATTCTATTACTGTATGAAAAATATACTAAATTTCAGTAAAAATATAAAGAAAAATGTAAACTTATTTTCTTTATAATTTCTTTTTCGTCCTTTTCAGCTTAAATTATAAAAAATGTTACTTATAACAAGCGACTGTTTTAGTCTAGTTGTCTAAGGGTGTGTAATGAAGTATTGCATTTTTTGCCACACCAGGTTCGAATCCAACCGGCGCCATTTTTTTTTCACTTTAAATTTCGTAATTTTTAAATTCGATTTAATTAAAAAAAAAACATTTTTCACATTTTATCGACGTTCCGCGATAAGAAAGGCTCCGTCGCGAATCGAAATTTTCCGCTTTAACGCGCCCGAAATTAATGCGCGCGGTAATTTTCCGCCCAAGGAAATTCCCTAATTAAAAATTACACGCAAAAAAAATAAAACCGAAGTAGGCGAATCTCGAATCGACGCGAAAAAATCCCCGAAATGATGGATGGCCCGCCATTAATCGCCATTGACGGTGACTAATTGCCCGGCGACGTGCCGGAAGAATTAAAAATTAAAACCGAAATTGCAAACATGTTTTTTTCGAAAAAATTCGAATTCCTCGAATTAATCACCGAATCGCCGCCCCCGAAACCGCCGCTTTTCATCTACTCAAACAGCGGCGTCGAAATTTCCACGCCAAACACGCGCTATTTACACTCCATCTCCATCTAATGACAGTTGACGCATCTCTCTATTACCCCGCCATCTTGATTCATCTGTCAATAGCGCGTCTCTCTGTCGAACTCTCATCTATATACCTGTCAAATTGATTCCAATGCCTACGCCGCTGCGTTCGCAACCGGCGACTAAAATTACAATTAGGCGATTAATTAAAAAAATCGAAGAAGAAGAAGAAGACGAGCGAAGTGGAGCGAACAATGCCGGCCCCGTCCGCCATTGTAGCGGAAGTGACGGTGACTGATGGTTCCGGCCGGGTCGATCAAAAGAACTACGAGCAAATGGATGGATTATAGAATATGCACTTTTCTTCTACCGAGGGCCGAGAAAAGCGCAGAGTGCTCTTTCATTATCCCAGTATGCTGGTAAGTATCGCCTCAATCTCGTTTAATTTGACGTTTACATCGAGCTACTGTGATTCGTTGTGTGTAGTTCGAAACGTCACTTGTCAAATAAATTCTAAATTCTAACGCATTAGTATTATAAAATCTCTACAAAGAGTTTTCTTTAATTTAATTTAGGTATTCTTTAGTCTAGAGTTCCACACCAGTTATTCTTCAAATAAACCAATCAAGTCACCCGTGTAAGTTAGGAATCGTTCGGTGTAATTTACGGAACGCACCTCCGTTTCGAAATGTCAATTTCACCTGTCAATGTTAGAAAAATGTAAGCAAATTGGCCGATTTCTACCGGGGGTCAAGAAAATCGGTTTTACGAAAGCGCAAACTGCGCAAAGTGCTCTTTTATTATCGCAGAATGCTGGTAAGTATCTCAGTATCTCGTTTAATTTGACGTTTACATCGAGCTACTGTGATTTGTTGCGTGTAGTTCGAAACGCCGATGTCAGTTGTCAAATCGTAAATTTAAATTCTAACGCGTTGTTGTTATTGGTATTATAAAAAATCGTTTACAAAGAGTTTTCTTTAATTAATCATGAATATCACACCAGTTATTCTTCGAATAAACCAATCAAGTCACCCGTGTAAGTTAAGAATCGTTCGGTGTAATTTACGGAACGCACCTCCATTTCTAAATGACAATGTCACCTGTCAACGTTATGAAAAATATATGCAAAATAGTGAAAAAAGTAGTGGTTTAAAAATAACGAATAATAGGTAATAATATCTAACGAATTTGTAAGAAAACTCCCAAAGCAACTCGCTAGAATATATCCGGTCGCGCAACCGAAACCAATAAAGCACTCTATCCGATAAAACACACTTTAACTACCGATATTTCAGATTAAAGTTCTGCTGATATGAAAGTTTTCGCATGTCCCCGCCGCCCATCTATCGCCTTAATATATCTCCCGGTCGTCGGAACAGACCGATATAACCGTTACAATTGCTATATAAAAGTTAAATTTAACGCTCAAAAACTCCAAGCGCATGAATCATCTCTCTAACTTCCTCTATGCGAGGAATTGGAGCCGGACTCCGATCAATCATCGCCCTCTACAACGATATAGCACGGATGGAAGTAATATTGGACAAATTGGTAAATAGTTTTTAATTATAAATTGAATTTAGAACAATTTTAAAAAGTGACATTGACATTCCGATAGAGATGCGTTCAGTAATAATATCGAACTTACATAGTGAACTTGATTTTGTTATTTGAATGTTATTAGACATTAAATAGTGTATTATCTTTCACTAATTAGGGAAAAAACTATGTTTAATCGTTAAAAATAAAACATAAATTCTCTTAAAACAATTTGAAAAAGTGACATTGACATTTCGAAATGTTCTAGATGCGTTCCACAGGCGACTTGATTACTGGAAATGGACGCAACAGGATCCTCCATGTTCAAAATTACTCCGAGGAATTAGGAAAATAATGGGAAAATTCGTTGGGAAATTAGCAGAAAAACAATTCTATAATATATCGTGAGTATATTTATCTCGCTCAAATGATCTCGTTCACGGGTTGGCCTTTAATGAGGCTGTTTTTTTCATCGCAAAGTCACCTCCAGAAACGTCGCAATTTAAATTTAATGAAGTAAAAAACTCTAAAAAAAAAGTCTACTCTCTCTCTATACACACGCATCGTATAAATATACACCGGAGTTTTCCCCCTCACTTTTCCTCCTTTTGAATTCCGCGTCGCAGCTATCGTCGGAAAGTTTTCCCGTTCCTTTATTATTTTCTTTTTTTTTTCACTTTCTTCCTCCTCTTCACCAATTTAAACTTATTAGTTGCAACTTTGCCGCGACTCCCTTACGCCGGAATTATCGGGATTTTTTTCCTCACTCCATTATTAACTTTCCAGGGATTCTCCTAATTGAAAAGCAGGCGTCGCGAAAATCCTGCAAATCCCTCGATTCAACGCTCCAGCTCCTAGCTTTCCATTAGAGCACTCTAGATGGCTCACCAGTTTCTGTTTGGAGAGTTAGAGACCATTTCTCAACATATCACGCATCTAACTATCCATCAGAGCACTCTAGATGGCTCACCAGTTTCTGTTTGGAGAGTTAGAGACCATTTGTCAACATTTCACGCCTCTAACTATCCATCAGAGCACTCTAGATATCTCACCAGATGCTGTTTAGAGAGTAAGAAATTTTTTTCTCACTCCATTATTAACTTTCCAGGGATTCTCCTAATTGAAAAGCAGCCGTCGCGAAAATCCTGCAAATCCCTCGATTCTCACACAGCGAGTACAAAATCGTTACTTACGACTCACACTGTACATGTACACCGATTCGACATGCATGCGAAAGGAATCGATACCGCCGTAGGTACTACCGAAACCGCCCACGAACCGCTCGATATTCAACGCTCATTAAAATCCAATTACAGTACCAGATAACAAGATTTTTTGGATTTTTCGGTACCGCCGGTACCTTCATATTCTCATTCTCGATACGATGCTGGTCCTTTGCGCCCTGATCGCCGCCTACTCGACGCCGGCGCTAGCGACGGCGGCGCCGCGCCCGCCGCCGCCCGACGACGATCAAATGATGCGACAGGGGATGATGATCGGGCCGCCGATGATGCCGCCCCCGCGACCCATGATGACGCCCGGGGTGATACCGATGGGACCGCCCATGTTCCAGCCGATGCCGCCGCCCCCGATGATGGGCATCAATCCGGCTTTGGAGGAGATGAATCCGGATTTGGACAGCGAGGTGATATCGGTGGTGATACACCACAATTTCCACAAAGAAGGTAGTATTTGATGAACGAACGTGTCTTCTTTTTTGTAGAATGACACGCGCTGTATATTCACCAACTCTTCGTCGCTCAGAAATTCACCATTTTTACGCCTCTAGTTCTCATTGTAACACTCTAGATATCTCACTGGATTCTGTTTGGAGAGTTAGAGATGAGCAATTTTGAGCATGGATAGCCTCAAGTCCTCCATAACACCTCTTCCTTTTTACAATGAGACACCCTGTATATCGACCGCCTCTTCACCGCTCAGAAATTTACCATTTTTCAACATTTCACGCCTCTAGCTTTCCATCAGAGCACTCTAGATGGCTCACCAGTTTCTGTTTGGAGAGTTAGAGACCATTTGTCAACATTTCACGCCTCTAACTATCCATCAGAGCACTCTAGATGGCTCACCAGTTTCTGTTTGGAGAGTTAGAGACCATTTTTCAACATTTCACGCCTCTAGCTTTCCATTAGAGCACTCTAGATGGCTCACCAGTTTCTGTTTGGAGAGTTAGAGACCATTTGTCAACATTTCACGCCTCTAACTATCCATCAGAGCACTCTAGATGGCTCACCAGTTTCTGTGTGGAGAGTTAGAGAACATTTGTCAACATTTCACGCCTCTAACTATCCATCAGAGCACTCTAGATGGCTCACCAGTTTCTGTTTGGAGAGTTAGAGACCATTTGTCAACATTTCACGCCTCTAGCTTTCCATCACAACACTCTAGATATCCCACCAGATGCTGCTTAGAGAGCAAGAAATGTGCAATTTTAATTACAACGAAACACCCCGTACAATCACCACCTCTTCACCACTCATCCATCCGCCTATCTAGCACCCCAATATCGCAACCACTCTATCACAGAATTCCCCTTTCCAGATTGCTACCAGGACACCCAGTACAACGAGATGGGCGCCTGCCAGGGCGACTACAGGGTGATCGCCTGGCACCACGGCAGGTGCGTGGTGCGCCCGTACGGCGGCTGTCACCCCACCCGCAACAACTTCAAGTCGTACCTGGAATGTCTGACGACGGCCGGGCTGGTGTGCGGCGACATCGGAGGCGGCCTCAGCGATTCGCTGAAGGATTTCCTGGCGTCGTGGTGTCCCATTTCGTTGGTGTGCAAGATGCTGGGGTTGATGTCGGTGAACGGGCAGGGTATTAGGGAGTCGGAGGTGCAACGGTTGTTTTCCACCATAAGGCCCTATTGAGGCTCTAACCGACCTGCTGCTGGTTGTATGATGTAATGTGTAATGATTGAGATTGAATAAAGTTGTATTGGATTTGTTGTTTGGTTATTTCCTGATAAAGATGAGATCATTGTATCTGCTCTGTATCTGCTCTGGGCGAGCTTTTGAGGATATTGTGGAGTCCCAGGTACTCTCCTGGAGCATCTTCACGAAATGATTTCTCTCCAAGGTGTTGTATTGTGGAGTAAAAGGCTTTATAAGCACAGTTTTAGCTTGTTTTATAAAGATCAATTATTTCTCCAAACTAATCTGTTCGTATCTGCTCCTGCAGAGGTTCTGAGCGAGCTTGTGAGGAAATTGTGGAGTACCAGGAACTCTCCTGGAGCATCTCCTTCACGAAATGCTCTCTCCAATCTGTTTTATTGTGGAGTAAAAAGCTTTAGCACAGTTAGCTAGTTAAATAAAGCTCAATGTATTTCTCCAAACTAATCTGTTTGAAAGAATTTGGATGCTTTCGAATTTCTAAATCGTCTGAATACATCGTGCAGCTAAATAGTTCATACTTAATTATTTCTAATGCATTTTTGGTAATCTTATAAGAATTTAATAGATAAATTGGTTGCCTACCTATTAGTGTCAGTAAATCGATTTTTCGATCGATAAATGTAATTCTGGTTGCATATCTATTGTATTAGTAAGGCGCGAGTAATAAGTATTAGGAGTAAACCTCTTCACACATTCTGCTCTCCTAATACGAAATTTCAAATTCGCGATTTATTGCGAGATTTTCAAACGTTTGACATAAACTACTCGATTTTCTTAAATTTGTTTCTCCCGATCGTTCTGGTTTTAATAGCTCCAGATTTTTACAAATTACGTAGGAAAATGTATTGAGTGTTTTTTATTAAACTCTACAATACTTTTAACATGCGATTATATCATTTCTGCAATAAAGCGTTAATATATAATGCCCAAAATATTAAATTTTCTTTGAATATGTGTTTTGAAAAACAACGAAACATTTAGAATATTTATTAATGCATCAGGATTCATCCAGGACCTTTCCTAGGAGTCCATCTCTCGATATAATCGCATATTATCCTTCCTTAATAACCAAATCTTATCAACTGATTGAGAGATCAACAGAGAAAAAAAATTACAAAACTTGTGCGATTTCAATTTGAGGAAAGAAAATCTCACGATAAATCGCGAATTTGAAATTTCGTATTAGGAGAGCAGAATGTGTGAAGAGGTTTACTCCTAATACTTATTACTCGCGCTTTCCTAATACAATAGATAGACAACCGATAAATCGAATTTTGGTAATTCTGGTTGCCTAACTATTGTATTAGGAAAGCGCGAGTAATAAGTATCAGGAGTTAACCTCTTCACACATTCTGCTCTCCTAATACGAAATTTCAAATTCGCGATTTATTGCGAGATTTTCAAACGTTTGACACAAACTACTCGATTTTCTTAAATTTGTTTCTCCCGATCGTTCTGCTTTTAATAGCTCCAGATTTTTACAAATTACGTAGGAAAATGTATTGAGTGTTTTTTTTTATTAAACTCGACAAAACTTTTAACATTCTACTATATCATTTCTGCAATAAAGCGTTAATATATAATGCCCAAAATATTAAATTTTCTTTGAATATGTGTTTTGAAAAAAAAACGAAACATTTAGAATATTTATTAATGCATCAGGATTCATCCAGGACCTTTCCTACGAGTCCATCTTTCGATATAATCGCATATTATCCTTCCTTAATAACCAAAATTTATCAACTAATTGAGAGATCAATAGAGAAAGAAAAATTACAAAACATGTGCGATTTCGATTTGAGGAAAGAAAATCTCACGATAAATCGCAAATTTGAAATTTCGTATTAGGAGAGCAGAATGTGTGAAGAGGTTTACTCCTAATACTTATTACTCGCGCTTTACTAATACAATAGATAGGCAACCGATAAATCGAATTTTGGTAATTCTGGTTGCCTATCTATTGTATTAGGAAAGCGCGAGTAATAAGTATTAGGAGTAAACCTCTTCACACATTCTGCTCTCCTAATACGAAATTTTAAAATCGCGATTTATTGTGAGATTTTCAAACGTTTGACACAAACTACTCGATTTTCTTAAATTTGTTTCTCCCGATCGTTCTGCTTCTAATAGCTCCAGATTTTTACAAATTACGTAGGAAAATGTATTGAGTGTTTTTTTAATAAACTCGACAAAACTTTTAACATTCGGTTATATCATTTCTGCAATAAAGCATTAATTTATAATGCCCAAAATGTTAAATTTTCGTAGACAATGTGTTTTGATAAACGACGAAACATTTAGAATATTTATTAATGCATCAGGATTCATCCAGGACCTTTCCTACGAGTCCATCTTTCGATATAATCGCATATTATCCTTCCTTAATAACCAAAACTTATCAACTAATTGAGAGATCAACAGAGAAAAAAAATTACAAAACTTGTGCGATTTCGATTTGAGGAAAGAAAATCCTCACGAGAAATCGCGAATTTGAAATTTCGTATTAGGAGAGCAGAATGTGTGAAGAGGTTTACTCCTAATACTTATTACTCGCGCTTTACTAATACAATAGATAGACAACCGATAAATCGAATTTTGGTAATTCTGGTTGCCTATCTATTGTATTAGGAAAGGCGCGTGTAATAAGTATCAGGAGTTAACCTCTTCACACATTCTGCTCTCCTAATACGAAATTTCAAATTCGCGATTTATTGTGAGATTTTCAAACGTTTGACACAAACTACTCGATTTTCTTAAATTTGTTTCTCCCGATAGTTCTGCTTCTAATAGCTCCAGATTTTTACAAATTACGTAGGAAAATGTATTGAGTGTTTTTTATTAAACTCGACAAAACTTTTAACATGCGATTATATCATTTCTGCAATAAAGTATTAATTTATAATGCCCAATATGTTCAATTTTCTTAAGAATGTGTTTTGAAAAACGTCGAAACATTTAGAATCTTTATTAATACATCAGGATTCATCCAGGACCTTTCCTACGAGTCCATCTCTCGATATAATCGCATATTATCCTTCCTTAATAACCAAAATTTATCAACTAATTGAGAGATCAACAGAGAAAAAAAATTACAAAACTTGTGCGATTTCAATATGAGGAAAGAAAATCCTCACGAGAAATCGCGAATTTGAAATTTCGTATTAGGAGAGCAGAATGTGTGAAGAGGTTTACTCCTGATACTTATTACACGCGCCTTTCCTAATACAATAGATAGGCAACCAGAATTACCAAAATTCGATTTAATGGTTGCCTTTATAAGAATTTTATTCGAACAGGAGCGCGAGTAATAAACGTCACACAAGTAAACCTCCTCTCACAGATGTTCTCCTAATACGAAATTTCAAATTCTCGTTTTAACTCAAAAGTATTAATCGAAATCCTGTATTAACAAAGATTCTAAATATTTCGTCGAATATTAAAACACATTTACACAGCAAATTTATTATTTCGGCCATTTTATTATCAACACTTTATGGCAAAAATGTTAAGAAAGTCCAAGTTTTTTTTCGACATTAGTTAATACTTTTTTTGCCCACTTTTTCCGGCCTTTTACTATCTACTTAATCGCCTAATATAACACTCATCTTAACTCTTTTCATCTGGCCTTCTATCGTCCGGCTAACCAGCCGGAAAAATACTCTTTCATTCGACCTACCGCAGGTTATCGACACTCCATCAGTGGAAAAAGTACAGTCAACCACTCCTGGCTACTCCTGGTAGGGGGAGGAGGGGGAAGATCGGGGGTTTACTTTTTATTTTTTTTTAATTAAAGTTTTCTCCTGGCGACATCCCGGCGTTCTTCTTCTTTTTTCGCGGGAGAAGGAAAACGAAATTGAATTCTCGAGACGAAAGTTCGTGCTTGACGTATTAGTCATTGTGTTTTATGTATATCAGTGGGCGAGGGTGAGGAAAATGGATTTCGCCTGTCGGAAAATCGGAGAAAACGGGGTTTCTTTTCGCGGAAAATGGACCCGAAACTGCATCTGTTTACGCTGAAATATATTTATGTAATTAGCTAGATTAGTTATGAATTTTGATGCCTTAATAAAATTAGTCGGACGGTAAACTGATCTATTGGATGTACCATGCTGTGCACCTTAAATGATCCCACCTTAGGCGAAGAATTTGATTTGTGAGATTAAAATGAAACTCGGCCGGTATAAGATTTTTCGTTTATTTTTGTGAAACAGCAATATGTGAATTTATATTACATTCATTTAATATTTCCTTAAAACTTAGTATTTATAATATATAATAACGAATTTAAAAGAAAAATGAGGCACCTGTTTTAGCGGGGTATCACTGTAAAATACACTCGTTGCTTAAAAATATTTCTTTGTTTTTTCGATAAAAAAAATTTTTCAAAATTCTCACGGTGCGTTTCTTTGTAGCAGTAAGTAAGTAAGTACAGAATATTCCATCGTTACGTCATTTCATTTTTTCAGTTTTTTTTTTCTCATATTTTTAGAAAAATTAAACGATATGCACAAAATATGTCCATTATTTTTTTCTTCTTCTTCTTTTCTTATTCGTCGATTTTATGACTCAAACAAACATTTAACGTACTTACTAAATATCGTTGAATCGGACCGGAATCGCCGCCATGTTTGCCCGGCGACCTGACGTATCGATCGAAACTGTCAACTGTCAATTGTCGCATCGCCAGCAAACAATCGACGATAGCTCCGCGAGGACGGAAACGCGGCATTTGACAGACGTCAAATGTCGTTTTGACAGGCGCCATTTTGACAGGTGTCATTTTGACAGCGCGCTTCCGTCCTCGCGGTCGGCCCTTTTATAAAATATGTGGTAATTTTTCGGAAATTGACACGTAGCGTTTTAAAAATTATAATTGACTATAGTTCTCAACACTTTGTATTGTCTAAAATTTAATCTAGCATAAATAAAAATTTACAAATCTAGTACAAAAAAAAAAACGAAACAAAAATTGGAAAAAATTTTCTTACGAAATTTTCTACGCGACGTTTCCCTCGCACATCGACAGT